TCCATATGTATTCATGCTGGAAGCTTCGAACCCCGGCAGAAGAGCCTTAAAATAGCCACAATATTCTCGTTTAAGATAAGGTTCAATCTTCAAAGATATTGATCACTTCCATAATTGATGTAAACTAACCATGCATCCACGCAACCTTATTTTTTAAAAAATATTTAAATTAAATAAGAGTTTGGATTCTATCACAAAATTTATTGTATTATTAATTAAATTTAAATATTAATTTTAATAAAATTAATACATTATAATTTTTTTTATAAATATTTTTTTCAATCATCATTATAATAATTTTTATTATTTTTTTAATTTAATTAAAACTAATAATTTAATCTATTCAAATGGATTATACACTTCAATTACTTAGAATCATAATTTTATTAGATATAATGAATACAATTTTTTTTTCTAATTCATATTGTTGCCCGTGACAAATTTTTTTTTTCAATCATAACCAATATCTTTTCGGAAATTAACGTTTCCCCCCAAACAAGATATTTCCTTTGGGCATCGGTTGCCCGGCAATGACGTACTATTTACTATTTAGGAACAGTGAATGCTCAGTTCGTCAGGGCTTGAAGATTTGTATGGGACGGGTGCCGAAGAGGGAGGGGATATGTCAAGTGACTGGGTTTGCAAATGGGACCAAGCCAGTTGAAAAGGATACTCATTTTTAGTCAAGACGATGGCGCCAAATGTCAAGACAATGGCCTTAGGAAAATTTGAAGTCGTGCCATTTTCCCTTCCCTGGACCTCAAAACGAGGTAGAAGTTACCTGACGTTCGTAGAGTTATCCAGTAAAATTTTAACATCTGTCTGTATAGCTTAATCAGCACATAATCTCAATTCATGGTTTATTTCAGCGTTATTTTTTCACCTTCATCTCTTTTTTTTTTTTTAAACTAAAAACCCAGACCTTATCTCTTCATCTTCTTTCTTTTTTAACTGTTACATATTCATCTTCATCTTTTTTTTTTGTTGTTGTTTTATAATTAAACCATGAAAACTTTAAAAAACAAATACTCAATTCTTCCAACATCACACCTAAATTTGCAGATCCTACGCAACTCTCGCGAATCATTATCGAAATTGCTCTTTCTCAGTTAAATGTTTGAAGAATCCACCGCCCGTTGATTTGGTTTAAGCCTAACTTAGTTGTGGAAATTGCATGACCGACAAAACTTTGATCTTTTTTATCCACTTTATTTTTTTCTTCAAGTGAAACGAATTTGTCGTGACTGTCACTTAACTACTAAATGTTTTGATTTTAACTGTGTTATTTACTCTATATGATGGTGAGAAGAAAAAAAAAATCCAAGAAATTTTTATAGCAAGAAGATACGTAAATTCTTTTGAACAGTTATCTACTGTGGCTCTTAGTTGCTTATTAATCATCAGATGATTAGCAAGATAAAATAGAAGGTTAATTGAATTTTAGGTGAAGAAGTAAGGTCTGATTTGAGGTTAACTGCAGAACAAAGAACAGAGAAAAAAAAAAAAAAAACGTAGATAATGAGTGGTTTAGGAAAAAAAAAATAACAGTAAAGAAAACGGTAAATTGAAGTTACATGCTGATTAAGCTACATAAGATACACGTCAAAATTATATTGAAAAACTCCAAGCCCTAAGTCTCAAGGCAATAAATGGCCACACGCTTGCCACGATACGCATCTAACTTTTTGACACGTTTAATTTTGGTTAATCGAATGACTGGTCGCCACTTCTGGAGCCGGGAAATGTGTGACTTACTCTTATTGGGTACTGTGTAGAATAAACGAAAGCAAACGCGTGTGTCGTGTTTTCATTGGTCTCTTTCTCTTCGATCTTATTAATGCTAAATAAAATTACTTAAAATAATCACAACTTCAAAAACCAAAAAAATACTATAAAATGTTACCTTTTCTCAGTGCTGAGAGTAAATGATTCATTGATTTGCGCTTAATCACCTTTGCCTTTAATTTATATCACGTGTATCTCCACGCTTGTCTTGTGAGCCATCACGAGCCAGCCTTCAAGTTCTCCCTCTCTCTATATTATATATAAAGAAAATTCGAAATTATTTAATATAACGGATTTTTTTATTTTATTAAATAAATAATATATTTTACTTTTTAATTAATTTTTTATATAATTTAAAAAGATGTGTTATCTTGTTAATTTCATTTGTATAGTTTAAAATTTTATTATCAAATGTATTTAATAATTTAAAAAATAATTATAATATTTCGTTTTATAAAAAAAAATACATTTTTATGTTAAAAATGTTAAAATATTAAAAAATATTTTATTAAATTAATAACAATTAAATCCTTATTTGTAAATAAGGTTTAAATTTAATTATTTTGTCAATTATTTCTTTTTTTCTCAATAACGTTTTAATAAGTGATACGGAAATTTAATATAAATTTCGTACGAAGTGTATGGCATTTCATGATCATGATTTTAGAATGGTATAATTCATCATTATGTGATTTGTCTGGCTGTGATTTACTACTTGAACTAAGCTTCAATAATAAGCTTGAGATGAAATTTATGTAGGAATTTTAAATTCAAATCAAATAACTCCTTTTTACTATTAATAATAAATTATTTAATTTATAGTCACATACAAAAATTTAATCCATTTACAGTTACTATTTACTTCATCAATCTCATTTTCTTTAAGTTGACATTCTCATGTTATCAAATGAATTAATGATTCAATAGTTTAGAAAACAAACCAATAACTTCAAAATTAGACGTCTATTGCATAAGATATAAAGAGTATCAGATTTTTGGCAATTAAAGGTGAGAAAATTTTTGAAAAAATAAAAAGTTAATTTAAAATTATAATATTTGATTTGGTTTAGATCATTTTTTTTATTTAGTTTGAATTAAATTTGAATACTAAATATTTATATTAGGTTTATATCAAAATTTAGATAAAAAATAAAAAAATTAAATTGAACTAAATTACATATTTTATTAATATATATTAAAATTTATAAAATAAATTAATTATTTTATATTTAAATATATTGTATTATATTAAAATAATATAAAAAATCAATAAATTAAATCAAATTGGTAAGATTTAATTCATAGTATTAAAATTTTGTTTAAATTTATATCAAATTTTAAATTTCTATAATTTTATGTATATTTCAAAAAATCAAATTAAATTCGATTTTATTTGAATCATTATTACTTTTAGTCACAACATTACAAAATAAATGTTCGAAAATTTGATCCTTTTACCGACAAGCTCACCAATTAATCAAAATTTATTGGGTATACCGTTCATCAATTAATTCGACATTGAAGTGATGACCGAATTGTTTTTATTGCAATAAAGGAATAATGTATACTTTATTGGATAGAGTTCATTAATTTTTTAATAAAATAGCATAAATGCTCAATGTATGAAACTGTTAATCCAATATGCATAGGAATTAGGGTTTTAAAATGAAATTGATGGTAACTATCAATATTTTACTTATCGAAGTAATAATTTCGTTTAAAATTATTATTTGGTTTTGTGGTTTATTAGGTTGTATATTAATGATAATTAATGAGTAAAATTAATTAATTAAACTTTTAAAAAATTTAAGAGTCAAATTTTAACATATGTAATCTTATTTTTTATCCTTAAATTATAATTTTTTATATTAAAATTTTAATGATAAAGTAGATGGGTGTTTTTTATTTATATTATTTTAAAAATTATACATTTTTTTATTTATGTAATATTTTCAACAAATAAAAAAGAGTAATATATTAAGTAATAAATTTTGTTAATAAATAATACTTTAATGACACTATAACATTTCCCTAAACGCAATTAATTACAAAAAGATGAAGTTTAGGACTGAAAAATATCGTTAAAGTTGGATCTCATTGTCGTCAACTATGATTGTGGGATTGTGGTCCGTCTGAGGCTCCCAGACATTTCAAGGGGCAATAATATCTAGGACCAAGAGATTTCATTCGTAATCAAGGATCGACTTGATGGGCAATGAAGATTTCCAAGGCATGGACCGCGTTGAAAGTGGGTCCCCAAACATGTTAAAGAAAAAATAAAAATTGTGATAACCATGGCGGGCAACATGTTGTGTATTGCAGGAATACCAGTAAAACAACAATCAACAACTTGAATTGCATTACAGCAGTCCTTGTCATTTACTTAGCTCCCTAAACTAAGAAGGCCACACCCACACCACTCCTCCAGTTTTTCCTTTTCTCCCTCTCCCCCCACCCCCCTTTCCCTTCTATTAAAATTCTTATGCCCTCCGTCAATCCATCATTAGTATTCAGAACGTAGATTCGTTAGCCTTCCACTTGAATTTTGATTTTTCGTTTAACTAGTTTAAAAAACTTGTTATATAGTAAAAAAGGTAAACGGTCGAAGTCTCGATGAATACTCAAGTTTAATTCATACATTTTATCAAGTTGAATTTAAACTTAAATTATTTGAATTTAAATTAACTTTAGTTAAACTGTTTTAGTATTTGATTAATAATAATTTTTTAAATATATTTAATATGCATATATAAATAATTTCAAAATATATATAAATATATAAAATAAATTTAATATATATTTATAATTTATTGATTTTAATCAAATCAAGTTCCAATAACTTAACAACTAAATTATAATTGCTATTGTAAATAAATTTTATAGTGCTACAATTTGCAAAAATCTACAAAAATATTGCTATTGTAAATAAATTTTATAATTGATGAATTGTCGGTAGATATGCTATCAATTAAATATATAATAATATGTTATAAAAATATTAATTTTAAAATTTCAAAATAAAGACATTCAATTAAAAATTTATTTACAATTAAAATGTTTATAATATATTATTATATAATTTATTAATAATATATAATATTATACACCAATAATATATTAAATATAAATCTTTACAAATTAACTTCAAAACTTTAGTTTGAATTAAAAAAATAAATCCATTTAACTCTTTCAATAATATTTTAAATCATTAGAAAACATTCAAAATTAGAATGGCATGTTGTTTCAGATGATTAAATCACGACAGCCTCGTGAACCGTGCCGGCCAACGCGAGGCTTGAGCCGTTGAAGCCTTCTCGGAATTTCAAAAGGTACCTTTTATTTTATCAAAATTTATAGTATTTCTTATGTCCCAACCGTCATTTTCACCCCAATTTGACGCTTTTTATTTCCAGACAATCAAACTATAAAATGCCAAAGAAAAACCCGCCTATGGTTCGGCATTTTTTCCCCAAAATATATTTCTCTGTTTTTTTTTTTTTTCAGACTCTCCTCTTTTCCGCTTTAGCTTTCAAAAGCAACGTCAACAATAATAATAATATCATTATAAACCCTAAAAAGCTCCGCTCCAGTCTTCCATAAAACTTCACTGCTGTTCCGTTTTTTTTTTTTTTTGTTCTTTTTAATTTGAAAAATGAAAATTCCATTTTTTCCTCTTTATTTTGCCGTAAATATCTCTCAAAAACATTTCCCAAAAATCTCTGAACTCCTAGGGGCATACATTTCAGCCTCAGTCGAGAATCTTCCATTTAATAATCCTTCAAGCTATAGTTTAAGTAACACTTTTTAACTTGTAACTGTTTCGTACAGTTAAATTTTCAAAGCAAATTTTAAATATTTCTTAAATCTTAAGGTTGGATCTCTGAATTTGTCGAAATAAAAAATTGGAATTTCTCTGTTTTCGTGTGTTTTCAAGAGTCGGCAACTTTGTTTGCAAGGTAAATTTAATAGATCTTTATTTATTTATTTCGTTATTTTTAGTTCTGCTAAATTAAAGTTTGTGGTTCGTCTTCTTAATTATATTTGTTAATTGTAGCTTAATGCCATAAAAATTTTCGAAATTTCGCTTTGTTTGCCGAAATTTACTGTATTTTACTTGCTGTTTTTAGCTAAAGAGGGGACAAAAGTCGAAATTCTGCTTTGTAAAAGCTATGAAGGACTTTCAAAATGATAGCCAGAAAGGCCTTTCTTTTTAGAAATACAAGATAGAATGTGCAGATTGACTTTGCGAAGTTTATGTGATTGTTGTTAGATCTGTTTGATTAGATTAAAAGCTGAAATTCTTTTTGTTTCTTTTTTTTTTTTCCAGTAAAATGTCGTACTTGATTCTGCTTGTTGCCTAATTTGCATTTCAAAGTCGAAAAATTATCGCGTGAAAGATCCAGAGGAAGCAAGGGATTTTATTTGTTAATAATGATTTCTAAGTAACTAACTTCGTTTTTTCTTTGTGAATTTGAGGTAATTAGTATGATATTTTTTGGAATTAATGCTTATCTAACCTAATGATTGATTTGATCAACGTGGTTGCTTGCTCTTAAGAATGAATAAACTTGTTTAATTTTGGGAAATTAGTTGGAGAGTTTGAGAATAGCTAAACATGGTATATATCTTTGTTTTGGTCAAGGATTTTAATCTCAGTAAGTGGCATTTGGGATATATTCTTGTTACATTGTAAACATAAGTTTTTGTTTCTATCTGCCAAAACTTAATTTATAGCATTTAATCAGGAGTACTTCTCTTCACGGTGCTTTTGGCTCACGGCCTTGTGATTGTAAATTTCTTCTGATGTTGGATGTGATTTACTCAGATGCCTGCAGTTTGATGTTGTTGAATTATGTGACCTTGGTTGGGGAGTGTCTGAGCTGAGCAAAGAGATGCAGGCAGTTGGCTTTCAGTTGGAATGAAGAACTTACAGGTGTTTTTCTCTTTTAATAAGTAATTCTATATATAAATAATTACTCTCTTCGGTGTCAGGTAAGTAGTCATTGCGTTGAGTTGTAGGTGGTCATTACTGCCAAAGTAACACAGAAAACAACTGCTTACACTTTACAGCTTTTTTGTTTGGTGCTTGAATTGAATCTGCTTATCATTTCTTCCTTGACAATAACTTGAGGATAAATTTTATTTGATTACAGAGCACGCAAGATATAAAACCCTTAACTCAAGCTTCACATGAACCAAAAACGGAACAGCAAAACAATCAAACAGCAGATGGCCCCTTAGCAGACTCGGGCTCTTTATCTGCTTCAAGCAATGATAGCCGAAAAGTTTCACGCCAAGATATTGAACTCGTAAGAAACGGGTTCCTTTTTATATTTCATTTATTTTTCTCCTTTTTTTTGTTTGATGCTAGAGGGACTTTTATTTATCTGTTTTTCAGTTAGCGATTCACAATCTATTTAAACTGGTTGTTCCAGGTCCAAAACTTAATTGAACGATGTTTACAACTGTACATGAATAGAGACGAGGTTGTCAAAACCCTGCTGACTCGAGCAAGGATAGACCCTGGATTCACAACTTTAGGTATGCTTCCTGAAATCTCTTTATTAGTCTGCATGCCTTTTTGTTATTTGAAAATTTCAATAAAATGTGTCGTCTATGCATTTGATAAAGTAGCATGTCACAAAAGCAAAGTAAAAACCAGTCTACTACAATGATATCTTTGAATTAGTGAGATCTAAGCCGCCAATCAAGTATATTTCTTGTTCAACAGTGTTAGAGTTGGGAAACTCACTCTGTTCTCTTTACTGTTCTTGTTCATTCAGTGTGGCAGAAGCTGGAAGAGGAAAATGCTGATTTTTTTAGGGCCTATTATATAAGGTTGAAGTTAAAAACGCAAATCCTTTTATTCAACCATTTGCTTGAGCGTCAATATCATCTGATGAAATATCCTGTGCCTCCAAAGGTTCCTCTGGCCCCAATACAAAATGGTATTCATCCCATGCCCGGTAAGTTCTGACTAAATAAAAATAATGGACACAGGCCTGTATTATTTTAGTTATATTATAAAGTGGTCATGATTTTAAGTTAGACATGGTGATGCTGACATTACTTACCAAATCATAGAGTCAAGATTGGCATGGAATAGCCACAAATGGTTAAGAAATTTTGAGTATTGGCATTGCTATAGAATTTTATTTAACACGATAATAATATCTGGGATTGTACTGTGATTGTCACTTAATATTAATAATTTTAAAATTAGATAATCACATTCCTCTTTTCAAAATTCACAGCATAAGGAAAAGAATCCCTCGTTTTCAAATACTTGTAGTTATGGTGTTTATTTAGCTGTTTCTTTGACTACTTTCATTTTAGGAAGTTAGCATTTTTTTTCTCAATTGGAAGAAGAGAAAAACCGGCAAGGGGGATGGGGCGTTGGAACCATATCATAACTTTCCTTTGGGATCTGTATCGGTGAAATATACTTTAAGGCAGAGGCCTTATTGTAGGAGTTCTGATTAATTGGTCTAAATGTTTATGTCTCTGTCGTGGTTATTCAGCACTTCTTTGCAGTGCAGTTAACAACTTACCAATGGGATACCCTGTGCTGCAACAACCTCCAATTCCAGCTCCAGGACAACCTCATATTGACTCCATGGGTATATCATGCTGTCATGTGGTCAATGGAGTCCCTGCACCCAGCAATTTTCAACCCATGCAGATGAATTCTGGGAATGAGTGAGAACTTAACCATCTTCTTTTGATCTATTATTAATTGGCTATTAAATATTTGCTTACTGGTAACTGCGAAGGTGCTTTTCTTCTTTATTTTCATTATCTTATCCGATAAATTATGCTATTTCTTCGAAGATAGCTTGCCTAATTCATGAACTACTTGATCAGATTTGCAACAAATGCATGTTAAGGTTATATCACACTATTGTACGTTAACTCTGTTCAATTAAACTGCAATCCTAAACTGTTTTTGTTAACCACATGAATAATTTTTACTACCACATTCTTAAAAATGTTTAGATATTAAGTCCTCGTCACGTTCTCTCTGGCTTTACTCTTCTTTGTTATGCCCTGTTTTTGGCTTTTGAAATTCTGTATTTCTGGTCAAGTAGTTTGTTCCAGAGAAGTTAAGCTAATGGTAACTGATTTTCTTATTCTAGCATGGTGATGGACAACAATGCCAGTGATGTAACACCCGCAGTTCCTCCGACCACTGCCATTTCATCTATGTCAGAGATGCCTGTGAGCCCTACATCAGTGGCGTCCAGTGGGAAATTTCCCTTCACTGCATCAGACATGTCAGGAATGGGAGTAGACACATCAGCACTTGATTCAGCCTTCACGACAGATGTGACAAGTTCAGTAGGATTACAGCTGGGACCTGATAATGGAGCTGGGAATTCTAGAGATTCCCTTAGATCACTTGATCAGATTCAGTGGAATTTCAGTCTCACAGATCTGACAGTAGACTTGTCAAACTTGGGAGGTAAGTTGTGGCTATGAGACCCACACTAAGATTTCTAGTTACAAATTTGCCTTTTAAGTTGTTTGTCGTCTTTCCTCTCTCTTTCTCTTTCTCTTTCTCCCACACACACACACGTGCGCGCGCACACACACACACACACACACACACACATCTGAAGACTTATGCTTTTGTATTTGCCTTCCAACTTTCTGCGCTTAATAATTTGTGCATTGCTTCATTATTGGCCTTTGCAACCCTCACTCCTGGAACCTAGCACGTTGGTTACTTTATCGTTCTTTTTGTTGTTTTTCTTTATGGAGCTTGTTCTCATAAAGGGTGGCCCTTGGAATTGTTACAGATTTAGGAGCCCTTGAGAACTACCCTGGTTCTCCTTTTCTACCCTCTGATTCAGAAATTTTGCTTGATTCTTCAGAGCAAGAGGATATAGGTAATGAGGTTGCATAGTTCTATTTTTACCAGACCTTTCATGCACTCATTATGGTTGAATTTATATCCATGTGCAATTAAAATCTGTGTAGGGCTTGTGAATTCTAGTAATAAGTGGGTAAATGGCATCAATATTACATTTGAAATTCTTCTGTTGTTACTCTGTATGTTTATGTGTGTTTGACCATACACTGATAGATCTAACTTGTTTCAGTGGAGGAATTTTTTGTTGATTCTGTCCCTGGACAGCCATGCTCTCCCGACGAAGAAAGATCCTAGACCAAGGTGAGTGTTGTACCTTATCTTCTTAAAATTGTTGAGACAAGATAGTGATAGATCAATAAGAACAGCATTTGACATCTATTCAGTAGGCATTTTGAATTGTTAACAAATTGGAACATTTCAGCAGTGTAATTTTAGATTGATCAATCAATGGCAGTCAGCAAACAGGAAAGTAGCCAAGTTCTCCTTGCTTGTAATTTTTTAGATTGCAAATATGAGACTTTATTGTTATTTGGAGAACCTGAGGACCATTTGTTCGTAATCTTTTGTTTTGTGTGCAATGAGGAAATGATTGCAATCTTTTCCCATCCTACCTGACTTTGTGATCGATTGAGCTTCCATACTGAAAATGGAATAAATTCTGTTATGACGATTGGAGCTGAGATACGATTACTCTGCTCTTTGAGTTTACATGTGAGTGAAAGAAATATGGCACCTGATTCAAGATGCTCCTGATGTCTCCCTTAATTCTAATGGTAAATCATCTGGGACAGGGCGTGCTTGGTCTAACTGTTCAATACCAAACTGGCCCTGCGCTGGGTAGTGATCCTGACATGTGGATGTGGTATCCATATGAATGTTAGGGGGAAAAGCGTTGCAATGGGAATATTGTTTAATTTCTTTGCTGTGAATTGATGAGTTACCATAATACCTACCCAGCATACGCAATGACATCGTTAAACCAAAGTTCATTGTTGGAAACTTTGTATTATCAGGTTAGTTTAGAAAGTCAGAGCGTCAAATTCCAATTGTTTGGTGTTGTGGTAAAATTTTATCTCATGACTTTTAGTAGTCAACTGCTTTGCTTGTGATTAGTTTCTGAAACAACGATTGTGTCGTGCGACACGATTATCAACCAGGAAGCAGTTTCTGATCTAGACGGGGTCTATTGTCTCTGGAATAATTAAAATCTAGTTTTCAGTTATGTTCTTTAGCATCCAGTTCCAAATGTGAACGAATTGAATACTTTGAAATTAGCATGTTTAAATGGTGAATGTTCAATGAATCAACATTTTGATCTGTAAATTTCAAACCCCTTCTAGTCCCCCGATTTTCTACAGTTGACAATGTCATAGGAAATTTGTCCTAAATTTTGAAGCCAATAAAATAACATATAACAGTATATACATATAAAAAGGAAAATATGTTGTTGGTATGGTTTAAATATACAATTATACATTATTCCTTTGATTGCGAAATCCAACTATTATCCAACGGTCAAAACCTAAAATATAGGACTAGATTTTTAGCAGCCTGAATAATACTAATAAACAAGATGTGCAAATTTTTGTTTTTGGGGTTTAAATTCATTGAAAAATTAAAAAAAGATAATTTTTTTTCATAAATTTATTTAGTTTGATTTGAAAAAAGAAAGTAATATATAAAGTTTAAAAATGCTTTTGTCGTTAAATTTAAAGATTAACTGACAACAAAATTTTAAAATAAAAAACCTAAATATAAGACTCAAAGGTGGCATTAGAAAAATATGCTGTAGATGCATGCCCACAACAAGGCGCACAACAGCTGATTAAATTCTTTAAAAAAAAAAATGTTTGGAAGAAAAAACAAACTAACAATTACAAATATTACTAACGTTGGCTGTCTCGTCTCCTTCAAAGCAAAGGGTAAATTGTTATTTTTCATGTGGGCTCTTGAAGCGAAGGAAAGGAACTTATATTTTTTCATGCAGTGCTTATATCTACATGATTTAGATGAAAACAGAATGTTAGATTGTACGAAAAAATAAAATAATAGATGAAATAATTAATCACAATGAAGAAACTATCAAGATGCGACTCATTAATGTTATCAAATTCTCTTGTGATCCAATCAATAAAAGATCTTTTCTCTACATTTTTTATAAAAGCAGGTTTTCTTTTTTTTTTTTTTTTGTAAACCAAAATTCTTTCAGTTATAAAAAATCAACTCTGACGATAGTAAGGAAAATGACTTTTTCTACGATACATTACTCGACCATTTATTCCAATTGCTAGCAAAAATAATGCTACGTTTACTTGAATTTTTTACGACTTTCCGCGTGGACAAAAAATATCATGGCCAACGACATTTCCTTTATTAAATATAAAATCGCGTTGTACGTCAGTTAAATATAAGAGTAAAAACATTTTCTTTATTATTATTTCTATTAATTATCAATTATATATCAACTCGTTTTTTTCTGACCAAGAAGGTAGAAAAAAAATTAAATTTTACAGCATTGTATCACAATCTTTTCATTAAACAAATTTACTAATAGAAAAAATGGGTTTACCTGACGCACTATTTTAAAAAAGTCAACCGAGTTTTAAAGTTGATTAAGTTGCTGAGGAAAAGTTCATCATATATAAATACACGTATCATTTGATTAATTGATTCTTAAAAGGAATAAAAGACCAAAGTTTGCATTTAATGGTTGTTTTTTTGTGACTTTTTCTCCTTAAATTTGGAATTTAATCTGAAAATTAATAACATTACTTACTCAATTATACTTAAAAGAAAAGTTTTTCCATTCTGGTTTAAAAAAAAAAAATCGAACTTACTCTTTAACCAAAAATTATCCTAAAATGATCATTAATATAAAATTCACTTTTACAATTCAATTTGCAATGAAAATTATATCACACTAAAACTATTGCTGATTTGACACCAAACCCAAATTTGAAGGCATTGAATTTGGCTCTTGTTTGAAACATATTTGTCTAAAGGTGACCATTGCCCCCTACTGTTCCTATTGGTAAGACTGCAAGTTTGAAACTATAATACCCATTTTATAGAAAAGTCTTTTGCTAAATTAATTAGAAGTAAAATAAAAATAAAAAAAAAACGACTTTGGCAAATTACGGTCCATTATCAACTGTTTTTAATATTATTTTTCGACCAACAACTGATTTAATGTTATATTTAATTGACGTATTCTTGTATTTGTCAAAATTTTTCCCTTAAAATACTCCCAATGAATATATTGAATAAAAAATCATGGAAATTGGTCTCGAAAAATAGTCCACAAAACAATTTCTCGGAGCTTTCCCGGTTAATGGGGTTTGGGCTTGACTCCTCTCCCCCCGATGACTCTTTCTCGTTTTCTCTTTTCTTTGTCCTTATATTTACATATCTGTTGCTATATATATTTTCTTCTTTTTAATACTTTTTACTCCCTATTTTATTTTCTCTCTTTTGAAAAATAATTAAAAAAAAAACGCAGACAATAACTGCCATCTGTGATTCCCTCCAAGAACTTTCGTTTTTTTTTTTTTTTTTTTTTTCTGAAAGGGCTGCCCCATAACGAAACATCTTTCATTTTCCAATGTTTTTTGGACTTCGTTTTCTTATGTCTTTATGAGACCATAAGCAAAACGTCTTGGTGTTCTGTTTTTCTTTTGTTCCTGGTTTGGTTGGTCTGAAAATCATTGAAAACGATCAACTAAATTAAAGAAGTTTTGGACGGGAATCATTAACAAACCCTTGTTTGTCAATGAAATGAAACTTAACCTTCTTGAGTCTTGACTTTGTCAAGGTGAGTATTTCATATTATCATGGTTTTGGATTTCCATCTTCTTCTTCTTCCTCTTTTTTGTTGAAGAAACTTGAAAATAGTTTCTGTTTTATGTAACTTATTTTTCCTGAAAACGTTCGATTAATACCATTATATACATAGTGACAGTAGACATGATTTTGATTTCTGCAACTTAATTACTTACTTTCTTCCTTTCAAAATATTTATGGAAAAAAGGAAACCGAAAGAACCACAGTTCGTTACGGCCTTTTACACGCTGACCAAGAAGACCAAAAAACTGAGTTTGGTAAGGTAGACAGTGATCATGGCACAAGCTGAAGTTTATGACCTTTTTTTTTATTGAATGATTTTGTAGATGAACCAATCCTTAATCTATACGAATACTTCCTTTTCGTTATAGTAAGACTTGTCATGTTATTAGAATTATTAATCTTCTATGTTATTAGGTTGGTTTTAATTCTGATTTAAGGGCATCGATAACATGAAGTTTGGTTTTGTTTGACAGGGTCTGGATTTTGGACAGAGTTAAACAACTTTTTGCATTTCAAACTAACACAGAACTAGGCTTCAAGTCATGAATTTCCGGCGTCAAAAATTTGTAAGGTTAGTCTTGTTGAATTAATGCTTAAATATATATTTCCGGTTGTGTTGTTTTATTTGCGTCGGTCCAACTGTAGAAATATTTACCTATTCTAAGTCTATAGTACAATCCTAGCATGCATAGTAGTCAACTATAACGCCTGTTTGGAGAACTGTGGATTAGGTAATTGTTGATAATGCAAGGAGGTTAATTACATGGATGGTTGGTTGGTATAAGAATGAAAGAAGGGTTATTCACTTGGATTAGTGGTTAGAAGAAGGTGTATAGCTAGGCTGGTTTGACTGTTCACTCGCCCGGTGATTTGAATCAGAAGTAGTCTAATCTTGTTTTCATTGAGACTTTGGTTTTCTGTGATTTTTCATTGGATTGATTTGATTATACTCAGGTTTCAAGATTGTAGTTCCGATGATGGATCACTTAAAATCAAACTTAGACCATCATTGAATGCTGTTATGGATGGTCTCCGGAGAGTATTTGAGAATGGTTCTGAAAGGATTAGAAGCTTGAAGAAACCCATAAGCTTCCGTTCTTTGGGTAATAAAGCAACAAAAGAGGAGGCATTGGGTTCCAGGAAGAGAATTCTTAATCCACAGGGACAATTTCTTCAGAACTGGAATAAAATGTTTCTTCTCTCCTCTGCAATTGCTCTGGCCGTGGATCCCTTGTTCTTTTACATCCCTGTGATTGAAGGCCAACGGAAATGCCTTGACTTGGATGACCGATTGGAAATTATTGCTTGCGTCCTTCGTACATTCATTGATGCCTTTTATATAATCCACATGATCTTTCAATTCCGCACTGCGTATGTTGCCCCTCCATCTCGGGTATTTGGTAGGGGGGTGTTGATAGAGGATCCTCGGGCTATAGCCAAAAGATACTTGTCCAGAAGCTTCTTCATTGATCTTCTGTCAATTCTTCCACTCCCGCAGGTTAATTGAATGCACTTTCTTCATTCAGCTTCAAGTTACACTAGCATTCGTCTTCATCCATTAGACAATATAAAGAAAATTCCATTTGAACTATTTTTCTAGCTAGATCAAAACTTATTCAAACAATCTCTTGTTTTAAAGCATTCACGTTTACAGACGAGTTGGTTCTTCTGTGGGTTAACACTTGTGTTGCTTTTGCTTAGGTGGTAATCTTAATCATAATGCCCAAAATAAAAGGTCCGGTTTCATTGGTCACAAAGGATTTGTTGAAATCCTTTATTTTCTGCCAATATGTTCCGAGATCCATTCGAATTTTTCCTCTTTACAAACAAGTTACAAGAACTTCAGGCATACTTACTGAAACAGCGTGGGCTGGAGCTGCTTTGAATCTCTTCCTCTACATGCTGGCCAGTCATGTAAGTTTGATTTGGTATGGTTTATGAATCATTTAACATTAATAATTCCAAGGAATTTTCTGATCTCTAAATAAAATATGAAATACCAGGTAGTTGGAGCCTTTTGGTACTTGTTCTCAATAGAACGAGAAGACGATTGCTGGCGCAAAGCTATCGGCAGTGGTAAAGAGAGGGCGTTGTACTGTGATAGAGACAGTACAACAATAAATACCACTTCAGTGAGTTTGCTGAATAGTTCATGCCCTTTTACCAATCCTGATAACATAAAGGATCCGAAGGTCTTCAACTTCGGGATTTTCATTGATGCACTTCAGTCGGGGGTGGTGGAAACCTCGGAGTTTCGAAAAAAGTTCTTTTACTGCTTTTGGTGGGGTTTGCGTAATCTAAGGTTTGTAAACAATAACCCTCTAATTCTTATTAAGTGACTTACAAATACTATTGTTTTGAATAGTTTGTTAACTTGTAGATTTTTTTCCCTTCTTTACTTTTCAGTTCTCTGGGCCAAAATCTCAAAACAAGCACTTTTGTGTCGGAGATACTCTTTGCTATTGCGATTTCCATCGGTGGACTGGTTCTGTTTTCACTGCTTATTGGGAATATGCAGGTATTTCTCAACTCTTCTTCCTTAGCATTCGCGATTTAATGTTTGCTACTGAACATTTCAAGTTTTGTTTTCACAGAAATATCTGCAGTCGACAGGAGTCAGAATAGAGGAAATGAGAGTGAAAAGGCAAGATGCAGAACAATGGATGTCCCATCGAATGCTTCCTGAGAACCTGAGGGAACGTATTAGGAAGTATGAACAGTACAAATGGCAAGAAACCAGAGGGGTTGAAGAAGAGAAGCTGATTTCTAACCTTCCTAAAGATCTAAGGAGGGATATAAAGAGGCATCTTTGCTTGGATCTTCTCAAGAGAGTGAGTGCTTTCTACGTGCATGCATAATTTAATAAATTGAATTACGTCAAAGATTAACCTATAGTTTTTCCTTTCAGGTGCCAATGTTTGAAAAAATGGATGAGCAACTATTAGATGCAATGTGTGATCGTCTCAAGCCGGCACTTTACACTGATAAGAGCTACATTGTTCGAGAAGGGGATCCAGTAGAAGAGATGCTATTTATCATCCGAGGAATTCAAATAAGTACGACCACTAATGGTGGAAGAACTGGTTTCTTCAACGCTGTTATCCTCAAGGCTGGTGACTTTTGTGGAGATGATCTTCTTACCTGGGCCTTGGATCCCCAGTCTTCTTCCAACCTACCTATCTCCACTAGAACCGTGCAGGCCCAAACAGAAGTTGAAGCCTTTGCCCTAATGGCAGATGACTTGAAGTTTGTAGCCTCCCAATTTCGACGTCTTCACAGCAAGCAGTTCCAACACACTTTCAAGTAAGTCTAGAAACAACATTTCTCTTTCCCTCGTATCCAATGCTTCCTCTTTCTTTGAGCATTTTTTTCATGGTTACCAAATGGAATACTTATATCAAGTGCTTTATTCTTCCAGATACTACTCGGTGCAATGGCAGACATGGGCAGCATCTTTTATACAAGCAGCTTGGCGCCGGCATTGCAAGAGGAAGCTTGTTAAGTCCCTACGTGAAGCAGAGGATAAGCTGCAAGAGGCTTTGGCAAAAGAGTCTGGAATCTCGCCAAGCCTTGGTGCTACTCTTTATGCATCAAAATTTGCTGCCAATGCATTACGAACCTTGCGGAACAGTAATTCACAAAGCTCCATATTGCCTCAAAGATTACCACCGCTGCTTCCTCAAAAGCCAGCGGAGCCTGATTTTACTGCCGAACATAGCTAATTAAGAGTTTTGATCTTATATATTGGAGGAAATTTGGAAGAAATCTCTGTTTATATAATGCATTAAGCTAAACTGATGTATATATAGTTGTTCTTGATTCCAATCTTTTTCCGGACGAAATTATAGTTATTGCAAATTTTTTGTAATATATGTATCAATCAATAACTATATATAAAAGTACTAATTTCAAAAGTGCAAATAGTGAACGACAAAATTCAATGAAAGAGAAGAAATAGAATCATAATAGTTTAATCCATGATTGGATTCGCTATGCATTAACATCAAGTACAATCTAATTGCATAACTAACTTCAAAAATTATTGATTCAACTACATACATTTATTCACGGTACCAAAAAAAAAAGAAACTTCTTGTTGTCATTTGCAACTGTTAACACTTCCTAACCTGCGAGAAGAAAACTCAAAATCAATATGACTTTTTAACGCTGAAATATTCATAAATGAAGTATGGAAGACAGAGGAAGAAATTTGTACTTGGAACAATCTATGTTGCCAGTAATTGGAGGAGTATAAACATTAAAGACCGCATTTTTTGGGAATTAGAGACGATGAGAAGGGGTCGTATGATGGGCCAACATTTGCAAATACTCCTTTAGGGCACTCGCATACTGCTTGTTGAGCTGGTTTGTCCCTGCTTGGTTAGCAAGAGCTTTAGCACCTTCACAACATACCGGGGATGGACTGTTTCTAGGATTTTTGTCTCTTATGAAGTCGAGGCACGGGGTTAATGCTTTTGCCAACATCATTGCACGAAGGAGCAGCTCCTGAAATAGCCAGGGTTGATGCCGTAAGTAAGACGAGCATGGCTAGAAAGTTGATTGAGGGAGATATGGTGGCCAATGAGTTTATTCTCTGATGTTATGGTCGTGTTGTTTGAAGGATTTGGACGTGAAGCATATGTATGTATATATATGCCTTTTGCAGCGGTTTGTTTTGGAATTTTGTGGATGTTGCAGTGCAAGTCTTACGATGTTGTAGCTCATGCCTGCTCCTTCTCCTATTAGAATAAGAAGAGAAAATTCAGGATCGAAGTTACCTGGGTAGGCCAGGCACTTTCAACTGTCATTGCCACAGCCTCGAGTTCCTCTTGAAACTTGAAATGCTTTTGTTTTGGACCAAACCAAATGAAATGATTAATTAATCTAAAAAAATTATTGCGAAAATTAAATATATCACCTACTTTTATGTGCACTTGCGAAATTCCATTTTTTCTTTGTCATCCAATACTGTCCTGACCTAGTATATATGTTCGGATTGATGTAGTTTGGATGACAATGGCACAAGAAAACAACTTTGAGTTGTAAATCAATAATCCAGTTTCATACTCGTATCAATGAACAAGATGGCGCTTAAGGACTAATTATTGGCGTTTCGGTATTGTCTCATCTTCCTCAACGAGTGCAAAATGCAAAGATCAATTGAACACATATAAAAACAGGGGAAATTTAAATTCAGAATAAAATGATATAAGCAGGACTGCATGTCACCCTTAAAAACATGTAAACATTGAATTGCTCAAAAATATTTAATGTTTCAAACGTTTTCCATTCTACAATACAACAACGTAAATTATGGTGCAACTGCACGAAATTGAACAGTTTATCTATCAATATTTACATAATGGTATGTTATATGTACTTCTCTATTATGGATTTGATGGCTTTCAAGCTACAAATTTGGGATCAGGACCGCGCTTTGCATGTAAAGAGCCTACAGATGGAACTTCAGTAGCTGAAGAAACCATGGCAGAAAGAGGCTGGAAATTGGTGCTCCCAATAAACCAGTAGAGAGCCCATTTCAGATTGCAAAGGGTATACTTCAAAGCTTTGGTCCAATTCTCTTGCTTATTGAAGCTTTGTGTGATGGAGTAGTTTTCCACTTTGTCGTTCTCAATCCTGTAAGACACCGTGACCAATGAGGATGAAACGTGAAGGGAAATATGTTCACACAACATGCTCAAGGGTTTGAATCTACTCTATGTTCACACAACATACTCAAGGGTTTGAATCTACTCTATCTATTAAAAACCACCAAAATCAGATTGATATTGAGATAACTAAACGACTAAAGAGTACTATTCTATACAGAAAGGAAATCTTACCTATAGGGCAGGTTGAAGCGTTTCTCAGGTGGAATGTTGTCTTCTTGATCCTTGGAATTCGCAAACTCAGCAAAGTCCTTAAGGCATGTCAAGAATAGTGTCATTGCTTTGTCATACCGTGTACTCCAAAACAAGTTCACCGGACCAAACCTAAAACACATTCATGTCAATTCAAACAACTGAAACATATAACAAGCACAATGCATAAAACACATAATTTATGCATTTCCGAGATTTATGCATTATGTACTCTTAGGAGACAGCTATCCTTTCAGGTTTACATGCTTATAGTTTAACATTCCAAATCAAAGAATTCAGAAAGTCAATACTTACAACTCGTATGTATTGTTGTTGCCGTCCATTATCCGAGGGTAGCTTCCCATGGGAATTATCTTTATCCGATAGCTGAAGGTTACTAATTAAGGATACATCACATCACTTTATTGACAGCTTTAGGCATGAAAGTCAACAAATTTCCCCCATAGTTGAGATACTGCAAATTTTGACTATTGTTTTACCTTAGGCATGCAGATTCTATATAGATGACAAGTATAAGATAAAAAGTTAACCATATTCAACTTCAACAATTACAGACACAGACACAGAAAGTGTAAATATGACTTTTCAAGGAACTACTCCATAGACTAACACTCACTAGAAGGATACTGAAATTTTGGCCGGAAATGTTGACACATTGTATGAAGAAGGAGGCAAGCTTGGCCCCAGGCAGCATTTATTTCATCCCACTCAACCTAACCAAAGGCACCAAATATCAGCCACTATTCACCATCCAGAAAAACAATTTTTCATATGGAAAATGATGCCAATTTCTTACTGGAATTTTAGGCAGTCGTCCAAGACGAAAATTGTTAATAGTTCCAAATTCTCCATCATGCCATATGGGGAAAGCATCATTGAGCACATTAGTTCGCTTTAACAACTCCAAATGTGCTTGTGAAATTTCAGTCTTTGCCAAAATTGCATCTCTCTCTTCCTGTCAAGCAGGAATATTTGTTTCGTGTAAGAAGGCACTTAAAGAAGTTTTTTGTTGTTTTAAGGAAACAATTGTTTGCAAATGTTGATTAAATTTACTGCGTACAGCTATTTAAATAACACTTTAGTTTAAATAACATTAGTAACCATGATATTTGAGAAACTTCTGAACCATCTTGGATTGATTCATTGGTTAATAGTAGATCAAAGAAAAAAAAAAGGGTCAAGAAAACTCATCTGCAACAAACCTGATGTGCAATTAGTGGAAACTGAAAGTTGTTAAACTCCTGCCAATACCTGTGACACATTGATTTAAACAAGCACAAGGAGTTGATACTTTAAAAATCCCAGCTATATACAAATCAAAGTGTGCTCTACATTGTGGTTTAAGAAAGTGATGGAGATGCAGGGGCAAGGACAAAGGAAAAATAGGTAAAAAGAGCGTTGTACGCCACAACTTTATTTGAGAACATATATGAAGGATAAAGATATAGTAGAATAAACTTACCACTCCTCCAATTCTTTGAAGCGGTTTGATTTCTGCTCTAATTCTTTTAGTTTGGTATTTACTTCTGCATTCTGTTTTTCTATTTCTTCGATTGCTGCTTCAAGTTTTCTTTCTTCTTCGTCAATCTTGCAGAATGAATATACAATCAAATATGCATTTAACCCGGAAAATCATTCCAAAATGCAGTTGATTCTTATACTAATTACAAGGGATGATCATTTACTAGTATCCTGGTTTAAAATCCATATTCTTTCAGTAGTGCACTGCAGGGTAACTAATGATATTAAAAGCCCTTAATGATTCACTTGCTAGATTAAGCACCTGTATGAGAACCAAAATTTTACTGCTTATCATACAAGTTTTCTGATAGAAACTGCCAAACAGTTACCTTTAATTTCTCCTTACGAAAATCAGCCTCACTGAGCACATCTTGTGGCTCCCCTTCCAAGCGCTGAAGACAGGCTTCATATGCTTCGATGTCCCTAGTCACATCTTCAACCTCCTTGTCAAGTTTTTCAGACAACACCTTCATGCATTCAAGGCATAATGGTTGCTCAACCTAACAGTGCGCAAGAAGGTGGAATCAAAATTAGATACTCTCTTCAACAAAGAAGCACCAAACAAAAAAGCCAGAAAATGAGTGATACCTGTGAATGAGTCGTGGCAATCTCAAATGCACGTTTCAGGACAGTTATAGTTAAGTGAAATCCAGTGTTGTTCAGCTGCAAAGGACTGTTTGGCCCACCTTCTGACAGTGGTAATTGTGTCCCACCTCCATCAGAAGCAGACTCCGATTTATACACCACCACAAACGATTCTTCCATAGCCTTCCCAGAATGGCCTACATCAAGCTGACCAAGCCCACTACGAGGACGGGGAGGGATACCTTGTACTGGGGACTTTTGCTTTGGCAGCACAACAAAAGAGTTGTCCATACGTGTTGAACCCAGAACGCTGCTAGCTCCATGGATTGAAAATCCCTGCATTGCTGCATTTGTTCATACAGACAAAATTTCACCAAACATCAGCTTCCAATATTGCAATTATAGACTGGTCTAGTACTTAGTACATTTCGTTAAATAATTGAAGATTCCATCTAAAATTACATTTAGATTATACAACAATCCCAAATTTATAATTTTGTAACTGACTGTACTCCAAACTTGATGAGAAAATATAGTAATAATAATAATTTCTCAATTAGCTAGACCGAGAAAAAGTAAAATTCAACAATCCACGCAAGCATAAATTCAAAAATAAAATTATTAAATTTAAATGGGCAGGGACTGGAGAAACCCTAACCGGAGCGAGAGGAGTCGTTTGGGAACTTGTCGACGTAGGAATCGACGCCGACGATGCAGAGCGAGTGGTGGCAGTTCTGGCAAACCCATTTAGGGAGATTCGGATCGACCTGGGAGGTCCGACCTTTATAGGGTATATCCTCTTTCTTCATTTAGCTATTGGGGGGACGTTCGGGTTGTTTGCAATCTTGGGAGAGGTGTAGGATTCTTTGCTTCGATGGTTCAGCCGTCGAGCTCTGATGAAAGAAATCGTAACAGTTTCTATGGCTTGTGTTGTTTCGTGATCAAAACGACCAAATCTTTTTTTGCCTTTTGTCTTTAAGGACTACCCATGCCCGGTGGAGTTGAGATGGTTCGGATGTAAACCGAAAATGTATTTAGTAAAATATTAATTTTATAAAAGGTTATAAAATTTAAAAAAAAAAAAAAAAGTGGGACTAATCAAAGCAATAACCCGAAAATTTGACCCGAACAGCCACATATAAGGCGGGACGCACAAACGGCAATTCACCGCCACTTTCCAAAATAAACCATTAAAAAATTAATTACTCGGTCTATATAATAAGGGATTCTTTATAGTCAGGACTCCAACCCTAATTTCTTCCCTTTCGCCCTGATCCCCAAATTCCGTTCTGAAAGAACCCATAAATTTTCCTATCTCAAATCACTAACGTAACAGTTATGGAAGATCATCAAATCAGCGGAGACAATATCAACAAGAAGAACCAGAGCCCAAGGCAGTTACAGCTATTCGTTAGACTTCTCGATGGCGAAACCTTATCGCTCCAATTCCCGACCCCACAAGTCCTAGTCGGCTCTGTCAAGCACCGAATTCAGGAAATTACCAAAATCCCAATCAATTTCCAGCGCCTGATTCGCGGCCATCAACTCAAGGACGATTCTGTAATTTCCCACTCCAACGCCACCCTCAACCTCTCCCTCCGTCTTCTTGGTGGGAAGGGAGGTTTTGGATCGCTGCTACGTGGCGCAGCCACAAAGGCCGGGCAAAAAAAGACCAGCAATTTCGAGGCGTGCCGGGACATGAGCGGAAGGAGGCTGAGGCACGTGAATGCGGAGAAGAGGTTGGAGGAGTGGAAGGCGGAGGAGGAAGAGAGGAAGTTGGAGAAGATTGCGGAGGATTTTATAAAGAAAAAGGCAAAAACTGGGAAAAAAGGGGTTGGAGATGGAGAGGCTGAGAAGTATGTGCAAAAGTACAGGGAGCAGTCAGCGAGGTGCGTGGCGGTGGTTGAAGAGTCCGTTAGGGCAGCGTGCCAAAACGGAAAGCGGAAGGCGGTGCCAGGAGGAGCTGACCCCAAAAGATTGAAGATTTGGTAAGTTTTTAAGATCATATAATTTGTTTGTAATGTTAGGGTTTGGTTTTAATATTTGGTGTATTAATTTTTTTTGTTTGCTTGTTTTGAATAGGATGGAAAAGAGGAATATGAGTGAGAGTGATAGTGATGATAGCAGTGATGATGAGGAAAATGAGAAATCTGAAGTTTTGAACAATGGGAATTATTCGGATTCTAGTAACGGAACTGAGGGGAGTTCTGCTTCAGTTTCCTGGGGAAGACAGGATGGAGCTTTTTCAGGTGGAGTCTCAAGTGAGAGTGGTTCTGAGGAAGAGAAAGAGGTTGTTCTGCAGCAAAGCTCGGAATCTGATGGGGAAGATGCTCCTAATGTAGAAAATGGCATGGTTGAAGTTGAACCAGAGGTTTATGTAGAGAAGACAGCACAGGGTGCGAATGTGTTCTGCATGGAGGCTGATGTGAGTGCTGGAAGTGAAGCAGTTCAAGCTGAGATGCTGGAACATAATAATGGAACTAAAACTGAAGATCAAGTGAAAATAGTTAGTCAGCGACTCAGTGTTCCTGTGTCAGAAAATGGAGGAGTTGGGAGCAAACCAATTGATGAAGTCAATTGTTCTTCAAATGCAAAATCAGAAGTTCACAAAGAAACAGTAGTTTCAAATGCTAATGTGGCAGAACCAGAAAAGCCATTGAATTTTGATGACGTCAATTCTCCAGAAGAGATGGAGGTATGGCTACACATTTGAAGTTCTTTTCCAGTTTCCTATTTTTGTGTAAACTTAGTTGATTTCCACTCTTGCTTCTCCTTTCCTTTTTAGTTTATTAGAGAGCTAAAGCTCATATTTCTAACTTCTGATAATTTCTTTACCATTTATAATTATTGAAGTTAAGCCCCATTAAAGATTGTAGATGTAGATGGTTTGAAGGAAAGTGTTTAGAGTTGCAAAACTATACGTGAACTATTTGGCTTTCTTTGCGCTCTAGCCCTTAATACTCACATCCCTTGATATAGATCAATAGCATTGACGCATCTGGAAGGGGGCTAAAAGAAGTTACAACTTTCAGCCAACGCTATGATTTTCTAACTAGAAGAGATAGGATATTCTGCAATCTGTAGCTTCTTGCAAGTTTATCAAATACTTTCCTTTAGTCCAAAGCTTAAATCTGGTCATAATTATTTGATGTTATTTATGCTTTGTCTTAATATCCTTGTGAAAAAAAATGGTTGCACATACAAACTAGAATATTGAAGAAAAGATGCTGTTGTTTTTATAATGCTTGCCGTCATGTCAGCTCTAACTATTTTTTCATTTCTATAGGTTCTTGGATTGGAGAGGATGAAATCTGAACTGCAGGAACGTGGGCTAAAATGTGGGGGTACTTTGCAAGAGCGAGCTGCCCGGCTTTTCCTGCTAAAATCTACCCCTTTGGATAAGCTTCCCAAGAAGTTGCTTGCAAAGAAATGAAAACCTATATAGTAGGCTTCATCTGACCTCATAGTATTATTAAGGAGTTCCTGAATCTCTGTTACCTATGGGTATCGTGACTGTCTCTTTCCCCTTCAATAAAATTTAACAACTGGTTGGTAAACATTACACCTTGCCTGAACTGAATTTTTTTGAGAATTGTGGTAGGATGACGATGATGATTTTTCTTGTAAACGCCCATTCATCTCATTCTTGTTTATCCTTTCAATAAAATGGAATATTTCAAGCTTTTTTAGCGTGCATATGTTGGTACTGCCCTTTGGCTAGATAAGCTGATTCAGTCATGTTTGGCTGGGAGAAATTGCATGTTACATACTTCTTTTACTCTTTTGAATGTATAAAGAATAAGAGCTATGCCTACTGTGATCGCATACGAACTGAGAATTAAAAAAATGTAATTGTAACATATCAAACAATGTCGGTGTGTGAATTAGCATCCTCCGCAGATGGAGAGTTTCGGCACACCGGGCATGTAGTGTTCATTCGTAGCCACTCATCGATGCATTCTGCGTGGAAGCAGTGTTTGCATTCTGGTATGCACCTGATTGTGTCTTTGCTAAGGTATTCAGACAAGCATATGGGGCAAGTGCTGTCATTCGGGCCAGGGATTCTCCGACTCTCACCTAGCACCAACTTTTGATAGGATTCAATCGTGGACTCATCCAGCCCTGTTACAACGGGCACGGGTTGTGGCAACACTGCAGAAGGATCGGTGCTCCGCCGTGTGGAATTTTCCCTGGCACGACGGCGACTGTCCAGACAGCACGTAAAGACGGCGATTCCTATTGCGCATGATACTGCTGGTATAGCAATAGACAAGCATAAAATCTTGAAAACTTGAAGACCGTTACCCGATGTGCCTGAAATATGAGATCATATGGAAATTTTGACATTTGATTAGATCTAATGTTATTTGGAACTGGGGATACACGTGATTTATTCTTCTGATGCTAACTTTAATAGGAATAACTTCATTCCACTCTTCTACTTAAACAAAATTCATGTATTTCAGTGGGTTCGATTATTATATCGGCTAAAATATAAGCTACCTAGGCCCCCTGAAGGATTAATTTGTCCAACAGATCATGCAATTTCTTTACTTTTGTTCATATTCCGAAGGTCAATGTCATAAAATCTGATTGATCAATTCTTTTTTTTTTTTTTGAGAAAATTGATCAATTCCTGTTAAAACTGACTATTTGCTTGAGATTTTCCCATTCTAATCTACCGACGGGCCTGGAACCATAGTCCCCATGAGCATGGCTCTCTCTGTTTTTACTTTTCACTTTTTCACGCCTATTACTACACTCTTCAGTCTTCTCCACTCTCCTCCATCGATCCCAACTATAGGGGATCAATGCTTTTCTTTACAACATTTTAAACTTCTTACCATATAGTAAATATCTTGGGATACTCCAAGCAGTTGACACTTTAAATGACCCAATCCCCAAAAATTTAATATGAATGGGCGGTTTTCAAGCCATTTGCTGAATCTGGAAGTAGTAGGATCAACTGGGCCGACACTCCTTCAATTTTTTTAATAAATCCAAGGGAAGCTTGGGAACCTGATAAGCATTCTATAAAGGGGAATGCGTTTTATAGAAGTTTGAAGCTGGGGGTGATCCCAGAAGCAGAATCAAGAGTTTCTGGCTCTTGGCTTTTAGGACAAATAGTAGAGAATATTTTAATACTACAACAACCACCTTGTTTGAGCCGTCTTTTATGGGAGAAATGACGTCTTAGTTCAATTTGACATTGCAATAGTGGCTCATCCTTCATAATCTAACAACAATAACTTAAAATTATAAGTGAGTGCGTCATATTTAGTAAAGTCAATGACACTGAAAACGCACTAAATTCGTATATTTCACTCATTCATCATTTTTCTTCATTTGATTAATCCAAAATCATTCATCATTGGTTTAGTGATTGGCCAATACTTTTTTCACAACTTTGCCAAGTTCCCTCAGCTTCCATCCCCACTTCTCTAACCCTTTTTTCAAAGATTATCACGATTCGTGACCCAATCAATGAGTTCTTGAAACATTAATTCTAGCCTAAGGATGAAGTTTGGTTAAACAAAACAAGAGATGTTAATGGATATGCAAAATGATATGATCAATATTCAAGAAAGATTCTTACCTGATTTAGGAAGATGGAAACAGTCAATTTCTTTGCTGTTGTTGCTCTTGAACCCACAGATGCCGCCTTCTGCTTCACAATCTCCACATTGAGGTGTATACCATGTTAGCTGAATGTCATCTTCAAGGTCAGCTGAGAATGTTTCTCCATACTTAGCTGGCCATGAAACAGGAACTGGGAATATAGTGATTATCTGGCAGGATGAGGCCATTGAATTCGCAAGACTCATGGAAGAAGTAGCCAGGACGGAGTTTGTTGAATTGCTTAGGCAATCAATGGTGGTGAACCGAGACTTTGTGACTTGAGTTGGGCAGTTTAGGAAAGTGTAGTTCTGATGAAAAGCAGCAAGAAAGGGAGAACCTGAAAGATTGAAGCTAAGAAGTCGCTTTGGAATGCAATTATCAGGGTCATAAAGATATATCTGTTGGTCGAGATAATTGATGTCGCGAACGAAAAATTCTCCAGAGTAAGGAAGTTTTAGAACAATCGTATTCTGACTTTTGCAACCTAGGTTGAAACCAGGATATCCACAGTTTTCAGGGAGCTTGCCTTCTAGTTGGAAAGGGAATTGGATTGGAATTTCATTTTTGCCACACTTGGTTGTGGAACAAGGCTCTGCTGCATATATAAGAGGAAAGAGGAAGGAGAAGAAGATGAGAATATCCATGTTCAAAAGGACTGAAGCCAGGGATGGGCATGTCTCAGGATAAAGGAAGCAAACCATTTGAAGACTCCATTAACTTACTCAACTACACAAAAAGTCAACTATTAGAAAAAGTTCTCTAGCTTGTTTGAGAGAATTTCCAATTTGACATCACCTAAGGCCGTCTGTTTATGGTCTCAGAAATTACTAGGAATTCTATAGACTATAGACTACAGACACAGCAATCGAAACACCACATGCAAATGTTTTAGCTCTACTTGTTTTCTATTGCATCCCAATTCAGAAAGGGAGAAACCCTAATGACTAAACATGGAAAGTACTGCCATATGCTTGTTGCATCATTTTTTAAAACATGCTTGTTCCAAAGGGAAATGATCTCATCCCATAACCTAGAGGAAACAAATATAGAATTTTCGTTCTGAGATGATCTATGGAAACTTTCCCAGTTCCCTTTCTTAACATTGGCTAAATTGCAAAGTTAATCTAATTACTAATATTGCCCAAACCGATTAGGGTGATTGCTAGGTCCCATCTACATCAGTAGTAAACTGGAAAGGGGAAAACTATAGCGCTGCTGGCGGCAAGCGTGTTTCCTGCTTGGAGTGGCCCTAGATCCTTTGTTTCCGGTTCCTCTGGTTTCTGTATTACTCACTTTTTTTATTTCCTTTTTGTAATGTTGTTTCTCTGGTTCTTACTCTGGTGCCCAAAAGGGAAATAAAAAACCTAGCGCGCTGTGCCATTCATCCATTCATACAACTTTATGCCCATTTCTGACAATGTTTTGCATTTTTACAGGCATATGTTTCTCCTAATATGTGGCATGTCATGTTTTGATACTGGGCAGAAAAGCAAGGCTACGTGGAGGAAGTCCAATCAAAGCAAATCTTATGTTTTGAGTTATTTTTTCCTATTCTATGGGAACGGTTAGAAGTAAGAACAAATCAATTTGAATGATGAGAAAATCTCGAAAGGAGTCACAACGGCCTTGGGGAGAGAAACAGAACTTCTGCGACGTCGTGTCAAGCAGTGTCAAAGCAGCTGCTGAGAGATTCTAATTGAAACAACTTCCCCTTCAGCTCCAGCTCTCATGATATGGTACTTTATTAGAATTCCTGCTACTTAGAAAAAGAAAGAAAGCTGAGCAAATCATAACACATTAATCAATAGGAAAAGACATCTTCTGTAATCAATCATGTTATTCATAGTTGAAATCAGCAATGAATAATTCTAATCTAAGCCAGGTATAGACCATCAGTTTATGTAATTTGCAAATTTCCTTCTATTTTCACTACATTTGTATATTGTGAACTTGTTACCTTGATTTTCTTGTAAATTAGTGTTGACTGCAACTGCATGAAGAGCAATTATAGCTTTTGGTTGAAAGTCATTGGCTTTTCCTATCCATGACTTACAATTGAAGACCCCTGCCAGTTTATTGGTAAACTAAATCAGATCCTCCAGCATCTTTTTCAATAGGAGTAAACCAATCTCACTTATTCAGAGGAGCTTCACTCCCTCCTATTTAGGATAAAAAAATAAAGGTTTTCTCATGCTTACTTAGCTCGATACAGAGCTTCATTTAGGTAATAATCACTTTCTTCTAGTACTGTTTGACATTTGACGGCTCGGTGATCTCAAGAAAATATGTTAGTATTCTAAATCAGCCCAATTAAATTAAGAGCTGCTCTGACCATTTTAAAAGGATAGCTGAAGTATTTTTTTGGTTAAGAGTATTATTCAAGGTTTAATTATGCAACCAGCAAAAAGAGGACTATCCTTTAGCATTAACAAAAACGGAAATTATAAAAATGCTGAAGGATAGTCATTGTTTGAAAGGTTAATGAAAACTGAAATTACCAAAAGCTCCCCCAGTCCCAGTTACCAATTGTCGATTTAATTCTTAGCAGTCTGTTGGAGGCTTGTAGCGCATATGTCAGCTTGGTGGTGCAAAGGGATTTCATATCTTAATCCTTTTACCTAATTCACTAAGCAAAGCTTGGTAAATAAACTTTTCTGGATTGATCAAGCACGGATCAAGCATCCACAAAAGCATTTTCATCTCAACAGTTGTTGCTTGATTCTATCTAGCTTACAAGGCTAGGCGGCTAGTTAATGTAAATGCATTCTTGACAAGAAGAGAATGACAAAGGAGTAAATTCAGGTGGAGAATCAGGTTTTACCCGCTGTTGTTTTGCTTGTGAGGTACTTGAAGTCAAAGATGGCCCCATAAGCTCGTCGTACTCTCTTTTTGATTTCATGAGATCCAATAAGCTCATAGTCCCAACTTCCGTCCTGGTACCCCTGGCTCAGGAACAGCTCAATGTGCCTTGCATCTAACATCTGCATTGTTCCTACATAAACAATCAAATGTTCTTTCTTCAGGTCTGTTGCTTCCTTTTATGAAAAAGGTAAGCGCAGTTTTTATGTGTGTGGTCCAGGTTAGAGCCTAAAGTTATGCACTGCAGATTACTCAACATAAATTTGGCATCACAAATCAAACCAGTAATCTAGGTTTAAACAGGAAATATATGATGCATGCATGATCCTCTTAGCTTCTTTTTTCTTTACGTCATCCAGTGTCAAGCATGGTCCTGCCAAATACAAGGATGCCCTTTCTGTCGATAAATTAGCCTGCCTTTTGTTAAGTTCGCAACTATGATCCCAGCAGAAAGTAGTTGAGAACAGAACCGAGATCAGCAGAAAATGAGACAACAGAGATGAATGCAAGTGGAATTTCATAGATTTCTATGCCTTAACTTGCACGTTCATAGTCTACTATCAAGGATCTTATCTACCAAATAAGAGGAACAAAATCTCACACTCTGCACTTTCGTCGGCAGCAAGTCATTTTCATTGCTCACCTTCACATTTTTCTTGGTCACACACCGGGCACCGAACAAGCTGTAAATCTGAAAATTTCAACCATGTTAAAGTACAAATTAGTTGGAGTTTTGACCACAACTTACATAAGAGCACATTCCATATTACAAAAGAAAAATGCCAAGAGTCATTTCGTCCCACTTTTAACAGTACCAGCAATCCAGATTCCTGTCTTGACTTTCCTTAGCAGGCATGCCCCGCACGACTGCAACATTTCATCTATAATTTCTTGTTTTGGGATTTTCACAGGTGGACTCAGCCTTTCACTCAGAAATGCTACATCTGAATCGAATGAAAACGCTCCAATGCGCATCCAGTCTGATTACTCCCCAGGAAAAACAAACTACAGTCAATACCAAATTGTCCTTATGCTAAGACCAGCAGCTCATATCATAATCTCAATATAGATTAATAATCATATGCATCCAACAAATTCTACAGTTAATGGTGCTAAACTTGAAACTTCTAACTATTAACAAACCAATGGGTTGGTAAAGAGAACTAACCAATATGTTTCTTCTGCTGGCGGAACATGTAAGAGTGACTCCCATCTGCAAAAACCATTGGAATTTAAACTTCAAAAAGTTAATGTACACTTGTAAGATATCTAAAGGGATTTGATTTTACCAAAAGTCGAAGCATAGAGCTTGGACCAACCGAATGCCACTTGGCCAGGATCGGGAACCTGAAGATCACGCAAGCATGCGAACTTCCATATACATTCTTGCATGATAACGTTGTTAAACCATTTACTCGTTGCTCCCAGCATCACCAACGATCTTCCATCCAAAAACCTGGCTATGTATGTCCATAGATCCCGCTCGTACCTTATTGAGTATATGAAAAATATAGATTAGTTTAACCATATGACAGGAATTTAACGATAAATTACTGTTTGGTTACTGAGAAGAGAAAAAAAAATAACTAATACAACATATGAACTTAACTTGGACCGATCACTTTTTCGAAAATTAAGAGTTGTTGCGTTCTGTTTTGAGCAAACATTAATCAGTTCAAACTAGAAATGTTTCAATATTTAAACTTTGTTCGAACAAATGAGTAAAAGAATTAACTGAAACGAAGTTAATACCAAGAATTTGTTTGGTAACTGAGAAAATTTAACAGAATAATAGAAACTGAACCTTCTACTTTATAAAAAAAAAAGAAAAAGAAACCTTAAACATTATGAAATTTGAAGATTACGAAGCATCTCAAAAGGCCGTGAATATCTCAGATTCTGCCATTTCTCAGCTACCATTCGAGGAGAAAAATGCATTTCAATGCCACAACTTCTAGAACAAACAGAGTTTGGAACCGAATCGTATCTGAAGAGCAGAGAATCGTTTAAACTTCTAGATCAATGGTTCATGGAGGCCTTTTTTTAGGGGGAAAAATAGAGAGAGAGAGAGAGAGAACAACAGAAATGCTATATTTTTTCTTTGATTTTCTTTATTTGAAACAGCTCATTGATGCATGATGAGCGCGAACCTTCGAGGTACGAATAATGAGAAGAACTGTGATAAAAGAAAAAAGCTTCATCGTGAAGTTGTTTTAGCTGAATCAGCTAAAACTCAAGCAGTTCAAATCCTTTTGATCACTCGTTTCTTCAGATTCAATTTTCATAGTTATATTAAAATTAAATTCAACTGAATTTAGGTTAAAATTAATTGAAGCAGCTCAAAATCTCAAAATCATCAAGCTGCCAATCGTCAAAGAGAGATAGAGATTACCTACTGAAGGTACAGCGATAAGAGAGATAGAGATTACCAACTGAAGGTACAGCGATCAATGCAATGAGGAGAGGTACAACTGCAAATTCTCTTCGTTCTCTTCAATCGGTTCCTCATTCTGTCTCTCTTCTGCGTTTTCTTTGTGAATATGAGAAGACTCCAGGTACATATAGGCGACGCGCCAAATCCTCATATTAAAAAATTATTCGAAAAAGAAAATGAAAATTCAAAACATAACGGATCAGAATGCTTGGTTGGGCTAAAGTAATGGATCCTGCTATTGGACCTCTTTCAAATATTACTGGCCTACTCTGTTCCGTATCCAATTGCCTGGGCTTGAATGATTAAGGCTTACCTAAGTTTTATATAAACAATTCTTTACATATATATTGAAAAATAAAGAAATTCGATCGTAATTCTTTATAAGTCAAAAAAAAAAAGCATCAATTATTTAAATAAATGCTCATAGGTAATAATTACTTGTTCCAGTCAAGAAGAATTACTTTTGTAAAATGTTATGATCTTCGATTTACTTTCAGCCAACAATAATAAACATGTGAGACAAGATGGGGTGAGGTGCAAGTGCAACAATACTATACTACTGTAAAAGCCACCAGCCAAAGAGCTGGTAAATTTACATATTATAAAAAAAAAAATTTAAAATGGTTGTGGGGGGGGGGGGGTGTAAAAAGGGAAATAATTACAAGCTCACTGGTGACAAAAACTGAGATTCCTAATTTGCTTCAGATTCTGATTTTATCAAATACTATCTCGAAGGGGAGAGGTCCCCATCTCTTAGTAGTTCTTTAATGCTTCGTCAAGATATAAACGGGACGATACACCTTAATTCATATATTTTCTGACAGTTGGGAGCTTTACAAGGGCAAGGAACTTTAAGTTAATTGTGCCCATCAGGATCAAACAAATAATCATACCTGTCAGACAAATCATACAAATGCCATATTATATCATCCAAATTGTAATTAAAGTATCAATAAGTGAATGCAGGCTAGCTTTAATATACAGAGACAGAAATAGTGAGAGGAGGAATCCACAAATCTTACGTTCGCTCATCGCCAGCAGACACATTGGTCTCAGCAACATGAACTATCCGACTCTCCTCATCACCAATGATCCTTGCATAGCAATTAGGCATGCACTGCAAGAGAGATAATATTTTCAGCCTACAAAGAGCATTCATAATGCTACACAAGTAACACTGACGCTACTTAAGTAATCATAGGGACATCCTTCCCTTCAGGTTATATTAGTAGGGAAGGGGGCCCAATTACAATGCCATACTGAATGATTGGTTATGCATGCAATATTCCCCTTGAGGGTGGCATCGATCACTACATCCTCACTGATTTTCAAAAGCTGCATTACATAGCAGGCAGCAGCAGCAGCAGCAACAATAAAAAGTGGACCTATCCAAAAAGCAAGGGTCTATCAAGCATGATTAATTATTACAGACAATCAAGGAGTCATTAAGACTCCATCATGTGTCAAGTTAGTACAGCAAATGGAGAAACTTTAGCCATTTTGTAAATGCTTTATATTACACATAATCAAACAGATGATAGGGAAATTTATCTTACGGTTGGGAGAAACCATTTGCATGGAATTTTTTTCAGGAATTCCAGCCATTTACCCAATCTAAGTAAACATATCAAGTTGTTCAAAAAGTCAAGGATCTTTTCCATATTAACTGCTAAGACAAACTACTTAGTCAATTGGGTACTTCAGCATTGTCAAACCTTGAAAGGTCATGAAACCAAGAAAATATTGGCATGCACTTATCAATTCAACAGTCTAAGTGGAACTTCTATAGTATAAGCCACCACAAAATCATGTGTAGAACCATAGCACTTCATGATGATTCTTTGGTATGTTGAATTCTACCTCTACCAACTAAAAAATCTAGACCATTGAGATAGTCAAATCTAAACCGTTTGAATACCAGATGCAGCACAGCCATAAATCAAATAGAGGGATTAAAAGAAACTTACATAGGAATCTTTTCCTTCAGAAAGATACCGTGCCTCCCTAAGATATGCAACACCGCGCCTAACCTGCTCGCCACGATACTCAACGTCATGGAGACACACATGCTGGCAATCAACACTCAAAACATAACAATGGTCGTCCTGAGGAAAATGAAACTTCAAACCGAATGTATGTAGATGTTTTAAGAAATGGACAGAAACGGAGATAGCAGTACAGACAGTACCAATTCTCCTCCCTGAATGTTCCAATGTGCAAACAGGCCCCATCCATGAATACCAGATTTACCAAAAAAACACTGTGATTCTAAGCTCCCTAAAGTCACATTTAGATTGAATTAGAAAACCATATCAAACTAAGGAATAACCAAGGGACATAATCAAGAACCATAGCTTACCTGTAACTCTTGGGATTCACGTCATAATCGCAGAATTTTTTTTCTTCGGAGTCGTCGTAGCTCGATTCTTCCATCTTGCAGCGTTTCATGCTCGGCATTTCAAGATTCCACGTCCGTTCGATTACCATCTCCCCTATCTGTCTACGCAAGTCAACCAAAACCCTAATTTCACATCGAAACAAAGGCCCCCACTGGTTCAACGCAATCGGTTGCCCCAAATTCGTGTCGGTGGTTGAGAAATTGAAAACCACGACTACCAGAATCTCGATTAAAACCCTAAAAAACTCCCGATCGATACATTAAGGAAAAGAGAGAGAGAGAGAGAGAGAGAGAGAGAGAGAAAGACTATAAATTTCGCAGTTTCTTCCAGCTTTGTATATCTTCCAAGGTTCTACAAAATTCAAACTTCAAGATTTAATTTTAGCAAAAGACAACGAAGAAAAAATGGAAATAGAGAAAAAAAGAGTTGGCGGAGGGTAATTAGTGTTGATGTGAAATTGATATAGACAAAGGCATAGGTTTGTGCTGGTGACCTAGTTTAAGGACGAAAACCGTATGGCGGGTTGGCACATATGATGACGTGTTTTGGCTCCAAAAATAGGGAGATTGGAGAGGAAGACAATTTGGATTCGTGTGAAGCACGAAACGAAACTTGAAAGGTGTGGGGAAGTGGCCAGTGGCAGTTGCGATTGTTTATCTAATGGGTTTTGAGTTGGGAAGTTTTTGGGGTTAACTCCGTGGCACGTCGTGCAGACTTTGGCGCCTCTGGCTCTGGCCTTTCCGATTTAAAGTATAGTTGGTGCTAGCATAGATAATAGTTCATTTCCGATCAAGTTTAATTTGAATTTTATAAATGTTATATAATATTCAAATTTTAAATTTTGATTTAAATTTAATTAAATATTTATTTTATTTAAATTTAATAAAATTATTCGATTTGATTCGATTTATTAATTTTTATATATTATTGTAATATATAATTTTTAATATATTTTAATAAATTTTGATATAAAATTATTATTTTTATTTTATAAAATTTTAAAATATATATGATTTGATCTGATTTAATTTTTTTTATTTTTTATGATCTAAAATGTTATCCAAACATAATATATATTTAATATTTAAATTAAATAAAAAATTAATCTAATCTAAATCATATACTATAATTTTAAAACGATTTTTGATTTTTTTTCTTTTTTCGCGCCCCGGTGTCTGGTGGATCTTCTTTATTGCGAAGAGTTAAAAGAAAGAGGTCTCGGAGGTGAATCCGTGGGTTAAATCCAAAATCCAAGAATGCGGTAGAAAAAAGTTCTATAAAAAAATCCAACCCTGGGTTGAGCTTTTTTCCTTCCAAAGGCAAGGAACAGGATAATGATTACGTATTAAAACGACAGCGTGACGTACGCCACTGGCACAAAAACAAAACCACGCAATTTTAGGTTGGTTATAAACCATTTTAAGACCTTATTCAGATTTTGCTTATCTGGAGGCAAAAATTGTTTCCTTTTTTTTTTCGATGCTTCGGCTGGCTGATAGTAAAATGTTTGAGCAAGAAGATTGTGTTGGTAGTGATGGCATCAGGGGAAAGAGAGAGGGCCTTCGTCCTTGTTAAAGTTATAGCAGTGTGACTTTCGCAACCTTTCCCACAGCGATTGCTCTCGGCTTAAAATCCATAAAACTGACTGCAATTGGTTGGAAGAAAATGTTGGATCATTTGTTGAGATTTTTTAACAAAAACAAATTTCACAATAAAATCATTACAAAATAAATTACACATAAAAAATAATATTTAACATAATTTAATTCAATTATCTATATTCACAGATAAAAAAAAAAGTTAATTATAAACGTAAAATTTATAAAAAAAATATAAAATCTCATAAACAAACATTAATTTCGATTTTCTAAAATAATTTTAATTTTTATATTCTCTAATATATAACTTATGAAATATTTTTTATTTCATGCAAACCAATATTTTTTTAAATGAACTTTCTTTCGTATCTTTATAGATTTATCTTTCATAATTTTAAATTTAATGTTTAATTTATATTTATAAAGCTCCGTTTTGTAATTATAAAATTTTTTTATTTATTAAAAATATTTATCTTTAAATAAATTTAATTATCAAATAATTTTTTAACTAATAAAATTTTGATGAAATTTAAACTTATTTTTAATCAAAATTTGAATAAATTTCTGAAAAGAAAAAATGCGTGGGCTGCATTCTCGTATTGAATGTTAACCTACACTTCTAAAAATTTTAGAATGTCTTGTCAGCTGCTTTCATACTTCCTGCGTTGATCAAATCTCCATGTTGATCCTTTTTCTTATAGTATTCGTTCATTTGTTCTCTTTGAGAAAACTTTTTGAGCTATAGGAAAACTGGTGAAAGGTCAACTTAATTAGAAGTTTTGGATGCTCTGTATTCTATTTTTCTTTTGAGTTTATATTTAATGTATTGAAGATTAATCAAATGATATTATTTTATTAATAATTAAATATAAAATTTTACAAGTATTTTAAATAAATATATAAAAATTTATAAATAATATATAATTATATGATTCGCTAATAGTTTATAAACTTTATATACAATACATTAAATATAAATTATTTTCATTTTATGCAAGTTGTTTTAGTAGTTTTGTTTTCACAAACTTCTGATTTGTGCAAGAGCTTTAAGCTTTTTATGAGATTCACCTTGCCTTGACTTCTGTGAAATCCTGTCAAGTTTTAGTATCTGGATTTGTTAGAGTGGGGAATAATTAAACCAACTGGTGCTTTGAATGGATATTAAAACGGGTTATTGAAGGTGGGAATTCCATTTCCAAGCTTTGACACCGTGATGACTGCAATCCTCGGTGTTTCCCAGTCAAATTATGAAATAGACCATATATAACTTTGAAATGAACCAGGCAATATCCGACAAGTGAACAGGGGAGTCAAATCGTGCAATGTATGCTATAATGTAAAAGGAGAATCACTTTTGTAGAAGTACCCCACGATAAAAATTGAGTGCGTTTGGTCCCGATCAGGATGGATGTCAGGCAATGCCACTCCCATTATTTGGCGTTCAGAACTCTCCTGTTAACTTGGCATTTGGGACTCTTTCATTGGTTCTCCTGGAAAACAAATACAAAGACTTCATTGGCCAGTTTTGGCCAATCCTGTCTCCGCATTCATTAAAAAATTTGGTCAAATTAAACATTTAACAGTGAAAGACACTTAAAGAACACTAACCAACGGCAATTTTCGTTGACAAATGTCGAAAAAGAACTTTATAATTTTTTCAAAACCGAATATCTTTTCAAGCATAAACAAAATTTTAGCTCAACCTAATGCGGCCCCACTCGGTTTAATTAAGTGCCTATACCAATGGCCATTACATGTTAATCGATGTTATGTTCTAGCATGTGACCTGCATAAAAGATTATAGCAATTTTTTTCTCCATTAGTGACAGAAGAACCCATTCCTCTTTGCAGCATTTTTCAGTATTAAAATTTGATATTTCCTATTCCAAGAAGAGTTAAGAAGATTGTTCAAAAAATTTTTTTTAGTTTAGTTTAACATTATTATTACAGTTTAAAAAATTCTCAAATTGGAAAATATATATTTAAAAATATGGTTAAAAATATAATTTAAATTTTTTAATTATTTATAATATTATTGTAAAAAAATATTATTAGTGCATTAAATTATCCAAAAATATATGTAAAATAATAAAAATTTAAAGTTATAGAGATAAAAAATAATTTTATCTAAATAATGCTTTTGAACTGCAAAAGCACGTTTAGTTAGCAAAATTAAATTTTTTTAAAAATTTTCACCCGTTTAACATTGAGATTGCAATTGCAATGAAATCAAACTTTTTGGTCAATAACCTGTTTCCAACTCAACCTAAGTGGGGCTAACTGGATTTCACCATTCTTCCTTAAAGCAACCTTTAATAAAAGTCAAATACATAGAGTTGGAATCTACTTATAGTAGCGTGACTTATGATTTTTTTATTTTAAAATCAAAATTATTAAATTTAAAAATATTATTTTTATTTAAATGAATTATAAATTTAATTTTGATAAAAAAATAACAAATATAAGAATTACATTAATATATCTCAATTTATAAATATATGTGATGAATAATCCATATAAAAAAAGCAAATGAAAAACTAATACGATGTCGGCTCTGTCCATCTTTAGTGGAGTTCAAAATTATTATATTTGCTAATGCTATGATCAAATTTCGTGCATGGAAAGTGAAACAAAATTTATGCACTTTTTCTTGTTAAGAACTAAATAAAACATTGCTCTTTTCCTGATCATGTTAGCAGTGACGTAGAAATTGCACTTTGTTAGCCATGAACCATTCTTTCAGTTCTGTCCTTTCAATGGGCTGCAGCCATGTTTAATATTCTGTTATAATTAAATTGTTAAATTTTTTTAAAATTTTGTTTCATTCTTATTTTAAATATTTTAATTAATTAAATTTCATAAAATATATATTTAAAATTATCTCATTTAAAAATTTAAAAATATTTCTTTTCTATTTTTATCAACGACATATATAATAATAAAGGATCAAAGTTAAAAATAATTAAAAATAAAAATGTGATAATTTAATTGAAACCGAATGAATAGCAACAAATTCCCCAATTTAATACTAGAGTAATTACTACTATTCTAACCCTAGCATTGTCTCTAATCAAACTACTTTTTGTGTCCAATTGTACACACATTAAAAAACACTACTAGTACTACACAATTTGTAAATTGGGCGAATAATGTTCGTTGTACCTTGACCTGATTTTTTTTTTTTTTTTGGTTCGCCCCTTTCGTTATATGCACAGATATGAGAGTCTTATTTACTTTTTTTTTTGTTTTTTTTTGAGGACTTGAAAATTTGTCCTCTCTAATTTCAATAAAATATTTTTTAAAATATTTTGAAACATAAATTATTAAAAATTTATGTGAAGATTTAATTGGAGGAAAACTAAGAAAAAAAATGGAGCAGAAATTCTCGCAACTAGAGATCTATAAAGGAAGTTTTTGTCTATTTGCCTCTTAACAAGTAGCATTAAATTTCTTCTTATTCACATTTGTTTTTCTTTGCCATTACTAAATGGTTTTATTTTGTATTTATTAAAATTTTATATTTAAATTAAATGTTTAACATAATATCATAATTTTATATTTTATTATGTCTTTTTTTTTGTTTTATAATTTTATTAAATTAGTATCGTACTAATTTTATTTATGTGTAATTCATATGATAATTCAATTTATATATAATAAAAAATATTAAATTTAAGTTAAATAATTTTATTTATTATTAATTAATTTTAAATTAAATAAGGAGTTATCTTATATGATTTATTGCTTTGATAGCGACGGGGATGGGAAGGTCAGTTCATTATTTTATTTAGTAATCTTTTTCCACAACAAATTAATATCTATATGATCAATATTGATAAAAATGCAAGCATTGTAACGATCAAATCACTCTACTTTCTTTGTAGTTCACCTTCGCTTTTCTTCTTGATATTTATTATGTGAGTAAAAGAAAAACCTAGAATAAGTTAAATCTCTTTGTATGCTAGCTAGAATCAATACATTTTTTAAAGCATTGATTATCTTTGTGTTAGTTTTAGCAAACTCGGCAGGACTAGCAGTTAAGATACTTGTATTTTCATCCAAAAGTTACTATTACCAAAGATGTAGGCCTTTCAATAATTTTCCCTTTAACCATTGTCACATGTAATGCTTGCCTTCTTTCTTAAACGGATATATTCAATCTCATATATATTATTGAGAAATGCATCACTTGTAGTATGTATACTATATAATTTATCGCTTTTAAATTACGAACCAAAAATTATATATGTTGTTTTTTCCCAAATAATCATGCTAATTAATATATGCTTTTACAACCCAATTTGTTGCGTAACAATATTCGCAAATATCATTTTCAGAGAGTACCGTTATCCACACAAGACACACGCTATAACACGTAGGTATAAACGATTTTTACAATTTTTTTTTTTTTAATTTGAATACAAGTCATCACATTAACTTGAATATTATATTAATTTTAAATAAAAAATGGGATTACACTATTTTTTTCACGTGTTCATTCATCTATGTTAATAGGAGTTTTCCCTTTCTTTTTTTTAATATATTTTCGAGTTAAGAAATTTGAAATTATAATATATTAGTAGCACTAATTTAATACAATTATTGGCCTTCGTAGACATTATGAAAGAAAAGGACCAAAGCTAATAATTCTATGAGCTACTAATTAGCTATTACTCCTAATTACGTCGCCTAGACTTTCATAAGCAAGAAAGTACATAATTTATGTAAAAGCATTTTTACATGTACTCGTCATGTACACTTATTTATTTCATACATTTTTTTTTACTCTAGAGACTTAAATAAAAAAATATTAAATTTTTTTATGGATTAAAATAAAATTTTAAAATTTTATATATTATACGAGTGTGTGAAATGAATTTATTTAGATGAATCTGTATATCATTTTTCGTTTTGTAATTATTTCGTTTGGACTTTCATATGTGGAAGAAGTGTGACCGTGTAATTTGGCTGGTCAGAAATTAGAAAGAAAAATGGAAGAAAAAAAGAGTAACGAAAAATAATTTTCTTGTCATTGCATTTGGATATAAATGAAAAATACAAAAATATTAAAATAATTATAGATAAATGAATGATTAACTTATGTTGAATGAACAAATTTTCTTTCATTTAAAAAAAATAAATGAACTCATTTTCCATTTTTATTCTATTTATCTTCTATCAGAAAAATAAAATTTTCTTTCCACTTCTTTAATTTTCCTTTTCTTCTGCCAAACATAATTGATAATTGATAATTCTACCAGAGGTTACCAGGTGTGGACCCGAGCAAGGCGCGGATCCCCCAGCTCACTCTACCCTATAATGCAAACTGTGAATGGGCGGGCGGGCAGCTGTGGCCCAATGTAATTTTCAAATTTTACCCTTTAAAGAAATTAGTATTATATTTATTTTATTTTTGATATTTGCAAGAATAAAATGATACAGTGTATAAACCAAGGAACTGCCATAAAATGCCATATACTTATCTGACCGTTAAATCTCCGCCCTTCCTTCCTTATCACACCCGGTACTCTCTCTTATATCATCTCTTTTTCGTCCCCCACCTTTCTCTTCTAGCGGATGAGAGCTTCAATTCGTACTTTTTCAATGGTTTTGCCCTCTTCATTATCCTATCTCTGAAGTACCTTTTTTTTCTGCTTTTAACTATTGTATCCCCTATTATCTATTATTGCTGCGCTTCCTTGGGAAGTTTATACCCTTTTTTCACCCTGTTCTTCAACCTTGAAGTCTCAGAAAATTTCCTGTTTTGCTGCTGCTGCTGCTGCTTGGTAATTATTGAATATTCCAACATTCGAATCAGTAGTCCATGTTAATGGAAGTCTGCCTGTGCTGAACTTTTTTTTGTGGGGTCTTTAAGTATTGGTTTAATGAGGTATACATAACTAGGTAATCATTCTTTGGTGGGGATACTGAATTGCGGCCTTTTAACTGTTATCTTGGAATTTAAGAGAATTGGGTTATGCTCCAAAAACACTATTTTTGCAATTATGATTTTGTTTAATTAAGTTTTTGATTATGACAAAACCTTTGGAAAGAAAATGATACGCAACTAATTCATTTTCTTGGTGCAGCTATTGATATCTATCTATCTATCTATCTAAAGGCCTTCAAGTTTCAAATTCGTTTTTCCTATCTACCGAAGGTTGAAAATGGCTCCCAGGAACAGCCGCGGAAAGTCCAAAGGAGAGAAGAAGAAGAAAGAAGAGAAGGGTATTACTATTTGTTAATTCCCCATTAAAAGCGTCTTGATAATTAGCACGAAACTGACACCTCTCTTCCCCCACCTTTTTTTTTCTTTGCAGTTCTTCCAGTGGTCATGGACATCACCGTACACCTCCCTGATGAAACTCATATTATTCTCAAGGTTCGTTCCTCGCTCTTAAAATTTCATGTTCTTGACTTCTTGTGCACCCTCCATAATTTATTAACAAGCTTTGGCTCTAACTATGCTTCTAATATTGTTTATCGTGGCACCATTTGTGTCTGTGTGCGCGTTTCTTTAAATTTTAGAAGCGTCTTTTCCTTGTTCATGCTTTTGGAGCTTTAAATAATTTTGTTACACATCGTCTTCGTCAGCATGATTATTTTATTACTTTTATCACTGCAAATGCTTACTTTGGTTACTTGATTTCCAATCCAAAGGAGATTACAAATTAAATATCTGAAACAAACGATTTTTTTTATTTTTTATGTTATAGATAATAGGTAGGTATTTTGACTACATATCTATCATTTATCATTAAAGTTAATCTTAAATGAAGTACAGGCTCTTTCCATGCGTGATACGTGTCTTTTTTAAGACATAAAAGGAATTATATTATTTGTTAAAAGTATTTGTGATAATTTAAGACAAAAAAAATTAAAAGAAGAAAATAACAAAAGGGAAATTGTGAGAAAAAACAGAGGGAGAAAGGAGGGAGGAACAAAGAGAGAGAAAGATTATGGTTGAGAGAAGAAAGAGGGGCGGAGAGATAAGGCGGAAAGTGGGATACCAGTAACTGCAGCAACAGAGGAGAGAAGGAGGGATGGAGTCAAAGACGAGAGAAATCGAACGAGAGCGGGATCTAACTCGTCACATCAGTTCGATGCTTGTAGTTTTATTATTGTTTTTATTATCGACAATTGCGTGGTTCGAGTGCCGCAAAAAAAAAAAAAAAATCAAGGGTTGCGTAATTTGACTATTGTAATATTGGTTTTCATGGATAATTTGGCAAAATTGGTCTAATTTAAGTTGGAAAAATGGGCAGGGAATATCAACAGACAGGATTCTAGATGTTCGTCGTCTTTTATCGGTGAATACCGAGACCTGCAACATCACAAATTTTTCCTTGTCCCATGAGGTAAGGATCAAAAGGCGGATGCATTTCTAGTACGATTGTATTTGGTCAAGTACTTTAGAAAATATTTAATTTTCAGATTATTAGTCACTACAACATTTTTTTAAATTCATAAAATTTCGACCAAAAATCCGAATCCATGGCAGCTACAAAAGTATATAATCGCAGAAGGGACACACATCTGGTCCAAATTGTCAACATGGTATTTGGAATATTGCTGGAAGTCTCTTCATTGAATCATGGGAATCGTTTTCCATCTCTGAACTAAACGGACTATAATTTTTTTTTAATTTTTGGAAAGGGTGCATTTACATTTTATTTTACATAAAATAAAAATTTTAGTAATGTTATTTTTAACATTCATAATAACAAAAATATTAGTAAAAATTAATTATTAACTTAATTATTTCATTATCTGTTAAAAAAATCCCAACTTTATATGCAAGAGTGACTTAATCATTTTTTGCGCTTCACAGGTAAGAGGGCTGCGGTTAAAAGATACCGTCGATGTTTCAGCGCTCAAGCCGTGCGTCCTAATTTTAACTGAAGGTAAAACTGAGAGGGTAAAAAAGTAAAAATATATGTCGGTTTATCCAAAAGAAAATATGGCCGTTACGCATAGAAAAATAGGCGTTACTTATTCAGTTTATGAGTATGCCATTCTCATGTCCCTAAAAGTTTAATGCTAGTTTCTCTATTTTTGATTAACACCATCTAATTTTTAAAAAAAATAAAAACAGAGGACTACGATGAAGAAAGCGCAGTGGCACACGTTAGACGGCTGCTGGATATCGTGGGTTGCACCACGTGCTTTGGCCCATCGGCCACTTCCAAAGATCAGTCCAAGCCCGACGATGTCAAGAATGCGATGGTTAAGCATGACAAGGGCGGTATCGTCGCCAAGAAAACCACCGTCAGTACGAATAAAGAATCGTTGTCAAAGTATTCGTTGAAGGACGAACCAATGGAGGCAGAAGGAGAGATGAGCCATTCCTGTCCTAAGCTCAGTTCTTTCTACGAATTCTTTTCCTTATCTCATCTCACTACTCCTCTTCAGTGTACTCTCTCAATCTCTTAGCTTTGTTTTTTTTTTTTTTCTTTTTTACAATTTTCTTCTTGTTTCTCTCACGCAGTTTCAACTTAGCAACAATTTTTTGTAGATATAAAGAGGCAAAGGAAGTGTCAAGTTGAGAAGATCACCTGTGACGAGCATCTCTTCTCCCTCGAAGTGAGATCTTCATTCTTGAACCGCTAACAAGGAACTCTCTTTCTTTCTTTGGTATTTGTTATATAATTTTGTGATAATGATCAGGTTAAGCTTTGCAATGGAAAGTTGGTTCACCTGGAAGCTTGTCGGCAAGGCTTTTATAGTGTTGGGAAGCAACGGATCCTTTGTCACAATCTTGTTGATTTGTTACGCCAACTTAGTAGAGCTTTTGATAATGTCAGTTTTGATTTTCTCTTCTTATACATATGTTATTTTATTTTCTGCTAACTTGAAAAATGCTTTGAAATATGATTGATTTGGGATTATAGTTTTTGATTGAGGTATAATATGAATTTTGTTTGGATAACGTTTAATGGAGTGTTTGGTATATATGAGGCCTATGTTGTGATTTCTTTGTGCAAAAGCTAAAGTTATGATTATAAAAAGATTTTATTACAAAAATTGATTTTTGATTGAGTATTTTGAGTTACGAAATGTATTTTATTAAGAAAAAATTTATGGTTGGGCCAATTATTAATGATGGTTTTATATATTTGGTGATCTCAAGTATGAATTGGATTTTGAAGAATTTAAGAAAATCTATGATATTAAGTGACACATTTGGCTGGTTTCTTAATTTTACAATTGATATTATTTCTATTATTCGGAGTTTTATTGGTTGAAATTTTTATAAATGAATTTTACTTATGCTACATTAGATTTTGACTTTCACTTGGAGCTAATAATAGTTTAATTTGTCAAAAGAAAATTTCAGATATTATGATGTTTAAGCTTTGTAGTGCAACTGTTATGTGATTAAGGATCTTTGAAATTTGAAAGCAATCATATTGGAATTTGGAGTTTTTGTATTGGGTACTCAAAGATTTATGTTTAAATTTGTGTGGTGCAAAACTTATGAATATGATTTATTGCATTGGTTTGACAACTATTATAGTTTTATAATAGTTAAATTGATGAAAAATATTTTGATAGTTAGTGAAAAAGAAAATGACGTTAGTGTGTGATTTTTGAGTTAACTAGATGAGTTGTTGACATCGTCATTCAGATTTAAAGTTTTATCTAATTATTTGACATGGATTGGAAGTTCTTTCCAAAGAGATTTAAGGACAATATTACGATTCTGCTGTGCTTCTTGTTATATGTTTTTTTTTTCCTTACTTGTTTTAAATTCATTTATGTCAAGTTAGATGGCTTCTGTTTGGATGGATGGGTGTTATTCAGTTCATGTTTCTTCTTTTGATTTATCTAAAGAATTTTCTTGTGTTAATATACGAGTATTACAGGCATACACTGATCTCATGAAAGCATTTTTGGAACGTAACAAGGTATATGATCAATGAATCACTGCTTGTCCTTTTATTAAGTTTCTTTGACTGACAGTGCTCAAGATATTGTTCATTAAGATAGCCTAGCTCTTGACTGTTTCATAACTTTGCTCTTTTTTTTTTTTTCCCAGTTTGGGAATCTTCCATATGGCTTAAGAGCCAATACATGGCTCACACCTCCAATTGCTGCACAATCACCATCAAATTTCCTGCCTCTCCCTGTGGAGGATGAAACTTGGGGGGGTAATGGAGGTGGTTTAGGAAGAGATGGCAAAAGTGATTTGCTACCTTGGGCCACTGAGTTTTCATTTCTTGCATCTATGCCCTGTAAGACAGCAGAGGAGAGGCAGATACGGGACAGGAAAGCATTCCTACTTCACAGCCTTTTTGTGGATGTGTCCATTCTCAGAGCAGTTAAAGCTGTGAAGCATGTAATGGGAAAGCTAAATTCTAGTTCCGTAAAAAATTGTGAAACTCTTTACACTGAGAGAGTGGGGGACTTGATTTTTATGGTAATGAAAGATGCTTCTAATGCAAGCTGTAAGGTGGACACTAAAATTGATGGACTTCAAGCAATTGGATTGGATCAAAAGAATTTGCTGGAAAGAAACTTATTGAAAGGGATAACAGCTGATGAAAATACGGCTTCACATGTAAGATATTTTCGGGAAAATGTTAATGATGAATGAAAGTCTCTTCACAGTTTGGGATTTAACTTTCTGAATGGTCAGATTGAGACTAATTTTACATATTGACTGCAGGACATTTCGACCCTTGGTATGCTAAATGTGAGATACTGTGGCTATATTGCCATTGTGAAAGTTGTGGGGAGAGAGAATGAGAAAAGCATTCTTCCATCTCAAAGCATTGAACTTAAACAGCCTGAAGGCGGGGCCAATGCCCTCAACATTAACAGGTTCTTTTAATTCCTACTATATCTCAAACATATATATGTATGAGCTATATTATTATTTTATATTTTATAGTAGAGGGACCTAACCGTTGACTTGACATATTTTAACACGTTTGATAAATGCAACTCTTCTTGAGTGTATTTACAGTATGATTTAAAAATAATGTACCAATGCAAGTTTCTAAATCTTTTCTGATGTTCAATAATCATCTTTCTTGGAAGGATAACTTAAAACCTCAAAAATTCAAATCATCGGATTGGTGGTCGCTTGACTTGCACCTAGATGGTGCAGGTTACATGTATTTTCAAGTTTCAACTAAATATTTCCTAGTGTTGAGTATTCATTTATCTTGGAGGGAAAACTCAAACCTCAGCGACGGGAATCATCAGATTAATGGTTGCGTGACTTGCATCTAGATGTTGTGACTTATATGTAGATTCATGTTTCAACTAAATCTTTTCTAGTGTTCAATATTTATACATTCTGGAGGGAAAACTCTGACCTCAACGATGGAAATCATTGGATTGGTGGTCGCTTGAGTTGCATCTAAATGGCTTCCATATCATTTCAAGTTTCAACTAAAATCTTTTCTATTATTGAATATATATATATTTTATCCTGGATGGAAGACCCAAACCTCAAAGATGGAAATTGTTGCGTTGGTGGTTGCTTGACTTGCATCTAGATGGTGTGGCTTACAATAGTTGTTGATTTTCATCGCATTTTAATATTTTTATGTCCTTTTATGCATTTTTTTCTTTTTTTTTTTTAAATAGAAAAGAGTTTCTTTTGAAATGAAAACGCATGATAATTCATTTACTACCAAGTGTTTATTGCTCCTTAGCTTGTGTTTTTTTTTTTTTTTGGCTCTTTTGGGTCATAAGCAGAATTCTTAACAGTTCCCTTTTTCTCTCAGTTTAAGATTACTTCTTCACCAAACAATACCTTCAGAACTCAATAAACCAGCTTCGCCATCACAAGTTTTGGAACATGAAGAGCTTGCTTCTTCCCAACTTTTAGTAGAGAGACTGCTGGAAGAAAGTCTTCTTAAGCTTGAGGAAGAGGAACTTGAACATAAACCTTTTGTGAGATGGGAACTGGGAGCCTGCTGGGTACAACATTTGCGGGACCAAAATAATACAGAAAAAGATAAAAAACCATTTGGGGAGAAACCTAACAATGAGATGAAGATTGAGGGACTTGGGACACCTCTTAGGTCCCTCAAAAACAAGAAAAAAGTAGATGGGAATATAGGGGCTGGAAACTTAAATTCTCATCCAGGCACTGTTGAAAATGTTGAAGCAGCTTCTAGAGAGCTTGAAACCAGTTCAGGAGATGAAGAATTTGTGCTGAAGAGGAAGTTATCTGAAGAGGCGTTTGCTCGACTTAAAGAATCAGAGACTGAACTTCATTGCAGGGTAGATATTCTTGAATAGTGTAGCGTGGAATTTGTGTATGGGATACATTTGTCTAACATGTCCATTTTGCTTGACAGTCTTTACAGGAACTAATTGACTTGTCACAGAAATATTACACTGAAGTTGCTCTTCCAAAACTGGTAATCCTGAGTGTTATCTCCTCACTTTCCTTATTGTGTCTGTAGGTAATGTTGTAGTAGTTCCTGGTTCTAGTACTTTATTATGCAATTACAGGTTGCAGATTTTGGTTCTTTGGAACTCTCACCAGTTGATGGGCGGACTCTAACTGATTTCATGCATACTAGAGGTCTTCAGATGCGTTCTTTGGGACATGTTGTAAGTGCCATACTGTGATATCTTTTGATTCTTAAATGCGTGCCTTGTACAACATCTTTATCCAGCTTGAAAAGGAATTCTTTAACGTTATTTCTTTTTGTTGCCAAAGCTCTCTCAAACTCTGCCAGTTTTCTACTCTCTATTTGTAATGAGTTCACTAATTTTATTAGTTTTCTGAGTAGATTTAACTTGTTTGAGTTTGTTAGAAACATATATCCACTGACATTGCATCATAGTTTGTGAAAATTCACTATACTCCATCTTTTGCTACCTAACTCCATGTCATAAAATTATTTTCCGTGAAAAATGACTTTATTATTTTCCATGATAAGTTGTTGATTGATATTTCTTTTGTGCTCAGGTCAAGCTCTCAGAAAAGCTTTCACATGTGCAGTCACTGTGTATTCATGAGATGATTGTTCGGGCATTCAAGCATATTCTGCAGGCAGTGATTGCCACTGTTGTTAACACTGATAAAATGGCTGCATCGATAGCTTCTGCACTGAACTTGATGCTTGGAGTTACTGAGAATGGGGTATCACACAAGTCTTGCAAAATCCATTCCCTGGTATGGAAGTGGTTGCAGGTCTTCTTGATGAAGCGATATGAATGGGATATTAGCAACTTAGACTTCAATGACATTAGGAAATTTGCAATTCTACGTGGATTATGCCATAAGGTATCGAAGGCTAGGACTTTCTGTTCAAACTTTTATGGGTTTGGAGATGAAGTACATTCCACTGTGTTCACTAAATAGTTGTAAGAAGCTATATTGCCCTTTTTGCCGCTATTTTTGAAATTAAAATGGGATGATGCGTAGGATGCATCCTGGATAGGTCATATATCCTAGTTTCATTATTGCTTTTTTCATGGAAAGAGAGATGCATATAAGCTATGAAGGTAAGAATCATTCTCCCTACACTGGCCCCCTTCCCTCTCCCAGTAGACTTAGATGATGGATTTTGCTATCAAATTGGTTAAATTGATACTTTACTGATCAGAATTGAGAATAAGGGAACAATTCTTTATTGCTATATAGGGTACTATTATGCTTAGGGAAAGGTTATAAACCATAGGCCTTGTTGCCTGTGAAGTTATCAAAAACAGGATGTGGTTGTTGATGAAACACGAACACTAAGCATCAAATTCCTTTTTCTCTCCTTTGCTTCTTTTAGGTAGGAATTGAGTTGGTTCAAAGGGATTTTGACATGGATTCTCCTAGCCCATTCCAACCATCAGATATTGTCAGTCTGGTTCCAGTGCATAAGGTGATAAACTCAAATCTCTGAACATTCCCTTTTCTCCTTCCCCAATTTTGTTTCAGAATTTGTTGATTTTATCATTGCTTTGTATCTGCTGCATTTTATTTCTTTTCAGCAAGCTGCATGCTCATCTGCTGATGGAAGGCAACTTTTAGAATCATCAAAAACAGCCTTGGATAAGGGAAAACTTGAAGATGCAGTGACCTATGGAACCAAGGTATGACTTTTATTGTCTTTCCAAGATGATATGCCTACCATGTGCTTTATCAACTTGATTTCATATCTCTAGTCTCTAACCTGCAGTGTTTTTCTGGTCTTGGCAGGCTCTTTCAAAGCTGATAGCAGTTTGCGGTCCATATCATCGAATGACAGCTGGAGCTTACAGCCTTCTTGCTGTAGTTTTATATCACACTGGAGACTTCAATCAGGTCTTGCTGTTAATCATTTCTATCTTCAATATGTGGAAATCCATATAATACTGGAATAATAGTAACCTAAACAACTTTAGAGTAGTATCCTTATTAGAAAGTTTTGTTTAATTTCTGTTTACTGAGGGTTTCAAGTTGAATGCAAATCAGTAATCTATCTCAATTTCAGGCAACAATATACCAGCAAAAAGCCATGGATATCAATGAGAGAGAATTGGGTCTAGACCATCCAGACACAATGAAGAGTTATGGAGATCTTGCTGTATTCTATTACAGGCTTCAGCATACAGAACTTGCTCTTAAGTATGTTTGTTTGCGTTTATATTTTAAATCAAGGCTTAAACAAGTTTACTACTGATTTTTGGTGCCTTGTAGGTATTGTTTTTAACCCTTTGATACTATATAATATGCATTATAGAAGCAGTAATCTGCACATTTTCTAGTGGGTTTTCAGTGTCACGAATCTAGTTTAATATGCTTAAATGCCTATAACTAGATCCTTTTTCTGTTTCAAATCTTACTTTTTGAACCTAATCTTATTGTTTGCTTCTGCACATTGTGAATTTCTGAAGAGATATCTCGCAATATGGAAATGGCTCTTTCGGATCGTTTTTTTTCATCTTTCTAGTTGGCCCTTTAATCTGAACATCTAATTATTGTTGGATCAGATATGTAAAGCGTGCTCTGTATCTTTTACATCTTACTTGTGGCCCGTCTCATCCAAATACTGCTGCAACATACATAAATGTAGCTATGATGGAAGAAGGCCTGGGCAATGTGCATGTTGCCCTTAGATATCTTCATAAAGCTCTCAAGTGTAACCAGAAGTTACTTGGTCCAGACCATATTCAGGTTTGAGTTTCTTATCTTTTCTCAGTTAATTTCTTTGAGCTTTGTTTTTATGACATTTTTTTTGTCATATGCATCTATGATACTATTTCATGATCTGGAGAAATTAAATCACTAGAAAACCTTTCTTATGTTGGCTAAAACTAAAGTCATTGGAGAGGTTTTTGATTTTTTAAAGGTTGATTGCTTGTATAAAAAACTAATTGACAAAATGCATTCAGAGCTACAGAGAATTACTGCTGTTCATAAGCATAATAAGTTAATATTGCGGTTGGTAAGACAATGCTGTCTCGAATGTTTTTGCTGAAATGCAAGCTTTCTAAAAACATGTAGATGACTGCATAACATAGTTTTGAGTTTATACATTCTTCTGAATTAGCTGTTAGGAAGTATCACTAATATTTTATCAAATTGTGTACTTTTGGCTTCCTTTTTTCCTTTTTTTTTTTTTCATAACAAAGATAAAAGCTTTTAAGGAATAATCCTTTCTTCTGTTAATGTCTCCAGACAGCAGCAAGTTACCATGCTATTGCAATTGCGCTCTCATTGATGGAAGCTTATCCTTTGAGTGTACAACATGAACAAAGAACCTTGCAAATTCTCCGAGCTAAGCTGGGTCCTGATGATTTGCGTACCCAGGTATCTTCCTTATGCAGTCCATAGATTGAGCATGTACTCCCTTTCTTGGTCTATGAATCCGTTAAAAGATTTTAAGTAACCTGTGAAGTGAAAGTTGGTAGCAATAGTAGCTTGATAATTTTTAACATAAGCACATGAAATGCATGAATTTTTATTCTTGCAGACAGCATGTGATAGATATGATTATTTTATATGGTTGTATTTTATTTTATTTTATTTTTCATCACCAATGTATTACTGCAACTATTTATTCTTGCAGGATGCTGCTGCATGGCTGGAGTACTTTGAGTCCAAGGCAATTGAACAGCAAGAAGCTGCTCGAAACGGTACTAAGAAACCAGATGCATCCATAGCTAGCAAGGGCCATCTAAGGTAAATTATCTTAGCATATTAACTGAAGAAGTGAACTAAGAAATAGTTGATTGTTGTTGAATGTCATGTAGTTTCCTTTTTGGAACTTCATGTGCTATTCACTTTATTGGTCATTCTATTATGCCAGTTGCTTCTACATCTCCCAGTTGAGATGTGGAAAAAGTAATCCATACCTTTGCTTCGATTTTCTTGTCGAAACTTGATATTTCACTTGGCTATTGTGGACTGAGCTTTAAATTGCTTATGGAAGGAAATTGATCTCTTCTTAACAAAAAAGTGTCTTGAGCACAATAACAAAATAAGAAATCAGTTTTCATTTATGAGTTTTAATTGGAGAGTCACATAAAAGCCCGCCTCTGCCTCTGTTTCTGTAGTATCTTTATTTTCATCCATACAATTACCAATGGATGGCAAATACCTCTATTCTTCAAACTTCATGTTGGCTCCCCTGCCTCGATCCTTGTTCTAACCCCTCCGAATACACAAACAAGGAAAACATAAAACTGGCCCCAGTCATGGTTGGTGACCCAAGCTGCGTGGCTTATTTGTCCCCTCCATTTACCTGTTTTCAAACTCTTTTCTTTGATGCTGTCATGGATTATTACTTTTTTACATTAATTTAGTAAAATTTTGAAAAAATTTAGCTTATAGTTTCAAATGTGTGTAGCTGGCATAGTTACAATACTTTTGAGCATACAATATTTAAAAGGCTGCTGTAATGATTTAAAAAATTAATATAGTACAAGTTAGTTTGGCTCTCTAAGAATTCTTTCAGTGCTTATCACCAAAATAATAAAATTCTTTTGGTGAGCTCCTCATTTGTATTATCAGCGTTTGTATACATATTCTCTCTTATTGTGTCTGTTAGAGGTTAGGAATGTAAGACCCTCTTTTTCCTATTTGGGAAAATTTGGACATCCTTGTAGTGGTGCTGATGTTTTATGCTACTTTGCAGTGTATCTGATTTGCTTGACTACATTAATCCAAATCATGATGTCAAAGGGAAAGATATTGCAGCAGGAAAGAGAAGAAGCTACATTACAAAGGTAGGGTGGAGTTTAATTTGTGGTTGATAAACTTAGTGTTGATGCAGGAACTAGACTCAATCTGATTCTCTTTACTAATACTGCTGCTTGAAATGAGTTGACATTTAACTGCTGTCAGTAGGGCATTATCTAGAGTTTGTTGGTGACTAAGTTTTCTGCATGCTGTCTGATGCATGTAATATATTTCTTTCTGTCCTTTTTTTTTTTTTTTTTTTACCTAAAATGCACCTCAGATGCAATCTCAATTATCCTCTGCAGTTGAAGGGAAAACTCCATCCAGCAAGTTCTGAGGGATCTCGAAAAGAGGCTGCAAAAGAGGCCTCAGATGAAGAGACACATATATCTGAACATGAAGATAAACCAGATGCTAACCAGGAGACTAGCTCTTTACCAGTGCAGTCCCAGGCTCCTGTTGCAGAAGAGACAACAGAGGCAAAACTGAACCTTGATAATTACATTCTGTCTGAATCACTTGCTGAAGGGGATGATGGGTGGCAACCTGTTCAAAGGCCAAGAGCATCTGCTTCACTTGGACAGCGACTAAAGCAGAGGCGAGCAACTAGAGGCAAGGTTTTTCGTTACCAGAAAAAGAATATTGATCCTGATATGGAATTCCCTCTGGTCAAGGCCACTCATCAAAATAGTAGGTATTACCTTTTAAAGAAAAGAACAATAGCTCATGGAGCTTATACAGATCAGCTCACTATGAACCCTTCCCAAGGTTCAAAATTTGGACGGAGAGTAATCAAAAGTGTTACATACAGGGTTAAGTCCATTCCTTCATCTACTAAAAGTTCAACTGAAATCTCTAGAAATGGAGGTGAGGTGTTTAATTCTTCAGTGGGATCTGCTTCCACCTTTACACCAAGTAATCTCCGTCCAACGAAAAATTCTATACTAAGTCTTGGGAAATCTCCTTCTTACAAGGAAGTAGCTTTGGCGCCCCCAGGTAGTATCTCCAAACTGCATTTTAGGCCTGAAACTGATTGTCCTGATAAGCAAGACTTTAACATTGAAAAACGTCAAGAGGAAATTAGTGAAACAAAAGATAATTTTGATCAGTTGGCTGCGGGGATAGAAAACATATTTGAAAAGAGTGAAAATGCTATATTGGATTCAACAGATAGCTTGGCAGAGGAAGTTGGTGTAGTTGAAAATAAAGAAACTAGGTCAACTGCTCTGATGGAAGATAACTCTTCTTTGGTGGTGTCTGAGAGAGTGGAAGGACAAGAACTTGAGGCTGGTGATCATAAGGTTCATGAAGTTGTACATGATGACATATCCATAAACGGCCTGCCTAGTATTGATTCTCCCAAAAAGGAACTGTCTGAGAAGGATTTGTCTGGAAGTTTTGAACCACACAGTAATTCAAACTCCACATTGCGAGAGGTAGAAGAATTGAAGGACAAACCCTTGGTCCTAAAGTCTGGTAATGGTCAAGGAGTAGCCAATAAGAAGTTGTCTGCATCCGCAGCACCTTTCAATCCATCAACACCCATTTCACGTGCTGCACTACTCCCCATGAACATCACTCTTCCTCCTGCTCCTGGACCTGTTCCAGCCGTTGCACCTTGGCCGGTGAACATGCCTCCTATTCACTCTGCACCTTCTACTGTCTTACCAAATCCAATGTGCTCCTCCCCTCGCCATCCATATCCATCACCTCCTCCAACTCCTGGACCTGTTCCAGCCGTTGCACCTTGGCCAGTGAACATGCCTCCTATTCACTCTGCACCTTCTACTGTCTTACCAAATCCAATGTGCTCCTCCCCTCGCCATCCATATCCATCACCTCCTCCAACTCCAAACATGATGCAGTCTCTATCCTTTATGTATCCACCCTATACTCAACCCCAACCTTTACCAACAAGCACCTTTCCTGTAACTAGCAACCCTTTTCACCCCAGTCAATTCTCATGGCAGAGCAATGTGAACCCCAGTGTACCAGAGTTCATTCGTGGGACAGTTTGGCCTGGTCATCCAATGGAGTTGTCCATACCATCACCAATTGTTGAGCCAATTGCTGATCAGGTATTGGAACCCAAAAGGCAAGTTGATGATGCAAACCCTAGTTCAGCTCGAATGCTGCCAGTGGATATTGACACTGTTGGAGAAGCTAAGAAAGAAGTCAACATTTCAGCATCTGAGGCAACAAATAGTGCTAATGTTGGGTTGGAAAGTCTACAGGAAAATGGTTACTTGAATCAATGTGTTGTTGACAATTCTTGGAATGAACCGGGCCAATACAACAGCCCAAATAAAAATGCTGAAAATGAAAGGAAGAGGGATGGTGAGAAAACCTTCAGCATTTTATTAAGAGGTAGAAGAAACCGAAAGCAAACGTTGAGAATGCCAATCAGTTTACTTAGTCGACCATATGACTCACAGTCTTTTAAAGTTACATACAACAGAGTTGTCAGAGGGAGTGAAGCTCCAAAATCTACTAGCTTTAATTCGAGTGAAAGTTGTACAGCTAGTGCTACATAGCTGAAAGCTTTATTTCTTGCTGATTTTAAACATGGCAGAACTGTCAGGAACAGGGTAAAAGAAACAAACTTTGATCAGTCCTATGGACAGCAAAGAAAAATTTTTCTAGCTTCGTGGTAACAAACTGCATTGTCCATTGGACTTGTGATCTAAAATGCAGGTTGGTTTTGTTTAACTGATGCCAGTAATGCTTTTTGTTTTCCATTTGAAATTGTGCTCAAAGTGAGATGTGTACTCTTATGTCAAATAAAAATTAGGTCATCATAGCCTTTTAAGCTCATTTGGAATATTGAAACTAGGTGGAGCACAATCTCTCTCTTAAAATCTTATAGATGCAGAAGATTCTTTTCTTCCTCTTTGAAGTATCATATTAACAATCCTAAAACATTTTGCAGGTACTCTAAATTTTGCTTCTACTTGATTCATCTAAATTTATGAACAAGGACGAGAGTAGCTTTAAAGCAGGTATCATGATTTATGACTTAACCGTTTCTATGTGTGTCGGCTTTTTGAAGTGGGTTAAGGGGCAGGGAGAAGGGGAAGGATGAAGATAATTTGGTGAGAATTTTCAAAACTATAGGTTTATTGTAGTTTGTGCTTGTGACTGTTAATTATTCCATACTTCAGAAAATGACCCATTATGGTGGTTATAGTTAAAAACATTCATTTCAGAGCATTTAGACATCTTTAGTAACTGTGATCTAGAAAGATAATTTTTTATTGAGAGCTACCTCTTGTGACAAGAGAACGTTCTGAGTAAGGTTGGTTCAGAGACTGGAAATGCATGCCTAAGAAGGTGGGGGTAGAGTTCATTTTTTTCAATTTCGAGGCATTTGCAGTTGGTTTGCTACAAAGATGAACCTCATTTTTCCCTCATTAAGCTGGTGTGTTTTTTATGTGCTCATTTATTATTTTTGTTTGTTCTACAGGTTCAAATGATAATTAACTAATGGGGATTAGGTAGGCGTTGTTAAGGTGACGATTTTGGTCCATACTTAAGTTAGGAATTTTTTAACATCTTAGATCACAGAATTTTAAAGATTGATTTCACCCTTTTGGTTTTCAATAGCAATGACATTGATAATTGATTTTATTCAATTGTATATGACTTCAATTTTGTTCTTTTGTGTTTTCAACATTGTTATATTAACAAAGTGATACAATGATGAACATAAAATATTCTGGTGAATGTTATCTTGTTTTTTTGACAGAAACAACAGCAAAAAGCTAAAATTAAAAATAGCTTTATTTTGATGGACCTTCATTTCCTCACCACAAAAGACAAATGCATGATTTTGCTAGTAAGATTACAGTTTAACAGTTTTACAGAGAAAATTGTGAGTCTAGTTCTGTCGCAGGAAAATTGAAATGGCAAACAAATATGAAGCTATTTAATCACTTCTCACACGAAGAAATCGGATTGTATAGGAGGTTCAGGTCAGGAGTTAAATTTCAAACGAGGTCCCTTACAAGTTGAACAATGGAGTTGGACATGGGTTGACTTCTTTAACGCTGAACTCATGCAATGCTGAGCACTCCGTTCGGATGCAAAGTACATGATCCATCATTACCAACCCCTCAGTTCCATAAAAAAATATAGAGAATATTTGAACATGAGCTACTAAATTGGATTCATTTGGGAGGTTGGAGGCTGACCAGACTTGCCTCTTCTCCTCATACACGAGGATGCTTCTAAAACAATGACTGCAACTAGAGTTAAAGCAAGAAGAAACCCATAGCCAATCTTCCATTGATTCCCTGCACCTGCTAATTGAATTCCCAATATGACATTCAGAGCCCCAAAAAAGAGGGCGATCCTCCCGAACCAATGGTGATACCAGTTCCAATATCTCCGGTTCTTGGAATCTTTATTCGGCCGTAGAAAAAATGCCATTATCTGAGGTCATATTTGTCACATTTCGTTAGCAATTTCAAGCTGTGTAAGTATAAGAGGTGAGAATCATGTATTGCAAGCTTTGAATTATTCAAGTGGGAGCAAACCTGAAGAATGCTAAGCACAAGCACAAAGATTCCTATGCCTCTATGCGCTGGAATTTCAGCATTCATGCTTCTGTAAAGTTGTATACCAAGGAGCACAGCAGCAAGTCCTAGGATGAATCCTAGAAATTGAATCCCAGCATGAAGATAATACCATAGTGGATCTTTGTGCTTGAAGTATCTCGCAACGATTGCCCCCACAGGGAGGATTAAACCCCATCCTATAATACCCAATATCCCATGATTCTTTTTCTGGCTAATGTCTATGTCTAAAACAGACGCTGCAAACAGACCGGATGGATTGTTAGGAATGGTTTAAAGAATGATAAGCTAATAGTTACAAAGATTTGAATTGAGGATTTCTTAGGATGAACTAACCTTGTGAGAAGTCGAACCAAACGGCAGTCTTGTCATCGTGTTTAGTTAGGTGCAAATGAGTAGGATATCTGCTTGCAAAGGCCAATAAAATAGGTTGCCGACCAAGAGGATGCTCAAACTTCGCTTGAAATGCTAAGTGTATCATGGCCCCATGAAGAGCCACAACCGGTGGAATATTGTTAAGTGGCAATTCACCCTTGTCAGGGATGACTTGGGATTCATGGGCACCCTGCAAGTAGTATTGCTTGATTCTTGCCTGACCTTTTCTATTAAACCATCCCACCATGGCGCTGGACCCAAGCATCATGCCGTTCCTCGAAAAACCAATCCCCACCCATCCAGTTGTGTAGACTGCTGATAGTATGATGGTCATCACGTTGTCTGCTCTCTGATAATACTGCATAACCAGTGGTGTAAACTTGACTAGCTAAGTAAAAGATTGGCTAATTCATATAAATGTAAATCTCTGTCCTGTTAACCTCTCATGCTTCCGTAATGAAATGTAAATATCAGTCAATTTTCTGCAACAACTTTTACTTTCCATCATCAGGAATGTTTCTAAGCTCATTTAATTCTTTGAATCTTTTCGTGTTTGTTGATAAAAGTCTTAAGATGGCGTGTGGAAAGAATGCAGAAAAACAATTGAATTGCAAAAAGATTTGAAGCTGAAATTCCTGAATTAAAAAGATAAAGCTAAACTATTTCCTTGAATACCGCATAAATATCATCCAACATCTTATTTTGTCAACCAAGTTTCAATGCATAACGATCTTAATGTTACAATTATTACATGCAATAAAGGCACAACACCGACCAAACAGAAAACATTCTCTTCATTGAAACAGGGCAGTATAAAAGACGAAGAAGATGATTCACAAGACTGTCCTTTGTAGGTCTCTCTAGAAGCCAAATTTTTATCTTCCCATCAACGAAAATACAATAATAACTGGAAAATCACTAATTAATAAATGTCAGAAGATCAAGTTCCACGATTTCGTCATTTTCTTAAACCTCTAGCCAAGCAAGTAATGTTCAATTCATTCAAATTTGCAGCAATATTACAGAGAAATATACATAACCTGAAAAAAGGAGTTGAGACAACTTACCCTCAAAACGAAGGTATTCCATATAGGCGAACAAACCATATTGGAGGTGGATATATTGCCATAAGGTGGACCAAGAAAACTTAGATCACTACCACAAAGCTCATATCTTCCACCATCACCATTACTAGCAGTAGTAATAGAACCATTGGCTAAAGGATCATCGGTATCATGGGTGACGACTTCAAACTGAGCATCATTATCCGGATCATTGTTATCAGGCTTGACCAGGATTTCCTTAAAACCTGCAGCCGCGAAATCCTTAGGTTCTAGGAGAATATAAAAAAGGTATAACCTAACAAGAATCCTGGAAAATGAAAACCAGGATCTTGAAGTTGCCATTGAGATACAAGGGCATAAACTGACAAGCAGTTGCTGGGAAGGTCAAGAACAAGAAGAGAAAGTATGAAGGCGAAGTCATCCAGGGTGGTTAAGATGTTTCAGTTTCTTTGGACTCAAGGCTGAATTATGGTTGTTGTTGGTCATGGTGGGGATGGCGGTTGGTGGTGGCGGGTAACCATCATTTCCTCCAGCAAACTCATTAACAAATCGCATTTCTTTTGTCTCTGTCTCGAACTGCCTTATGCAAGTTTAATATCTGTTAAAGCCTTTTTATATGTTTTGGATAGCTGTCATTTAGCAACAAGCATTGGCTGCAATGAATTAGATTGGAGAGGAAGACGTTTCAACATAATTACCCTTAAATAATTAAAAATTAAAAAGAGTTAAATATTAGTGAAATATTTTAAATAATAAATTTTTTGATGAAAAGAAAAGGATGAGTAAAGGGAGTCTATGGAAAATTGTACTTGATATTTACCAAAACTTGCAACCAAGGTTTTATGCATTTTTTGTTTTTAATTATGGACATGGTTTAACACAATATTACATTCACAATTGTGGGTAATCACTAATCAATAAGAATTCAGGAACGTCTATCCTAACGGTTACTGACGAAATTTTCTTGGGTGGATTGTTTTGGAAGGAAATGAGTCTTTTTAAGATCTACTTAGTTATGTTATTTATTTATTTTTTTAAATATGCTTTCTTAAAACTTTCTACTATAATAGAAGTAAATGATGAAAATAAAAAACATTATATTTGATTAAAAACAAGTAAAGAGAAAAAAGGTTTATCAATTATATTTAGGAACAATCATTTGACAACCAGCTGTTGCCATTGAAATTAAGCCCAGGAAATCATGGCATCTTAGAACATGCATATGAATGAGCTGCATAACCTGTAAGGGTAAAAAAAAAAAGCTGTAGCAAGCTATAAAAATTAAATATGTTTATTATTTCAGAGTAAACCATGAAAAACACACTTCATAACACCTGTTTGCACATGAATCAAGATGTGAAATAAGCAACATTTTAACTTAAATAATGGGGGACTGGTTGAGATTTTGATGGCATTAGCAAATTAAGCTAACATTGCGCTGGAGAGCTGAAGACAGAGCCAATTTGGCAGGGTCAAGGTTTGGCTACTCCTCACTAGGCCTTTCTATTACAGCTTTGGCATGGGATGCAATATCACTATTTGCAGAGATGCTGAACCAGTTGGAGATCAGAAAATCTGTTGAAAACGCCAGCTTTCTCATTAAGCCTTTTATATATCGGACTATTAAAGAAGTGACAATTGGCTTGTTGAATATCCATTAGGATCTAATGCAAGAGCAGCCGCCTCCAACCAGCTATCAGAACTCAGAATTTACAGCTTCAATACACAATGAAGCTATGACTTCAAGCTCATAGATCCGCAGTGCAATGTTAACTTTTTTGGTAGAGGAAAGTTTAATTAAAGAGATCTTGGCAGCCTGAAGATATGTTCCTCACCACTCTCCTCATCAACTTTAACAATCCATTTGCTCTTAGCAATAGCAGTCTTCTTCATGGGAATTCCCCTTCTTTCTGCCCCAAAGTGACCTTTACCACCCTGATCTCGCCTTTCACTTTTGACGGTTCTTCCAATAGTAGTAATTTCCATTCCTTTCCCAATGGGATGCTTCATAGACCTCACTGGAACCTTATTCTTCATTCCTGTGACATAACCTCCCAAGCCTTCCTTGTCACCAGCCAAGTTGTCAGCCACTACCACTGCCTTTTCTGGATTAAGATTTATCATCTTCAACAACTTTGGGTAGTGATCATTCTTGCAATCTACCAGAGAAAAGTCAATTTTTTCATAATTTTGCAGAATCTCAGTAGGGTCTCCAGTTTTGAATTCTACAACGTCTATGAGACCTGAATCTTTTGTATCCTTTTTTGCTTCAGGAAGGGCAGCCTCTGGTAGAATGCAGACGAACCTGGCCCCAGTATGCTTCGCAGCAGTGGCTAATGCTATTGTGGATGGTGATACACTAGATTTGATCTCTACTATCAGTTTTGACTTCGTGCCAGCTGCTAAGGCTGATATGAACTCGTTGCTTCCAGGCTCTCTTGTTTTCCATGAGTCACTTCTCTTGTTCTGATAATTATTACACTGAAAGAAAAACGAAAGTAGAATTAGCCACTATCCATGGTAGTCAAAAACATACTGATAAGATAAAAGCATGAAAGCATCAACACAAAGTAAGAGGATGCAATGATAATTAAGCATAATTTGAAGGAAATTATGTCATTGAAATGAGTCGAAAAATACTAATTCTATTAAGAAATACAAAAGCATTTTTTCTATTTGATCTTGCAGACCATTATTTATCATCTATCTTCCAGTTTTCTGCCCCGATATCTAGCTGATGTATAAAAACATTAAACATCCATCTTCTAACAAGCCAAAAGGAAATCAGAAGTTATTGCAGTCATCGTCCATGAAGAAAATAATTACATGCCTGCCCAATGAATCTCTTCTCTTCGTTATGTTACTATTTTGAAATGATAACAATTAGACCGGGGAGAGGAAAATCAATTAAAATAAGGTACAACGAAAACCATCCAATCGGGGGTTTCTTTAAATCCATGCCATTGCCATCTTGAATAGGCTAAAGATCATATATATTCAGCCAACAAGTTTATATTATCAAGAACGAAGCAACTTACCACCTTTAATGAACAAAATGAAGTGTTCCATTAGCATTGCTTTTTATCAAAAAAACTGACATGAATACAACTTTTTGTTTTAAACAATCATCAAGAAAATTCTATTTACACATCAAATTAATACAATCCAAAGACCCCCAAAAAAAGCAAAGAAAAGGTGTGAGTATAATTTTAAACCAAAAACATATATTGGGGAAAGAAAACAGGGAAAATGAAGCAGCTGGCTTAATTACCAATTGAAGGGTCTCAAGATATGCTTTTGTAGCGGATGTTGCAGACCATTCCATGTTGAAAGAATCTCCAAATCAACACAGTTAATAAAGCCAAAAAAAAAAATAATAATAATAAAGAATGGGGGCAGTTGTCAAATAAAGAAGATGAAACTAAAGCACAAGGATGAGAGAAATCTTGTGTTCCAATTTTTCTTCTTTTTCCTTTTTCTCCTTGAATTTTTTCTTTTGAGTCAAAGGAGACCGGGCAAGGTTGCAGGCAACGTTAAAGGACTGGAACCCTGATTATAACAATGAGAACATCCGCAAAACAAACAACCGTGGCCTACAAAATCGGAAACTGTAGTCAAACTCCCATGTTTTTATTTAGTAAAGTTCCAGAATCCTGCTTTGCAACATAACAATTAGGTATGTCAGCCACGTCAGCCATCAGTTTGACTCTAACTTCTAATTGTTGACCATGCCCATGAATTGCAGGGTTCAAACAATGGCATCACTGTAATTAAAGTGGATTGACAATACTTAATGATCCTTACCTTTGAAAAGAAAAATTACAGGAAAATAGCATATATCTATTGTATATCAATAAATCAGAATAATGAAAATGTCCTACTTTTTCTTTCTTCCATCCAGCAATTACGGGAATCTAATAATCTCTTAACGTTCTCTCATTGACAATGAAAGAAAAAAAAAACATATTTCTGTAATTAAAAGAAACCCCATAAGCACAAGTTAAAATTATTCAAGATTTCAAATTACTCAAACCCAAAACAAACAGAAAGTTGACGGTCTTTAAAACAGTAAATGAGTTGCTGCAACGGGGAGTTAAAAGAAGTCTACAAGAGATCTTAGACAGCTAGCATAGGTCTTACTTCAGTCTATGCTTAGAGACAGAGAAGCAAAATATATGGGTATCGATGGAATCTCTGTCCAACAGATAGGAAAAGGCAGCAGCCAGCCATGGATGAGTAACAAGAAAGGAATGAGAGGATGCGTAATGACCTGGTTTAGAGACAGATATGTAACGCCGTTTCCTCCCAATGAAGATTTTAATTAAAAGAAAATACAATGCCACGTCAGGCGGGATAACCTAGGCGGAACCCTGAGGTGGGGTAACTCTTATTTTCCATATAAGTCATAAGGTATAGATAATTATTAGAAACTTTCCTTAAATATACAATAAAACTGTAATTATATCTGAAAATTTTAAATACGTTAATAATAATAATAAAAGATTATTTTCTTAATAAAAATATATATATAAATTAAAAAAATAAAATTTATATTTAACATATCAATATGAATTATAATATAATAATTTTAATATTTTATACATGATAAATATAAAATAAACAAACATGAATATATGAATTATTAAATCTAATTAAATCATAATTAAAATTTTTTAAAATAATATGTTTAGAATAATTAATTTTTTTATATTTGAGTTATTTAAAATTAAATTATGACCATTAATATTAAAAATTCAAAACTTTACCAATAAATAAAAAAAGAACTAAATTTTCATTTAGTTTTACATAATCATAAGAATTACCTAAACAAGATGCATTTTGTTACAAAAACAAACATATACATTTGATTTATTAGTTTTTGGAGTATAGACTGATAATTAGAATAAAGCAATCTCTGTTTCTTTAGTCTTTCGCATGTTGAAAGAAGTTAGATTGCAAAATCTGATGATCCATTATACTAGGTTTCTAAGAATCTGATAAACTCATGAGTCAAGGCTTAAAGTTTTGCGTTTTTTTTTTTTTTTTAAATAGTGACTAACACTGAAAAAAAAATTGCCTCAATGCGAGTAGGGAAAAGAAACAAAAACAATTCAAACAATTCTTTTTTTCATTTTCCAATTTCTATCATTTGGTTTTTCAAAGAAATACTTAGCAATTAAGGCAACAGAGCAAACTAGTTATGGTGGAAATTTTACTCAGACACCAAAAGTTACTCTTATTGACAAATAATATGAATATATCACAAACATTTGGACTCTAATGATTTCATGCAAAAACAGAATGAAATCAAACATCATAATTAGGGATGTAAATGATATATTAGTACTCACAAATTATTCGGGTTCGATTCGAAAAAAACTCGAATTCGGTTCGATTATTGTCGAGTCGAGCTCGAGTAGCTCGACTTATCGATCGAATCGAATCCGAGTATTTTTATATTTGACTCGAGTAGCTCGCGAGCTTAATCGAGCTTTTATATTTAAATATATTTTTATTATTTTAATTAATAAAATATTTCGAATCCGAGTTCGAGTTCGAACATGAATAATCGAACTTTTATCGAGTATATGAATCGAGCTTATTTTTACATATTAATCGAGCTTAATCGAGCGAGCTCGAGTAGCTCAAATTCGATCACGAATCGAGCTCGAACTTGAAAAATAAAACTCGATCGAGCTAAAATCGAGTATCGAACCTCGAATTATGAGTCGAACTCGAGTAAAAATTCCATCGTGGGAGGAGATTGGTTCCCTGGATCGGAGATATTCTATACTATTATTGTTTGATGTTTTCATTATCGTTATTGGTGTCGTTGTTGTTATTATTCGGCTTAAATGGGTTTTCATTGGCGTAATTTCCAGGAGGATCGTAGGAGCAAATAACAAAGATGCCACCATTTGCACATTTGGCTCGGGCACATCCTACTTTGATCGAATCGCTCCATACAATCTGTGTATAATGGCCGCAGAGTTTCCCTGGTTGGCAAGCATTGGTCTTCCGATTGTAAAACTTGTGTTCCTTCACCCATAATTTGACGACGTCCTTGGGGGTCCAGTGGTCTCTGCCTCCCCAGAAGATGTTCTCGCCGTAAGGTCCGTTGGAATGCTTCATACGGCAGTCCGAGGAGCGTTTCTTGGCCCACGTGCGAGCGTAGGAGGCCAAGGTTTCATCCCAGACGAAAAGGGAAAGACCGGCGTGGGCCCGGGCCTTGTTGTGGGCATTGAGGAATTGTTCCTGCTCTGATTGACGAAAATGGGGGAGCAGCCGGGGGATCTTCGGCTGAAAATATTGAGACTTCGGGTTCTGGGGTGGATTCTGAGGTTGTTGAGAGTTGGATTTCTGGGATGGAGTTTGGGGTTCTTCAGAGTTGGGCTTTCGGGAGATCTTCGGGTTCTGGGGTGGATTATTGGTTTGTTTATAGTTTGGTTTCTTGGGTGGATTCTGAGGTTGGTGAGAGTTGTAGTTCTGAGGTGGAGTTTGAGGTTCTTCAGGGTTGGGTGTCCGGGAGATCTTCGGTTGAGACTTCGGGTTCTGGGGTGGATTATTAGTCTGTTTATAGTTTGATTTCTGGGGTGGATTCTGAGGTTGTTGAGAGTTGTGCTTCGGGGGGATCTTCGGCTGAAAATGTTGAGCCGTGGGGTTCTGGGGTGGATTATTATGTAGTTTATGGTTTGGTTCCTGGGGTGGATTCTGAGGTTCTTCAGAGTTGGAATTTTGGGGTGGAGTTTGAGGTTCTTCAGAGTTGGGTTCCTGAGATGGAGTTTGAAGTTGTTGAGATTTGAGTTGCTGGGGTGGATTAATGTCAGACAAATCTGGTGAAGTGAGAATAAAGGGGAAGAGTTGAAAGAAGAGGAAGATGAAGAGTGTGAAAATCTGGGTTCCAGTGGTTGGGAGTTCCATTGTCTGCAAGATTTGGTTGTTTTTCTCATAGGAAATTAGAGGGAGAGACTTGTGAGGAAGAGATGTCATGCAAGGACGATTGAACGAAATTACGGGATTACCAGCAAATTTTTGCTTTTGCTTATACTATTAAATTAGAAAAGATAATATTAAAAGAAGTTTAACACCATTAATATGCTTTATTGAGAGATAAATTACAACGCTCGCAACTTTAGGAGATTATTCTTTTATACTCTTGGTTGGAACCACAAATTTTGAAGTAATTAATTTTAATCATATAACTAAAAAAAATTTGAGATACTTAAAAACACCACACATAAATAAATTTTATAGATACAATAAACTATTAACCAATAATCCTAATTTAGGGCTCATTTAGAACAATGATTAGCTCCTGTGTGGCATGATTAGTGCCTTCAATTGTGTCATACATGTGTTTGGTTAACAAAGACAATATAGGGGAGAGAAATTTAAACGTGCAGGACCTTCAGTGACCAACAGTTGATAAATGCACCATTCTTTTTCTTTTTTTTTTTAAACCTTTTTATCCTTACAATTGTATTATAAAAATAAAATTATCTTTGCATTTCAATCTTTTCTTTTTTTCATTTAAAAATTTTAAAATAATATTGTTAATGTTTATATCAAGATATATTTTTATAATTTAATATAATAAAAAGATTATATAAAATATTACTATTTTTATTAATTTTTAATTATTTAGTAATAAATTATTACTTTAACATAAAATAATTTATTAATTTTATAAACATTAAATAATTTAAAATGTTTGTTAAATATAATTTTTAATTTAATATTTTTAATAATTATTTCTTTTCTTATTACAATTTATCTTACATTTACCATTACGATTATATTCAAATACATATTTTCACTACTAATTTTAATCTTATCGTTACAATAACTAATATCACATCTATCATAATTTTCAATCTCTCTACACATCCAAATGAACTCTTAATTTCATAAACAATTTTGGAGTCACACTCGAAACCTTGCATAAAATTATATTCGGCCACTTAAATCTTTTTTAATCTTGCATTCTGCTTTTTACTCATAAATACTAAACAAAATAACATATTTATAATAAAAATTTAAAAAACTCACCAATAACATAACTTTTAATAAAATAGTAATTGTAGTAAATAAGATAAATAGCAACAACACAAACATTAAATTTGGTTTAATTCCAACAATTATTTATCAATAATGTCTGAGGCTCATAGACGGTGAAGAAGCGTACTTTGTGAAGAGTAGACAATGAGAATGGGCGTGGTATTTCTCATTTTTAGGCAAGCCCCCTAGTCAGTACTGCATCCTTGATAAGCCCGAGTGATTCCACGATGTCATCGCATAACTGGTGAGGGTTCGGTATAGTTCCTTCATCCACCGATAGAACAATGGTCATCTTGTCGATATAACTTTGGAAGTTGATCATTAACGCCTGCAATTTTTAGTCATCAGCTGAACAATCAACCAAGCATCAACAGGACAATATAGTAGTTAATCTCAAATTAATGAACGCTTACATAAGGTTGACCATAAGAACTTGGAGCAAGGAAAGCCATGGGATGACCATAAAAACCAATTTCCTCCAAAGGTCCAACCATATTCGAGAAGCACATTGTTGTGCGAGATACAACTTTGTGGGACAGAGCACTAGCCGCCTGTTTTTTACCAGGGGAAAAACATACTAATTATAATAAGAAATGAATGGAGCGCCAAAGAATAGAGTAATTCTAGTTTAAGCATAAATTACTGCTAGAATATATTCCATTTCAGAAGAAAGAAGTCAAGTTCGAAGATTCAAATTAAACCTTGAGGCCAAAAAGCTTGAGAGCTAAATCAGCAATCGAGAAAGTGGATATAGCTTCAAGGGAGCGTTTCTTTCTGTCAATTATGGCCTTGGCATTACGAACATAATCTAATGGATCATCCCGTATTGCAATGTTGAAGGGAAGGAGAACATAACCAATCCAGTTGCCCCACTTTACTTCAGCATCCTTCTCCATCATATCTGCTAAAGCCTGGCACGCATTAAACATGTTTAATTAAGATTTAAACGAGTGTAAGTTTTGGGACTTGGGGCAAAATTTACAATCAGGATGCCTAAACATGTAAACCAATAAGCCTGGCATTCGGTGAAATTAACTACTAATTAGTTTGAGAGAAAACCATTAACCTGGATTCCTGGAGCTGGTCTTATATTGACGAGCAGAGTTGATCGGAGGCGAATTTTCTTTGGAAGATTATCCATTTCTATTGTTTCCCCTTCTTTCTTATTTCCGCCTAGCAAGTGAAAAGGTGAATCAGACAATCTTTCTTGTTTCACCCATAAACTACATGTTAGTAAAGAAAAATCTCACCGCATATTCTGTTGATATAGCGGGACAAACCAGCTTGTGTCATCCCGAAAGCAACATCGTTTATGGTCTGCAAATTAAGTTGAAAAGATTTTATTCAAAATTTTCTGAAATAACTTATCAGAAAGCAGCTTATGGGATTTTCTTCCTAATGCAACGTATGGACTTACAGTGTTCATTGCATTTTTCACCAACTTCAGGTCATCCAAGCTAACTGTCCTGTAAACAATTCGTCGAGGAGTAGACTCACTTCCTGGCAGACCCTTGAGAGGATTCTGAGTATCTTTCAAGAACAATGCCGTAGCAAGAAACATGAAAACATCAACCACAGTATTCCAAAACACCTGAAAAGCAAGCAGAAACTTGAACATAATTCTCCAAAACCATTTATTATCATGCTTCTTCTCTTTCTTCTTCCTGATTGGAATGGTAGGCAAAGCCAGAGGATCATTCATTTGGCGAGTGCAAGCGAGTAGAAGAGACAACAGAGAAGTGCCATCGCCAAGGGAGTGGTGGATCCTGAAAATGCCAACTGCCTCGGATTCTGAGGTTCTTAAGTTAAGCAGATGGAGGTCCCAGAGAGGTTGTGATTTGTCAATGGTGGTTTTGCTCAGGTTGTAGATATAATCTTCAAGGAACTTGTCTGGTGAGTCCATGTTTTGGTCCAGCTCTGGAACAATTACATGCCTTTCCAAATCCACTTCTGTTGGAACCCATTTCATTTCTTCCTTGTTTTTATCGTCCTCCACCTGACATTTCTATAAATTAGTGTATTGAAAATGAAAATTAAAAGAGAAGAAGCAAATTAAAAAAAATCAAATTTAAATGAAATCAACCACTTAAAAAAATTTCAAAAATAATCTCTAATTATTAGCAGTTGTATTTAATATGCATGGCTCCTGTTAGTAGTAGTACACGTTGCAAACATCCTAGCTTTAATCCATCTCCATTTCTCTCTCTCCGGAAGGCTTAAATACGTCTAGCTGTAAGGGGATCTGAGAACAACGAACGATCGCTTTCTGCTAGCTAGTGATTATTTTAACAAAGTAAAAATGACTACTAATAAACATCAATATTTATTTATTTATTTGTTTATTGATACAGCTAAGTTTAGTGCATTATTGTTTAAAAACGAAACGACACAATTGAGGCCAACGCTCCCATTGATGTTTGACCCAGTAGACCGTTAGGGGTTGGTGGCTCAATTACACCATTCTTTTCAATGTTTTTCTTATTTTACTCTCACTTTTTTTTTTTTCTGTGTTGGCCCTTAATATATAATACTACTTCCCGTCTTATAATTCATAAATAATATCTAAGTTTAATTTTTACAATTAAATTATTTTAAACTTAACTATTTATATTTTTAATATTCTATTAAACTAAATTTCTATAAAAGTATATTGGAAAATTTTTATTCAAGATTTTTGAAAAGTATTTTTATATTTTTAATTGATAATATATTTAAAATAAAATAAATTCAAAGAAGCAAAGTTTAAAAAAGAATTACCATTAAAAATCAAACTATAGAGGAAGTAATAATTAATGACAAGTTCTGAGAAAATAAGTCTATCTAGTATTTGAGGAACTTGGACCATATTCTCAGAGTTAAACTGGCAATGCAAAGAAAACCTATTATTTTCAATCAAGAGAAGTAGTGGGGAATAAGTTATGTATGGTACCTGCAAACTTGAGAAACGAGGGTGTTTAAGCAAAGTATCGCCCAAGTTGGCTTTGACAACATCCGGGTAAATTCTAGTCTTGCACCCCATGATGGCTATAACATAGACGTTGAAGTTTGGTTCGTGATACAGACGAGATGCTGGGCTCAATGGCTCTTCTTCAGCTGATCTTTGGCCATTCTTATTCTCTTCTTCTTCTCTTTTGCTTCCTGATCTACTCGTTTCAATCGGTTTGAGAGCTTGCTTTCTCCATCTGAAACTGTTCCTAGATTCCATTTTTCCTCTCAAAGCCTTTTCCGCAGAAATTCTATTTGGCTTGTTAGTTAGTGAGGAAAAGGAAAGAAATAAAAGGAAGGACCTTAAGTGAGGGTAGCTTCTGCACGTTTGTGTCATTAATAGGAGGATGCATCATGCATTTAAATTTTTAGATATTGATCAGTATAGTTTGGTGGATACATTCATTATTTTTTTATTTATCTTTTTCATTTTTACTTTTCTATATTTTACACTATGCGATGATGCTTTATTTTATTTAAACCTTTTGACATTATATCACTGTTTTTTTCCTCATAGGTAAATAAACAATTAATTTGCAGAAAACTTTTGAAATAGAAAATTCAGTACGTATTAGTAAGGATTTCAGGTGATTTTGCTATTATATTCTTCAGCTGAATTGTTGTTGAACTTTGTAGCAAGAATATTTAAGTTTTTAAAATTTTATTAATTATAAACCATAAAAAATACTAAAATAATAGTGACTTAGCACGCCTTGAAATCGTTTGAAATGAAAATACGGATGTTTTGACTTCAGTATTATTATTGAGAGTTGCATTTTTGCATATACGTGTTGTTACTGCTCGCTTGAGTACGAGTGCGTCATTTATAGAGGGATTGCTTATGTTTCATGTGCCTTACCTTTTAAAATTTTCTTAAGTTTAGTTTGATTGATAATTTTGTTAGGATAAAAAACTCTAATCCAATCAAGTCAATGAAAATATAATCAAATAATCAATCAATCACATAAAAAATAATAATTTAATATGTTTCGGTCTAACTAACTTTTGTTCATGAATAAAAAAAAATCTATTAATTACAATTACAAATATACAATCAAATCAAACACTTATAACTAATATTCATAGACCCTCTCAATCTCTTATAATTCCTATAAAATATTTTTAACTAAACAAACACGTACCCAAACGCATCATATGCATTTTTTCAATATAAATAAACACATATCTATATGCATTCATATATCATATCTATGTGAATCATTTTAATCTCTTTTAATTACATACATCATATTTATGTGGACTCTTTCAATCTCTTATAATTTACTCAAACATACATACTTATAAGAACATTAATCTCTTGTGGGCATCTTGTCGATATAACTCAGGAAGTTGACCATTAATGCCTATAATTTATAGTCGTCAGCTGATCAATCAATCCAACATTATCAACATGACAACGTAGCAGCTGTCCTCAAATGAACGCTTAACTGAGGTTGACCATAAGAACTTGGAGCAAGGAAAGCAATGGGATGACCATAAAAAACCAATTTCCTCCATACGTCCAACCAGATTCGAGAAGCGTATTGTTGTGGGAGACATAATTCTACGGGGCACAGCACTTGCCGCCTGTTTTTACAGGGGAAAAACATACCGGAGCCCGTAAAAATAGAGGAATCCTACTAGAATTTTAGTTTAAGCTTAAAGTACTGCAAGGAATATTTCATATCAGTAGAAATATCAGAAGATTCGAATTAAAACTTGATACCAAAAGACTTGAGCGCTTATTCAGCAAAATAGAAAGTGTATATAGCTTCGAGGGAGCCCTTCTCTCTGTCAATCGTAACCTTAGCATCAAGAACATAATCTAATGGATCATCCCTTATTGCAATGGTGAAGGGGAAGAGAACATAACCAATCGTGTTGCCGTACTTCGCTTCAGCATCCTTCTCCATCATATCTGCTATCGCCTAGCATGCATTAAACATGCTTAATTAATTAAAATTGAAGAGAGTGTAGGTTTTGAGACGCGGGGCAAAAATTAATTACACCCAGGAATAGCCAATTCAGCGTTGTCGCTCTGAACAAGAAGTTGTCTGTACTCATAATTATGAGCCATGCATAACCCAAACAAGAGGATTTTAATGTTAAATGTTTAATTTTGGTATTGAATAAGTATTAAATATAATAAATACCTGCTTAAACTAATGTAAAGAAAAAAAACTGAAGCAATGGATTTGAAGTAGGTAAAAAAAAATAGATTTAAGGGTATTTGTGTGATTTGACTCTTCAGCAAATCGTGCAAATTGAATCCGTAAAAAATTATTGGTATTTAACCGTGATCGCATTAACTATATATGGCTTACCGGTGCCTATTACGTATCAAACATAAACCATCCATAATAGAAATGACAGAAAGAAAAGAGCTTTAAGTGCTTAAAAATTTTGCTAAATAAGTCCAATTTTATAAAGATTAAAGCATCATGAAGAACACAGCATCAACAATATAGAAACTTTATTACTGCTAATCCTGAAACATCATGGAAGCTTTTGGATTTAGAAACTTTGTCAATACTAATCCTGAAACTGATTGCAGTTTACAGAAAGGGCGTGGTGTTTTTCTTTTTCCTAGGCAAGCCCCCTAGTCAGTACTGCATCCTTGATGAGCTCGAGTGATTCCACGATGTCATCGCATAGCTGGTGAGGGTTCGGTATAGTTCCGTTATCCACCGGTAGAACAATGGTCATCTTGTCTATATAACTCTGGAAGTTGATCATTAATGCCTGCAATTTTTAGTCATCAGTTGATATATCAACCAAACATCAACAGGACAGCATTGTAGATGTTCTCAAATGAACGCTTACATGAGGTTGACCATAAGAACTAGGAGCAAGGAAAGCCATGGGATGACCATAAAAACTAATTTCCTCCACGGGTCCAACCAGATTCGAGAAGCACATTGTTGTGTAAGACAAAATTCTGTGGGACAGAGCACTTGCCGCCTGTTTTCACCAATGAAAAATTTACCAATTAATAAGAAATGAGTGAACCTAAGACTAAGACTAGAGGAATTCTATCATAGAGTGCTGCTAGGATTTCACTTCAGCAGAAAGGAGTCAATTAGATTATTCAAATTGAACCTTGATACCAAAAAGTTTGAGAGCTAACTCAGCAATGGTGAAAGTGTATATAGCTTCAAGGGAGTGTTTCTTTCTGTCAATTGTGGCCTTCGCATCATAAACATAATCTAATGGATCACTCCGTATTGCAATGGTGAAGGGGAGGAGAACAAAACCAATCCAGTTGCCCCACTTTGCTTCAGCATCCTTCTCCATCATATCTGCTAAAGCCTGGCATGCATTAAACATGTTTAATTAAGGTTTAAGAGAGTGTAGTTTTTGAGACTTTGGGCAAAAAGTTACACCTAGATGCCAAAACCTGGCATTTGGTTTGAGAGAGAACTATGAACCTGGATTCCTGCAGATGGTCGTATGTTGATGAGCAGAGTTGATCGGAGGCGAATATTCTTTGGAAGATTTCCGCCTAGCAAGTGAAAAAATGAATCGGACAATCTTTCTTGTTTCACTTTCACCTATAAACTACATGCTGATAAAAAAAAGTCTCACCAAATATTCTGTTGATATAGCGGGACAAACCAGCCTGTGTAATCCCCAAAGCAACATCGTTTATCGTCTGAAAATTCAATTTCAAAAGATTTTATTGGAGTTTTTCGGCAATAAAAGAGCAGCTTATGAGATTTTCTTACTAATGGAACACATGGACTTACAGTGTTCATTACATTCTTCACCAACTTGATATCATCCAAGCTAACTGTCCTGTAAACAATTCGCCGAGGAGTGAACTCAGTTCCTGGCGGACCCTTGAGAGGATTTTCAGTATCTTTCAAGAACATTGCGGTAGCAATAAACGTGAAGACATCAACCACAGTATTCCAAAACACCTGAAAAATAGACCAAAACATGAACATAATTCTCCAAAGCCCTCTGTGATCATTCTTCTTCTCTTGCTTGTTCCTGATTGGAATGGTAGGCAAAGCCAGAGGATCATTCATTTGGCGAGTGCAAGCGAGTAGAAGAGACATTAGAGAAGTGCCATCGCCAAGGGAGTGATGGATCCTGAAAACGCTTACTGCCTCGGATTGTAGGGTTCTTAAATTGAGCAGATGCAGATCCCAAAGAGGCTGCGATTTGTCAATGGTCGTTTTGCTTAGGATATAGATGTAATCTTCAAGGAATTTGTCTGGTGAGTCCATGTTTGGGTCCAGCTCTGGAACAATAACATGCCTTTCCAAATCCACCTCTGTTGGAACCCATTTCATTTATCCCGTCTCGTCCGCCACCTGACATTTGTACGAAAGGTAATAATAATTCTATTTTTATTTACAATTAGTTGTGTGTAAATAAAAATCCATCAAAAATATTTTAGCCATCTTAATTAATTAATAAATTAATTAATTTTACTATGACTGTCATTTAAAAATTTACTTTTAATAATAAATAAAATTTGTAGAATATAAATTATTAATTTAATAAATTTTAAAAAATATTTTAATCGATGACTTTTAAAATTTTTGGAGTTTATGATAGGTAATAAATGATATTAGTATATTGAAAATGAAAAGAGAATAATTTAAATAGGTACTTCTAAAAAATTTGATCCAACTGAATAACAACAAAAATATAAAAAAAAAATTAACCATTCCGATATATGTCTTAAAAAATCCAAAACAAAGCAACTGAATTTGTCTTGGAGTAGTTGGATTTACGTTTAAAACTTTAAGTTGGTATATATCTTCTTGCAACTTAAATTTTACGCGTTGCAAACAAGCAAGCTTTAATCCATCTCCATTTCTATATATCTTTCCGGAATGCTTCTGATTCTATACGGCTAGCTAGGGAGAGAGCACCAGACGACTGCTTTCCGCTAGTTACTGTAACAAAAAATTTTTCCAGTTTTTTTTTTTTTCGATGGGGGTGCTGAAAGGAATCTCTACAAGGATTCCGATACTATTGAAATAGGTTGGCAAATACAATTGATTTCCTATGGAAGAAATAAATTGAAAAGGATATAAACAACACTATTTCTTTCTTAATAAGTGATTAGTAAGAAGATTCAAAGAAAATAAGTATTAAGTACTATCTATCTACTATTAGAGTAACTTGGACGATCTCTGGAAAAAAAAAGCTGTTGAAGGAAAGAAAACCTAACATTTTCAATCAAGAAAAGAAGGGGAAATAAATTAACAATAACTCAATTTGGAGCTGCTTTAAGTACTCAAACAAGAAAAGAAAAAGTTCAATATGAAACAGTAGAGTATGTAAGTTTTATACCTGCAAACTAGAGAAACGTGGGTGTCTAAGCAAAGTATGGCCCAAATTGGCTTTGACAACATCTGGGTAAATTCTAGTATTGCAACGCATGATGGCTATAATATACACGTTGAAGTTTGGTTCGTGAAACAAACGAGCTGACGGGCTTAATGGCTCTTCTTCGGCTGTTCTTCGGCCACTCTTATTCTCTTTGCTTCCCGATGACTTTTTTTTTTGTTTTAATGTTCTTAATGAATTGGTTTTTATTTTCCTTAGTTAATTTATGGAGTTTTTTATTTTTATTATAAAAGATTAACTAGATTAAATATAATTAAATTATTATTTTACAAAATATTTTTATATTTAATATATGATTTTCATTAAATTCAAAAAGTAAATAATTAATTAATAATAATTTTTTCTTTAAATATAACTTTTTAATTGATGTCATAAAACAAGGATATTTTCTTAAATATTACTTTAATCAATAAAATTAAACACTAATTAAATTTATTTTATTATAAAATAAATACATTTTAATCCATACCACTAGACACCTATTAAAAATATTCATATAAGAAAATAAGAATAGAGTATTTAAATATCATTGAGTTTTTAATTTAATATTTTAATATGTGAATATTTTTATTTGATGATTTTATTTAATTTATTTTATACAAAAAATATAAATTTAAAATATAATTTAATTTGATATTTTATTTTTGATTAATTAAAAAATTAATTGAATTTTGATTAATAAAATTTCAATTAATTTATTTTTAAAATTAAAATATTTAATTCAATTAATAAATATAATTAATTTAATTTTAAATAATTAGATTCGAAATTAATTGAATTGAGTAAATAACAACACCTGTTTATGCACAATTTATTAACATTCTATGAAAAACAAAGGGGAGGACGATACTTTATGACGGTCTACCACTATTGGGCTAGATGGGCCTCCGTTTGATTTAGGTATGATCCAATATTCAAGCCCAATTCTGACCAATTATCTGGGTTTTTAATAAACTCTACTAATGCTGCCGAAAATAATAAAGTCGGCCCATAGGTCCAATGCCCGAACCCAAATATTAAAAGGCAATTCTAATTTGTACGGAAGAAATTGATAGAAATATTTTTGTTTTCAAATAAGCAATTTATTATTATATTATATTTTTACGTAAGTGTATCAACTTAATTTGGAGTTTAATATTCGAAGTTTAATTAGTTTTTTATCATTATATCACCTTATATTTCATAAAATTAAGAATAATATAATTTTTATGTAAAAACACCGTATCTAATTTTTAAACATTAAAATAGATTTTCAATTATAAATGATTGTTATAATTGCTTAATTTATTGATAGTACTATCTTCGTCAAATGAGTTTATTTTATTATATTAGAGTAAGAATATAAATGATATATTAGTATTTATAAGTTATTTGGATTCAACTCAAATAAAATTTAAATTCGATTTGATTATTATTGAGTTAAATTAAAGTAATTTGACTTATTTATTGAGCCAAATTCAAATAATCTTATATCCGATTCGAGTGGTTTGTAAATATAATCAAGTTTTTATATTTTAATATATTTTAATTATTGTAATTAATAAAATATTTTAAACTCGAATTTAAGCTCTAACACAAATAATATAAATTTTATTAAATATAAAAATCGAACTTATTTATATATGTTAATTGAACAAGTTTGAATAACTCAATTTCTATATCGAATTAAGCTCATGGTAAAAAAAAAAAAAAATCGATCGAGTTCGAGTTTTGAACCTCAAATTTAAAGTTGAACTTAAGCTCAAGCTTAATACTGTATCGGTTCGAACTTAATCAATTGCATACCTATATCTGAGTATTATAAATCAACTCAAAATTAATTGAAAGTTACATGCTATTTTTTTACAATATAAAATTGATCATGATATATATTTTACTTGCTTAGTTTTCACAATTAATTTAAATATTTTGTTTTTTGACAACATGGAAAAGGAAAACAGGCAATTGATTGGAGTTTATAAGTTCACAAAAGAAAGAGTGGTAAATTTAAGAGAATTTAGGGGTTTAATTATCATTTCTACTATTTTATTTATCTTCCCATGTGAATTAGTTCAAGATTACAATTTTAAATTTGATATAATGTGGTTTTATTCGCTCGTTATTCACACTAGCCTCCTGCAAACTCACCTAAAAAATCAACTTGCACTATTCTTATAGATTAATAGTATTATTCAAACTTTATTAGGGAATAGCTAAAATGTCCTTGAATTTTTTATTTTTAAGTAAATTTTTATATTTTAATTGTAATTAACTTTTATTTTATATTATATAAATAATTATTTCAGAAAAAAGTTGACTTTTGTTATAATCAACGTCAATTTAATTTTTTTGTATAGAAACTAATCTGGTTGAAAATTGAAAAAATAATTGATTGAAAAATAAAAAATTATTTATATATAAATTAAAAATTATTTATTTATTTATATATAAATTAAAAATTAAAAACTTATTTAAGTATAATAAAAATATAAAAACTTCTCTAAAAATAACAAAGTTCAAAAGCATAATAATTTCACATCTAAAATTACAATTTAGCATTCAAACAATTGATTAAATGATTTATCTTGCCTAAAAAAAAGATTCGATTTTTTTTTTTAGACACTTTCAAAATTATAAAGTTATAAATTTTAAATGAAATTATGCATAGCTGGATAGCCCAATCATGATAATCCAGCCCATGGAGGAAGAAACTGACTTTGAATATATTCCGGCTTTTGGCAAACTAAGCTAATCGGCAATTTAAACGCACTTTGAAGGTTCAGTTTCCAAGCCCATAATCTGCAGCACTTATGTCCTATTGGCTACTGGACTGGACTGGTCCATCTGGTTGCTGGTTACTGGCAGTTCCTAGCATATTCTTTGCGTCTTAACAAAAATATGTGCAGCAGTGGCATATTCGTCAAAATAAACCAAGACCAAGGGCTCTTTCTCCACCGCACGTTCCTGTCTCATATAAAATCATTCCTATCATCCGGTAGAGATTAGTTTCATCACCCTCTCTTCATCATCTGCCCCCCTCCAAAAAAAAAAAAACTTTACTGTTTCCTCTGCTTTTTCTCTCAAATGCAGGCTGAAAAAACTCAAGCTAATAAAAGCCGGCTTCTCTCATGGGCTCTGTTACAATAAAACCTGCATTAAATTCTTTCTGTTTTAATCCTCAATGCTCCAAAACCAAACCTCTTTATTATCATTCTCCTCATTTCTGCTTCCTCAAAGTTAAAGCCTCTCCTGTTTCTTTCTCCTTTAAATCTCCTTCTAATCCCATAAATCCAACTCATAAATGTAAAAATCGAAGCTTTCCCGTCAACCCTTTATTGGTTTTAGTCCCAGTCTTAAAGAGCTTCAAAGGTTTGGCCTTCTCACATACTCAAAAATGGGCTTCACGTTTGCACGCTTACACTACAGAATCAGAGAAAATTTTAGACCAATATAATGGGCATTACTTACAAAATGGAGGTTTTGGGGTGGCTTTATTAAGTGTAACAGCTAGTGCTAAGGTTCGAATTAGTCCATTTGTGGCGACTTTGGCGGCGAATCCAACGTTTGTTTCCGGTTTGTTCGCATGGTTTATTGCTCAATCAATGAAGATGTTTTTGAATTTCTTTGTAGAAAGGAAGTGGGATTTTAGGATATTGTTTGCTTCTGGTGGGATGCCTTCTTCGCACTCGGCTTTGTGTACTGCTTTGACAACATCAGTGGCGATTTGTCATGGAATAGCGGACTCGCTTTTTCCTGTTTGTTTGGGGTTTAGTTTGATTGTTATGTACGATGCCATTGGAGTTAGAAGGCATGCTGGGATGCAAGCTGCGGTAAGAAGCAAGATTATTCTGATTTATTATTTTAACTTTGAAACTTCTGTGTAGTTTGATAATTGGATTAGATGCTTGATTCTTGCACTATAATCAGTATGATTTGAGTAGTTTCTCTGGGGGCGTAAGTTTTGTTAAAAATGGTCAGTTTTGGCAGTTTGATGATTGGAGATCAACATTTATTCTTATCAAACTGAATATGTAACAGGACTAGCCCTTTGGTCTTGGTTGTTGAAAGAAAAGAAAAGGATGAAAATATAGTTGCTTTCTACTTATTTAATTCATGATAGGTATGTAGTTGTAAGATGCCCCAGTTTTAGCAACCTATTGGAAATTCTTTGACATGTATTATTTAAGGATGGTTTTGAACTTTGGATTGAATCTGGGTGAGTGTCTAGTTTTTATAGTAAATCAGAAGCTATGTGATGTATGTTTTGGAGGGTGGGTAGTCTTTGGACATAGACTTGCAATTAATGACAAAAACCAAGCTTAAAGTTCTTAATTTATTCTAATAGAGTGTTGAGATAGGCCCAAAAAGCTTTGGGGCTTTGAAATTGAAATTATTCTAACATTGATTGGTTGTCGAAGTAAACCTAATTTGAGGTAAAAAAATCCGAATATGGTCATAGGTGGATATTTCCGTAGTTGAGCACTAAGTCTGCATAAATTCTGTGTGAATGACTAGCTGATATCCACCCTGGTATATGTAACACCATATGATAATTCTGCGGTAACTATTTCCATTGAATTTCTGTTTCCAAATGGTTGTGTGCATCTTAGAGATGATATATGTATTGGGCATTATGAGCTATGCTTCTGTAGGTGGATTTCCTAATATCATTTTCCCCACAGTGACCAGAGCTTTGAATTTGATTCATATACCATAATTTTGGGCTTTGAATTTGAAGTGCGGAAATGGATTCCTTTAATTATCAGAAAAGCAAAGATGCTATCACAATAAATGATCCTTGAAGTTATCCCTAAGTTAAGAACAGATTCTGACCTGCAGTATTGTTTTTCTTTAGCTTTAAAAGAATTTATATCAAATAATGAGATTTTATTCTCATTTATGTAAATCACTGGACCAATGCTGTAGCTTATTTTCAAGGATACATTTAATATTTTAATGGCCATTTTAGCAGCTAATTGAATCTGAAGAAATGAATATGATTGCCATTGTTACCCCTGCTTCAATTTATAATGGTTAATTGCCATAATCTATCTGCCACATATTACTGTTTCTTAAATAATTTGGAAGTCGTTGAATTTGTTCTATCACACAGAAATATTGAAACATCCGGTTAAGCTTGTTTTTCACAGGTCTGCAACTGCATTTTCACTATTGCCTATTTGTATCTGCCTAAATTTCACCCCCCCCCCCCCTGGGGGTACAAACATGACCTTAACTTGAATTCCTCATCCAACAATCATTTATGGAAATACCCCAACATTCTGGTAGCTTGCCTGGAGAACTGCCATTTACCTTTGTGATTGCTAACTTATGTTGGAATCATGGAATAATTTTTTTCCTTCCCGGTTGTAGGTTCTTAATATGATCGTTGAGGATCTATTTCAAGGACATCCTATCAGTCAAAGAAAGCTCAAGGAACTTCTTGGCCACACTCCATCACAGGTCCTTGCTGGAGCTATGCTTGGCATTGTGGTAGCTTGTATATGTTGTCAAGGTTGTCTGGTTGCAACCTAGAATACTTCTGCAGGCAATTTTTGGTCTAATCGTTTGGACAGAGTTTTGCTAGTTTAAAATACCCTGGCTCAGTTGTTCGACCTGCTTAGATATTGTGGTCTACTTATCTTCAATAACTAAAACCTAAAGAGCCGAATTTTTTGTTCCCGTTTCAGTAACTTTACTACTTGTAACACAAACCTGACTTGACGCCAATTTAACTATCTAGAAACTTTTTTGCCTGTATATTGGATCATGAATGCCAGTCAGAACTAATTGTTAGATGACGGGTTAAGGGATCCAGAACAAACTTGCATGACTATTTTTTTCCCGGGTTACAATCATGAGCCATGACCGGTTCTTCTTGGTATCTCGTTAAAGTTCATCTATTCCTTTTTTATCTGAAAATAAATTCGGGACAGGCGGTGCAAATTTGGGGTTCGAGATGAAAATTCCAACTTGGACAGCGTCATCTCTTGACGCTACTTTTCCGGGCCATGGTGACGTCAGAATATGGTTGAAGTGCTCTCTCTTTAGTTTTTTGTGGGAACGAAATGTTTTGGTGGAAACCATAGAATGCGCCACGTGGTGGTCATAGGATGCAACGGACCGCACAACCTCCACTTTGCTGATGGCGACCAATAAATAATGGGTCCCAGGATCCACCAGTTACCACCATGATTAGTCTGAATGAGAAACCAAAAAAGTTTCCGAAGATTCTAGACAATTACTGTCAGCTGAATATCCCAAAATCTTTGTCTGGTATTTTCTTAAGTATTTTCTCATTTCTCTGCTACTCAACTAATTATGTTATTTGCTAATCATCTGCGAAAGTTAGCCTCATTTGCTGAACTATATCCGTGACGATTCTCAGATCACATTCATAATCTCAGTTTTTAGATTATAAATAAGTTTTATACACCATTTATTGCAAAACTAAAATTTTACCGCCTATTGCAAGACCAACTCGCACCCCTACCCGCCCTAAAAGGTAAAAGAAATGGGAAAAAAAAAAAGACAAAGGCGAAGGGAAAAGAAAGAACAGCAGCAAATAACTTTATGAAACTCACATTTATAAATCAATTAACTTTCATTGCAAAACATCATTTCCAATTTGGCCTACGGCTCCTTTGAAACTCATTTTCAACCATTTGAATTGCCAGTTGTCTTTTCTGAATTTGATTAACTGTTTCAATGATTATGTAGGATGAAATGCTGAATAGACTACAAAATTAATTATGGTCAACATTTATCCCCTGAATTACATGTTTGTTAAACAATTTGCAGATGTGTGATTTTGAATTGGTAACATTTTCATGTCCTTCCATTTTTTTTAGAGGGTTTACTCTAGCATTTCCTAGCTTTGTGCTGAACAGTGAAGCAAAGTTGCTCGATATTGGCAACAACTGGAGGAAAAAAGTTGGCGTCCAGATACGAACAAGCCATGCAGCAGTTTGTTGAATGAAGGAACTGAGCATCTAATGGCAGAATCTGGCTTCGGCGCCCTCAATTGGAAACATGGCCCTTAGGATCTCTTCTTTGAAACTGGCTTTTTCTGTATTATGTAATAAATCTGTCATCACATTTCTCGTGTTCAGACACAAGAATCTGACATAATTTTTCTTTTCAAAAACTTTTAGAATGGAGCCTCCACATATATTCATATTCTTATACAAAAATCAATTTCGATTTTTCAACATGAAGCTATGAAGACAAAGTAGTTGATCGGCCATCTTATTTGTCATCACTGACCTCCTCCGAACTTTTGAAATTTCGCGTCAACCATGCCTTCCCCAAAGTGACACTCAAATAAGAAATTCCAACTTCTTATAATAAAGGTTAAAATAATAAAAACAATAATTTTATTATTTTATTTAAATAAATGTTTATATTTTTATTATACTTAAATAAATTATTAACTTTTAATTTCTACCTTATAATTTTTAATTTATATCTAAATAATCTCTCATCATAAATCAATTTTCTTATTAAAAATAAAAATAATTATTTGAATACAAATAAAAATTTTAAAATTTATTTAAATTAATAAAAATAAAATAATTTTAATATTTTAACCAATAAATATCAAATTCAAATATTCCAACAGGATCAGAACAAGGGCACAGCTAGATTATATTATTATATATTTCAAAGTTTTTTATTTGTGACCAACTGTTCAGCCCACTTTAAAACTTGAGATGTGGACGGCAAGAAAAAAAAGTTCATATTTGATTTGTAGAATATTAAAATTTTATCATATTTATTAAAATGTTTTTAAATTTTGCAAATAAAATTAATAAAATAATATATATTTTTAATATAAAAAACTTTTTAAAAATAGAACTATGATGGTCTCTTAACCAAGAACTAATAAATATTAACAATAAAAAATTACGTATATTATACTATACTTAAAACCAATATTACAAAATACAAAATATTAAAATAGTAGCTTTTATTCGAATATCTAAAATTTAAAAAATTATTAAATACATCACCGTCTAAAAAAAGAAGAAGCTCGGATATTTAATATTGGAGAAAATTTATAAAAAAAAAATTACTCCATAGATAGCGAGATTTTTTTTTTTTTCATTTCCCAAATTTGACTCCTGATTTGAGCTTTCAGTTTCTCGCGTCCCCCTCTCTTCGGTCCTTCCTTCTGGTAAGAATCCTCTCTTTCGTAATATAACTTTCCTTTTTTTTTTAATTGCTAATAACTTCCGTACATTCAATCTCTAAACCCTAATCTTACATATCAAGATGAATTGAGCTCTGAGATCAGTAGTATTTCGTTTCTGATACCCGGGGTTTCGATTTCTCGGGCTTAGGGGTTTTTTCCTTGGGCCTGGATTGGGATTTTTATTTTCTCGTTTGTATAGAACTGTTAGGTTGAAAAAAAATGGGGAAAGTGTTGTGAATTTGTACATACTTTAGATGCATTATCTTTTAGAGTGTTGAGAACTCTTCGTTCGTCAAAAATTCACTGTAAAAAATGTCGTCGGCTGGTGTTGCTGTTGTTCCGGTTCGAAATGAACCTTTTGTTCCTCCTGATCACATGAATCTTGAATTGGGTCTTCGTGAAAACGAATCAATTTGGATATATTTGGTCCTCTCCGGATCGATGATTCCAATGCGGATTCTGGAATCGGATTCTATTGCATCCTTGAAGCTACGTATTCAAACCTTTAAAGGTTTTGTTGTGAAGAATCAGAAGTTGGTTTGTGGAGGCCGGGAGCTGGCACGGAGCAATTCCCTTGTTCGTGACTATGGAGTCAACGATGGGAATGTTCTACACTTGGTTCTTAGGCTTTCTGAACTTCAGGTCATTAATGTTAAGACTACGTCTGGTAAAGAATTTACCTTTCATGTTGAAAGAGGGCGTGATGTTGGTTATGTGAAACGGCAGATTGCTAAGAGAGAGAAAGGGTTTACTGATCTTGACGAGCAAGAAGTTGTTTGTGATGGGGAGCGATTAGAGGATCAGAGGTTTATTGATGATATATGTAAACACAATGATGCTGTATTGCATTTATTGGTCCGTAAATCTGCCAAAGTTAGGGCTAAGCCTGTTGCTAAGAATTTTGAGTTGTCTATTGTGGCACCAGAATTGAAAGATAAGCGAGATCATGACGGTGTTGAGACGAACAATCGAAGACGAAATGATGTTGGTGGTGAAGAGAATTATAGTAGAGGATATGAAGTTGATAGAGAGGTTGTACCAAGAAAGCCTCCTGATAGGGATTTTACATTGGAGCCTGTTATTGTTAATCCCAAAGTTGAATTACCTTCAGTGATTGTGGACATGATTAAGTCCACATTTGATGGGTTAGATAGCGGGAAAACTCCAATCAGGTCTGTGGAGGGAACTGGAGGAGCCTATTTCATGCAGGATTCATCTGGCCAAAAATTAGTTGCTGTTTTTAAGCCAATTGATGAGGAGCCATTAGCTGTTAACAATCCTCGAAAACTACCAGTGTCACCAGATGGTGAAGGGTTGAAAAAGGGTACAAGAGTTGGAGAAGGAGCATTCAGGGAAGTTGCTGCTTATATTTTGGATCATCCTAAGAATAAGCGATCCATGATATATAGTGACGAGAAGGGTTTTGCTGGGGTCCCTCCTACTGCTATGATCAAGTGTTTGCACGGTGGGTTTAACAATCCTGATGGTTTACCAACGGTCAAGATTGGGTCATTGCAGATGTTTGTGGAGAACAGTGGAAGTTGTGAGGATATGGGTCCTGGGTCTTTCCCAGTCGAGCAAGTACATAAAATCTCTGTGTTGGATATAAGATTGGCTAATGCAGATAGGCATGCTGGGAATATTTTATTGAGCAAAGATGAAAATGGGCAGACATTGTTGATTCCAATTGATCATGGCTATTGCTTGCCTGAAAGCGTAAGTTTGCTTTACTAATATTTCTTAATTTCCTGCAACTTCATGCATGTTATCGTTTTTGGTTTTATTGTTTTTTCCCTACTTTACCCCCACCTTTGTCTTGTTATTTTTTAATCTAGGTTCCTCAACTAGGATATAAATGTTAAACACCATACCCAGGATGGTTTGAATTCAACTGTGAATTTAACTCGAATCATATTACAGTTTCACGATTAGAAGGTTGTTAAACTTGTATTAGGTCTTATTGAATCAAGAGACTCTAATACACTGCTAAAATTCTCATGATTCACTGATTTGGTTAACTTTAAATTTTCTAGCAAGCTGAGTGGTGTTGCCAGCCTGATTCTGTATTTTCTGGGTTCTTTTTGTCTTGTGGAGTTCTTATGATTGTGTCAATAAACTACAGTTTTCTTTCACAACGTTGAAGAGCTCATATTTTATTTGTCTTTTGATGTGTCTTCAAGCCTAATCACTATTCATATAATCTGTTTCTATAGTTTGAAGATTGCACATTTGACTGGCTGTATTGGCCTCAAGCTCGCCAATCTTACTCCCCTGAGACAATTGACTATATAAAATCCCTGGATGCTGAAGAAGATATTGCCTTGTTGAAATTCCTTGGATGGGATATGCCACCTAAATGTGCACGCACGCTCCGCATCTCCACCATGCTCCTCAAAAAGGGTGCAGAAAGAGGGCTTACTCCCTTTGCCATTGGAAGTATAATGTGCAGAGAGAACTTGAAGGAAGAATCTGTGATTGAGGAAATTGTCCAAGAAGCACAGGATTGTGTGCTTCCTGGCACAAGTGAAGCTGCATTTCTTGAAACATTATCCCAAATCATGGATCGCCATCTTGATGAGATTGCTGGGTCACTCCTATGATAGAAGTGCCGAACATCTGTAGAGACTGGTTCATAGTTGATAGTTATGTTGTTGTACATGCCTTCTCATTCTTCTGCATGCATTGCCAGATGATGGGACCTCAAATTGGCCGGCAGACTGGTTATGAAAGCAAAATGGTTTATTCTTCTCAACCTTTCATGTGATTCTCTATTTTTTATTGCACTTCAAAAAAAGCCTCGTAATTTGAGGCGTTGATTCACATTCATTTCAATTGATTTGTTAAGATATTTTTTATTGGCCTTTTGAGATTTGAATTGAAGACATGGGTTTCCTTTTATTTTAGTGTTTTTTTTTTTGGTTTATTATTAGGTTTTTCACTTAATTAAGTTATAGGTTTTAAATTGTGGTCACTGTTAGTTAAGTTAATATAAGGTATTAGTTTTTCTTACTCTCTCAATTACGAGGGCTGATTCCATGATTTTGGAATGCAATTGTTTCTTTTATTTGCTGAAAACACAGTCAAGCTAGCTAACTTGGATAGTGGCATTGAAAGATACGTAGATCGCTTGTATATTTACAAGCAGCAAAGGATTGAATTTTACACCATAAATCAAGGTAAGTAACCATGGGTTTGTTGCTGACTAATTACAGATAAAGATTCGAAGAGGAAGGTTTTCCGGTTACCCTGTAGGCGATAGACAGTTGAGATAACATATCAGCTGCTTAGTTTTCAAGGAAAGCAAGTAACGAAATGCAACATAAATTGCAAGATGGAACCAAATATCTCAGTGCCTCTAATGTATAGGTCTTGAACAGCAACTGACTGACATTGATGCATCTTCGGAAGCAATCATCCTTGTTCTTTCGTCATCTCCAATCGCACAAATTACAGGCAGTTAGATTTTTCTTACAGCTATGATGTTTGAGTGACACTGGAATATCAAGGAAAAGAATTCAAAGGAGCCCTCGGCCTCAATGACCCTGAACTTTCTCAATTGGTCAATTCAGATGTCACTCAGTTTTCCCTCGGGTGTATGAAGTAAGTATTTCATTTCTTGGTAGGCCTTTTGAGTTTCTTCTTTGACCTCCTTCCGAAAAGGAAAAAAAAAAAAAAAACACTGAAATGCAAGTAATTTTGCTGACAAATAACAGTCATGCTATAACTCGTAATGGTGTCCCATCAGCCATGTCAAATATCAAATACCCATCTTCCGCTAAATAATTTTGTGAAAACACCGAAGATCAGAAATTACCTCCTTGTCGATTTACCACTAACACCGAGTACAGCCTTCGTCAATGAGCTCATATCCACAAAGCGCTCACGCATGATCTTGTCATGGTATATCTTGCTCCCAGTCTCACATATTTGTTCTTCCACCTCTTCCAAAGTAAAGATTAATGAGAGAATTAGGTGGAATCATCAGAGGAAGACACTGATTATCATGATTCACCTAATTAAACGATGGTGTATGTCATGCACATAATTATAGTGTATGAGTTACTAAGCCTGCTACTAGTATTTAGGTACTATTAAGGTGCGGTTTGATGATAAATTTTGAAATTTAAAAAAGTTGATATTTTGAAATTCATCAATTTAAAATAATAAAATTTACACTTATATTATTGGATAATTATTTAAAAAAATTTAATTATTAAAATTTGATAAGATAACAAAAATAATTATAATAGATAAATAATAATATTAGAAATAGAAAGAACAAAATATTATAATATATATAATATGAGTGTTATTATATTTGTAAAAACAAGTAGATATTATTAATAATATAAAAAAATTAAAAATATATATTTTATAATGAATTTTTTAGTTAAAATTAAACAAAACAAAAGTTATGTAAAAAATATAAATAATTTATGTTGATTTGTTACTATAAAATTTAAAAATTTCACAAATTTCATCTCCTTAAGTGAAATTTAAAAAAAAAAAAACTTGAGCCCTCACAAAATTTTCATTTAAATTTCAAGAATTTTAAAAATTCTAACTTTTGTTTTGTCAAATAAATTAATTTTATTTTAAAATTTTAAAATTTTTCTACAAATATATATATTTAAAATTTTCATCCAAAAACATCTTTAAAAAGTTCAAGATCTTTTGAGATGAGTTGTCTCAATTATCCTGATCATGTTCTTTCTATATTCACTGCCAAAGGAGCGCTTGCTACTCACTAAATTCTTTCGACCTCAAACCATGTCTGGTCAAGGACAGTATATTTTGAGGTTTTAAATATGTTTTAAACATGATATCAAGGTCAAATGTAAGATTATATGATCAAACTTCCAAAAAGGAAAACTCTAAAAATGGCTCAGCTGGAACCAACCCCCCTCCTTGTTGGAAATGATATGACTACGAGTTGCTGGGATCATAATCCTTAAATTCTCCTTTTATGATTGGCTCATTATATTCATGTATTACGGTAAAAGCATCATCTCGAATTGTTTGTTCGGGATGGGAAATTGTAGCTTCCATTCTATAATCGAATCCTACATAACTACAGACAGATTTTTGTTTGAAATGGATTTATATATGATGTGTCTTCGGACGTCGTAGTCGCATATGTAGTAATTGGATAATCATATTGGGCTAATAACGTAATAAAGAGGAGAGTTGAGTTCAACGCTGCTTCAACTTGAAAGGGAAATTAGAGCAGATGGATTATAATTTTTTTTTATTGAACTTTAGTATTTTACAGTAACTAAGAACTATGATTTGCCATCCAATCTGCTATTTGAAACAGGTTTGTTTCTATGGTACAGCTTATCACTTAGACCAGACAGATCATGATAACCTTCTTCATTTGTTTCTAACGCAGTTGAAAAATTACTTGGCAATTTCATTTTCTTAATTTTAACTGTACAATAAAGTAATTTTTCATGCAAGCAACCAACCAAACTCGACCTGTAATAACAAGTAAACAGAATAATATAGTTGCTTCAATGAGGTTAATTTGTTAAGCATTCTTGATTCAGTTTCCAATAACCCATTGAGTAACATCTTTGGAAGACATTGAGATATTGAGATCAAGAAATAGAATGGAGTTCGAAATGAGGAAAAACCTCCTTTATTGTATAAAAAACGATCCAACATTCTAGCTCTTTATTTATCTCCAAAAATCTGTAAAAATATCTTCCAAAAACGAACAAAAACCATGTATGTTACAAAATTAACCATATAACTGCTCCGCTTAAATGCTTCATCATCCCTGAATCCCAAATGACATAGCTAGATTCCCCAGGCTCATAGAGAAATTTCAATCTAGTATCCTAATCAATGCAATAACATTCGATCAGTTTATGCTTGTATATGCACAGGGACACTATTACCACTGCAATTGTTTGTCCAGTACTAGCCTATGCATTTATGCGCATTTACCCTCCAAGAAATGCCTAAAAACTTAAAAAGGAAACCATCTACCACTGATTGGGAAAGGCTTCTCTATAAGTTGCATCCTCACCCTGGGTCATCTGTGTTATTGTTGCATCTGTTGCCCCGGTATTCAGAAGTCTCTGAGCTAGCCTGTCTCTACTGGTAACTTTCCTCCGCAGCATGGATGCCAGAGTTTGTTTGTTTCTCCCCACTGATTTCTCCCCAATAGTTTCCTCCATATCTTCTCCAACAATTGCAGATCTTGATGTTGAAGTTATTGCAGCATCACGAATAACAGCTTCATTGTGCTCCCGAACTTTAGCAAGCTTTGCCCGACGTAATGACTGTTTATCAAGTCTTCTCTTCCTCACTTCCTCCTTATCTCGCTCCCTAACATTCGTCACAGCTTGTTTTGCTAATTGCTCTGCTAAATCAGACCCTAAATCAGGATTTGTATCACCTGTTGAAAAATTCTGATTGATCGGGTTTCCTTCCTCATCTCGGGGTATAATAGGCCCGTGAAATGGGCAAACCCTCATATCTCTTCTCTGACAAAGTCCACCTTTGCTCAAAGGTGCACGGCATGGTTGGATTTCTCCTAACTTTTCTTGGTAAACAGTCGCCTGAAGATTCAATTCTGCAATTTTCTCTGCCGGAATTACAGCATCATAATCTACTCTTCCCCAGTGATTCTCAACCTCCAAGCCTCTCTGATTAGCCAACATATCCCTATTAGAGACCGTGCCCCAATTGTCCAAGAAAGAACCCCACTTGACAACTGGAGCTTCAGCCAAAAGCTTACTCCTAATAGAGGTTTCACTACCTAGAGACTCTTTGCCCTTAGATAAGTTACTGCATTCTTTAGCATCTTTCACCTTTCTAGAGGCTGATACTTTAGCAAGATTTTCACTTCGTTTATTGGATTTCTTAGAATTCCTATCCTCAATAGATTTAGTTTTCTCTTCATCATTGGAACTTTGTGCCTCCTGTAGCTTCACATGTTCAGTAGAACTTCCCTTCTCAGTTGATCCAATATTATCTTCCTCCCAGAAGTCCTCTTCCTGTTTTTGGTTATTTTTCACAGTTTTTGGTAGAGCACAACCTGATTCTTCACAATCCTTCTTCACGGATAGGAGACGATTTCGGATATCAATCAACTCCTTCAACATGGAATCTCGCAACCTGTTGTCAGCCACTTCAACCTTTATAAGAAGAGAAATCCATTCTTGTATGGCAACCAGATGCTTTGTTACTAAAAGCTTATACAGCTCCTTTAATGCATCGAAAACCACTTTGTTTTCACTGTTCTCATGAACCTTTTCTCCTTCCTTTAATGAATCAAGACGGATCTGCCTCAATTCAGAAGAACGGAACTCTACAAAATCTTCATCATCCAAGAGGCCAAGTGGCACACTTTCCTCTTTAGTACGAACAATATCTAAACACTCCCCAATCTCATCAACCGTTGACTGTATTTCTTCCTTAACAGAACTAAAATTCATCTTCAGCGTTTCAAACTTGTTCTGTAAAATCTCTTGCGTCCTATGCTCTCTTTCCCTTCTCTCTCGTTCTATCCTGGCAGCATTCTCTTGTAGGTTCGGAAACTGGAACCTGAGAGTATTCTTAAGATAATCAAAACCTAACCTAAGCTGTCTGTAATGAATCCCAAAAGACGCATTCCACTTCTCCAAGAATTCAATTGCCTTAGAACGCAAAGTGGATGCAATAGCTGGAGGAGCTGGAAGCGGCATATTTCTTCTGAAGCCGACGCTTAAAGCCAAGAACTGATCCAAGTTCTCAACCAGAAGGGTTCTAAAAAGCTTAGACCGCATGAAAAGTTCATCAATTATAAGAAGCGTGAGATAACGCACCTGCAATAACAAGTCTCAAAAACTCAAATTCCTAGAACACCAACCTCCTAAATTTTTCTTTTTTTTACATTTAAAAAAATGAATTTCCGTAAAAGAAGTTTCGTTTCAATAAAGACTTGAAACTCTTGAAATCAATTCGCAGAACATGAATTGTGCAAGGAAATTAAAATTGAATCAAAGCCAACAAAAATCGGAAATGTTAATGAAATTAACATATACTCATTTCATAAATTTCATTTAGTAACTAACCTGGGAGTGATCGCGTTTCATGAGGTCCATAAGGGTATGGGCGGCGACTCGGAGTTCCGAATCGGAGAACTGGACCACCGATTTGATTGATTTGAGAAGGCGTTGATCAACCTCGGCGGCCGTTGAGTTCGTGGCTTTTTCTATCAAAGCCCTGACTTTCCCTCGCTCCTCCTCCTCCTCCTCCATCTTCATCGCCATTCCCCCAATCTTATCAGTTTTCCATTTCCTTTTTCTTTTCAAAATCCCTTATTTATATAAGGGTTTAAACTTCTAAGTTAATTTTCCAATGCGCGAAAAGTCAACAGTTAACCGGATTGAGGCGGCTGCTGAACCGAGCGAAAGGTTAAAAATTGGTTTACGTGGCACTCCGTAAAGCAAGCCTGCAACCTGGCCCTTTTGGAGGTTCGGCAATCAGAGTTCAGCCCAAAATATATTTTCCGGCTTAACTCCGTAAGAAGAACAACATATGGGCCGTATTTTAGATTCAAACCCATCATATGCCTAAAATTAAAAATAGTTTTTTTTTTTTAAATTTATTTGATACTCGGTGAAATTTTAAATTTCAGCATCAACGGGATTGAAAAGTTGTAATACTCACACACCCTATTAATGCATTTTTTAAATAAATTAATATAACAATAAAAACATATGTAAATTTTTACTTCACCTATGGTATTTAAAAATTTTATTGATAGTGTAGTTATAATAATATTAAAACTATAGATCAAGATTGTACCACAAATCGTCGCATTAACTTAGTTCGAGTGATTGATAAAAATAACAAATTATGAAATAAAAGATATATAGTAAGGATTTATTTATACTAGTTAAGAGTTATTCATATTTTTATCTTTGAATTAAAATTAAATTTATTGTATTTACACTTTCAAATAATATATAATTTTTATACTAATATAACCGGATCATTTCTCAAAAATATATCTGTATTAATAAGATTATAATTGTAATTTCCTTTTCATTAAATGTAAAGTAAGAATTTATATTTTGAAGTTTCTTCTACCTTTTTTTTTTTTTTCGTTTTAAGAACTTGCACGTTAGTTATCCACTAAATGTTAAGAAAAATTATAAATTTGTTTTATCCGTTTAGATTTTATTTAAATAATCAAAATTTTTATACAATCTTTATAACCTTTGGGTACAATTTACATTTAATATAATTTTGATAATCTTTAACATTTTTTAATATAATTTTTGTAAACTTTGATATAATATTGATAATATTTTATTGAAATTAATACTTTTTTATATATTCTTATAATCTTTAATACTATTTCAGTTATCTTTGACACTCTTTTTGATAAATTTTTTATATAATTTTAATACAATTTCGATAACTTTGATAGAATTTTGATAACATTTGATAGAATATTGGTTACCTCTATTATAGTTTTAATAATATTTGATAAAATTTAGGGACCTTTTGACAAAATGCTGGGCACTCCTAATTCAATTTTGATAACTTAAATAAAGTTTTTGTAATCTTTGATACCATACGGTAATTTTTTTATAAAATTTTAGTAATCTCTAATAAATTTGGGTAACTTTTTAATTACATTTAATATAATTTTAACAACATTTACTATAACTTTAGTAACCTTTGCTCTCATTTTGATAAATTGATTTGCATTAAAATTTCCCAGTTTGAGGAAAAGAAAAGAAAAGATTCTTATATTACAAAGTTAAAGAAATAAAAAATTTTCAACTGTAGGAACAATTTGATAAAAAAGTAAACAGTGGAACGATTTATTTATTTATTTATTCTTATAATTTTATTCAAATAATAATCTATTTAATTTTTCTTACAATTGAAGAAAGACGCACCTCAACACTCAAGGCGAAGGGATTCAAATATTGAACTGTGTTCCTCAATTATAAGGGTATACCTTCTTATGGGTAGTTGAAAGTTAACTCTTCATGGAAAAGTTTTATTGATTTTGGTAAACTATAAAATCAAGTTTGATATTCGTAAAAGGCTTAAAAATAACTCAACGCAAGTACTTAGAAAATTGAAATTCTTGCTTTTTGTTGAAGCTACGGAATTTGACAGATACTCTTTAATTTTCTTGAACAGAGATTGATTGATTTCTAGATGTCCCAAGTAAAGACTCAAAATCTGTATTTATTACTGTGCCCTTCAAGATTGCATCTCATGGAATAAAAAATCACTGGGCCAAATGTTAAATCCGAATGGGGTTGAATATTATTCCAACTCTTGGGGTTTATTATAAGTGTTGGACATGCTTAGGCCCTGGCATGTTTGTTCCTGTCTTTTTCATGATTGTTTTGCAAATCAAAATTTCAATGACTTGCACGAAACCTGTCTTTGGTCTAATATTTTCACAGGCATTTTAGGAATCCTGTTTCAGATCTTTGAACATTATCCCGGTTGAGATAAAGAAGAAAGAGAGGCATGTGCAATTGTGCATAGCATATAGATCCATTGAAACAGTATTTTCTTTGGTAGATCTGGGTAACTCTACGATTGAAGCGACTCCAATTTTATCTCAAATCTTGCATTAATAGAAATAATAATGTTTTTTACATTCTGGAAAATGTCAGTACTTTAAAAACCCAAAACAATCAATGATAGATTCTATCAGTCTTTTTTTTTTTTGGTCATTGAAAATGAAAGAATGAAAAGTGAAAAAAAAAAAGTACAAGAGGTTAACGAAACTTCTTTCACTCGGTCCTTATATGGGTACTTTTTATTTTTTTAGTAGTAGCTGGAATTCAACATTTATAAAAGGAAACAATTACATATTGCTCTTCTACTCTTTGGTACATGAATGCGATTGCTAGATACCCCACCCTCCCTGCTTGCGGAGATTTACAGGGAAAAAATATATTCGTGGGTTTTTTACAGGAAAAAGTCGGGCACCAACTTTCATTGACTAGCTAATGCTGGCTGGAATGCGCTAAATGGGCACTCGGATTTTTAACGGTGGACATTCAAATATTTTGATTGGGGCGGCATATATACGAAGTATGAACAAGGAATCTTCCCTTGGAAAAATTTCATATATGCCAACGTCCTAAAGAAATTGAAATTGAAACTTTAGTTTTCTTTTCTTCAACTTAACTTGATCCATCTGCTCGACTGCTAATTACCAAATATAACGCCGTGACTGTAGGTTGCATTTTTGTTCTGTACTACAGTAATATTAATGAAACGGAGTCTCCCATTCAGAGAGCTTGACACTCAATTACAAAGTATTGGCCTTTCACAACCTACTGCCCCAGTTTCGGTTTAATGGATTAAATCAGGGTCCAGTGGAAATAATTGACAAATAGCCAATGCTACAAAAAGATGGTGCTTCTAGCTACTGATTTCGGTCTTTTTGGAAGAGATCTCCATAGTGATTCTCGTGTCACAGATCTAAGAAAAAATTTTAAATTTCACATCGAACGTAATAAAAAAATCATTAAGATATAAAAAAATTTACATCATTTCTATTTTGTGAGACATTTTTTGTAAGATAAAATCATGAGATCAGAAAGATCAAAACGGATAATACCTTACAAAAGTGTGAATTGTGACAGAAAAATTGATATGAGACGTCGGATAAGTAGATATCCGGCTCTTGAAGCCGCGCGAGTTCGGAGCTTAAATCGCGACCCATGACAAGTGATATCAGAGCTAATCCTAAACCGTTCGATCCACGTCAAACACTTCAAGGGAGGTAGGTAGGGTGACCAACCTCCGTGACGAGGACGTCACGAGATTGGATGAGAGAGAATGTTACGGACCTAAAGAAGAGTGCTGAATCCCACATCGAAGGTTGGATGCGAAAAAATATCATGGACCTAAAAAAAAAATCCTGAATCTTACATCAAACATAATAAGAGGGTCACTGAGATATAAAAAGGTTCACACCACCTCTGCCTTGTGAGACACCTTTTGTAAGACAAAACCATGAGACCAGAAAGATCAGAGCGAACAATACCTCACAAGAGTGTGAACCATGACAAGAAAACTGATCTAAAATATCGGATGAGTGAATATCCGACTTTCGGAACCACGCGAGTTCGAAACTTAAGTCTCAACCCGTGACACTCAGGGCGAGCTAACTGTACTGCAAACAGCACTTAAGGTCAGACTGAAATCTGATGTCATTGTCACCAACCTGGAATAACAGCTTGATTCAAGAGAAAATATAATCTCTATGTCTAAGCCCCGCTCTTATGAATTGGCCTGAGAAAACGCAGAGCTTCTTTATAAAGTAAATATAGCAACACTACATCTTCACCTTCTTGGCCCAGTGGCTAGGGAATAATATAACCAAAACCGCCTCCCATTCTCCCATGGCCTGTTTCCATCCTATGTACCAAAAAGAAATATATAACACCAGTACAATAGGATAGGACTCTGAAGTCTACTTCCTTGCAGCTAACCTGCAAAAAGGAGGAAAGAAGAACAACATACAAACTGCAATATCAACAAAGAAAAGAAGATCGATGCTTCCATATAGAATCATAATCTAGAAATACTCTACCTCCCAAAATTTACCATTGCAATTGAATAACAGTGCTTCATGTTACAATGTGAACATAAAACTGGCAAATGGATTTTGTCGAATTTATCATCCAAATCAAAGTTAGAAGAAACTCATTCTCGAACATTATGAGACACATCAGATGTAAGATTGTACTAACTGACTAATACAATTATTGATGCACAAAATAGACTTGAACAACTTCTATGCACTTCCTTTTTCTGCAGTCAAAAATAGGGAACAATTAAATAGGATTAGATCCAATAACAAGTAATAATAACAGCAAAGCCTTAATCATGAGAGGGGGCTAGGAAGAAAAGGAACATTCTTGCACGAACTTAAAAGAATATTAGTGTACTAAGACAAGTTATGCGAGGTTTGCTCATGTCGATGGCTTCATTTCAGTGCAACAGACACTTCAATAAGGATTACGTCTTTGAGGCTGGTACAGACACTTCAACAGATTACATGGCACTGGCAATGACATTCAGATAAAAAAAACTCTACATGGGCCTACCCTTTGCGTGCATATGTGTAGAATCTAAGATTGAAATTGAGTACAAGAAAACTGGAAAATTTTTCACTGGGCTTGTATAGCAAATATTGTCACATCCACTCCATTGACATGTGCCAAGCCACTTCTTCAATGCCCTGTGAAAAGAAGATACAATGGTCTGTATGCACCACTAGATTATGGTTTGACAACCAGGTGCCAAAATTCAAGATATGATGATGCACCAATTCGAAGAACACTAGAATATCAGCTTGATGAAAATTTCAGAAGAGGGAATAGAAGTAACACAGCACCCTCATCTTCCATCTGAACGGGGCAAGTTCTCTTTAGCTAGAGCTCCAAAGCAACAAAAGAAGCCTTGACAAAGATATGACATTCCCATGATTCAATGCTCATCACAAAAATTTCAATACCTTTCTTAATGAATCATCGTTGCATTACCACAACTATTCAACCAACTAAATCCAAAAAGAGACAAAAAATGCAGTTGTAAATAATCCAATCCCAACAACGAGAAACTGAATAATTTTGGCTATGCTATTGATATTCAACAAATTGCAGTTAAATTCAACTTATAATTAAACAGGTAATAAAATATTACCCTATATTAGAGTAACAATTTTGTTGAGTAGATGGATCATCATATTTTAAAAATACAACAGACAAAACGTGAAAAACCGCCAAACCGACATTGATTCTCTACTCCTAACCAGCTATCCGCCATTTTATCATCTCCTTTCTTCTTACATTCAAATCCAAGAAAAAATTTTCTTGTTCTTCCTTTCTTACCATCCAAAAAGAGAAAAAGAAAATAAAAAACCACCACCAGTTTTAATTGCATCCACTGGGGGCAAACCCGATCCGAGAACCTGCTAAATCATAAGCAACCCGGAAACTTTGTTGCTGGATATTTCCAATTATGGACAAACCACTCATGGTACCCGCGAAAGCAAAGCAAAAAGTCCCGCCGCTATCAACCGGAATCAAATAGTTCGTCGCTGGCAATGACACATCAGCTCCTCTAAAATGCAGAACCACTGTCGGTACCTTAACCGAAGTCTTTCCTGACAAGTCGAAACATGTGTCGAACAATGAGAAATCAGGCGCTCGCTCCAGATTCGAAGCCCCTAGACGGAAAGCATCCCTCATTGCAATGTAAGCGGGTCGGGTCAAGCGGGTGACTGACGTGCCTGAGTCGATAATGACCCCTCCGTTACCTTCTTGATCCATTTTGAACAAAGAAGGTGTGATCCTGGGGACTCGTGTCCCACCGACACTGATCCCAAGCAGTTCGACGTAGTAGAAAGTGTCAAGCTTCGGGTTTGTTAACAAAGGAGTGAACAAGGCGGTTCGGGGAATGGCGGCGTCACCGAAGACCATGGAGGAGGGTTTAGAAGAAGCGGACCGGTCGACTAAACAGTAAGAGAACTTCATGTTGAAGCGGCGGCCCGTTTGGGAAGGAAATGATAATCTCCCCCGACCAAGGCCTAGCAAGCCTGCTGCACCAACGAACAAGCCCTCGTTGTCGTGACCACAACCAAGCGCCACGCTTCCAACTCTGGTTTTTCTAAACGTCAGCGTTTCAGTCGAGAAATCGCCGAAAGTAACAGAACCGTCGCCGTAGGATACTTGGTAAAGACACATCCGGCGTTGATTACATCCCGATGAATCTAAGCTACGGCAAAGTGGGGATCCACAGGGAATACCGGAGAAAGATCGTGATTTAGTAGGGTCAAAAATGGGGTCGGTTTGAGAGTAGCATTTCTTGCAAGGTGAACATTGGACCCAAACGACGTCGCTACCAGTGTCGAGTACCATATAAAGATACCTAGGAGGAGTACCGACACCAAGGCGCGTGAAGTACTCTCCACTACCTTGAGCGAGTCCGGAAATAATAGAACTACTGAACTCAGAACGTCTTCCGGGAGCGCGTGGAGGGTTACGAGCAACTGCTTTCGAAACGAAGGAGTAGATTGTTTCGGCACGGAGCGCGTCGCGTTGGAGTCGGAGGTCGAAGAGTCGCTCCGGAGTCTCATCCGAAGACAAAGCGTCCAAGTGGTGCAATTCTAACTGCACTTCCAATGTCGTGTTGGAATTAATAGATTCGAGCTCGGAGGTTTCGACAAGGGAGTCGGATTCGGGGTCGGAATCTTGCCATGAGAGAGTGGGCGTTGAAGGAAGAGAGCGGGGAAGTAGCGTTTGGAGCTGGAAAGGGGAGGTAACAGCGGCGGAGAGAGAAAGGAGGAGGAGAATAATGGAGCAGGAAAATAAAAGGTTGTTTTTTGATTTTTCTCCCATCGATTAGAGTGAGAGCGAAAAAAGAGAGAACAATAGTGAGAGTTGGGAGTTAGCAGTTTCAAACAGAGAACTTAAATAAAGGAATGCGGTCCTATATTACACTCTTTACCCATGTGGTAACGCCTAATTTTTTCGGTTGGAACCCGAACCCATGCCTCGACTGCGTATGTCTGACGCCATCCACGGTTGTACCGCCGTGATTTTTGAACTAATGATCATGTTAAATTTAGGGAAAAATATTAAAACATTTTCTTAAATTATTTAAATAGTTTTTTATATTTAAATAAATTTTATTTTTAATTTGTATTCACCTAAATCTTTGCTTCAAATAAAAAAAATTGAGTTATATTTAAATTTTATTTGGAAATAAATTAAAAATTAAAAATTTATTTGGATATAAATTAAAGGTCAAAAAATTATTTAGATACAATAAAAATAAAAATAATTATTTAAATAAAATGATAAAATTAAAAAAAAATATTATTTTAACCTTAATTTTATTAATTCATTTATTGTAGCAAAAAGCATTACTAAATATTAAATGCAATAATACATTAATACTAGCAGCAAGGGTGACCTATTTCGATCCAATATTCTTAAAAGTCACTCTGATTTATCAAGTAGCATCTTCAACACTTTTGGCCCATTGCTGCATTATTATTTCTATAATTCCACCTTCTGCGAATGTTACTCATGCTTTAACTATTTACTTGACATTGTATAAATCAATGAAATGAATTTTTAAAAAAATGGATAAAATAAGAAAGCCATCAAACAAATTTATCTCTTCGTCCCACATATTAATTCAACAACTACAGCACAGTACAAATTGCCTATCCTTGTTGATTTATCCACCTATTTAGATGATAAACGACAGTGAAATGATCCCCCCACTCACATACACACACACACATATATATATCATCCATTTCTGGTCAAAAATTTCAACAAGTTCATTGCATTTGCACCCAAATCCATCTTCTCCTGGATTTGATTAACTCTAATTAGCAACGACTTAATGACATTCCCATGTTATCAGTTCCCTAGATTGAAATTAGATCAGGTGACAACAATGACTTCCCAGATCATATATGTTTTATATGCTTTTTCATCCTCATTTAGGACTCGGCATCTCTCTTTCCTTTTACAACTTAGCTAACAAGATTCGTTAAGGTTGATGGAGCTCGCTGTGAAACGCTTTGATCATGTATGTAAATCAGCTATCTCTCTATTTTGTCAATAGGGGGTGGCGAAGGTGCTTCATTCACGGGCTTACACATCTTTGTATGAAAATGACACATCCTTACGATTGCTGATTCTTTGTGGTTTGAGAGGCACATGCAGCTTGGCCCCAGTACCACCCCCATTTGCCGATGGGGCTTTAACACATAGATTCAACCATTTACATTCTCTTTATCACAAGAAAACATGATTCAGATTTACGTAATAGATAAAAATATGGATTAATCATCACATGGTTTAAAACTTTGGGTATGAAATCAAGATCTATCTCAATCAGTGCAACATGCATTATCTAACTCAAGTCATGAGATCTTCGAGGTTAAGAAAAATATGTTAAGCAAATTAAGATTGCAGAGGCGATCTTATATAAATGTTAATTCTGAATGAGTTGAATATTGAATATTCGAACCCCCTGGCCTCAAGTTTAGCTACTTGTTTATATTTTGATCACATCGAACAGTATAGTCATCAATTTCGGTTCTGGGCCACTTCATTCTGCAGCACATGCGTTGGAAAAGGATGTAGGTTTCCCTGTCTTCTGGTGATTATTCTAATACTACCAAGTTTAATAAAATACTAATAAACTTTGCTAAAACTCCATGAAAACCAGTCTTTGGTCTAAATTTTCACAAGCATAATAAATAAGAATCCCTGTTTGAGATCTTTGAACTTTGTCCTTAAGATATATAATTTGAAAAAAAAAATGGAAAAAGAAAGAAAAATCAGCCATGTGCCTGAGGATAGGTTCATTTGCATTAGTCAGAAGTTTCTTGGTAGTTCTATGATTGAGGCCGATGTATATCCAATCTATCACTTATTATCATTTCTTTTCGTCAGATTATCTGAACATATAAGACATCATCATATCTTAATCGATCTCAATAAGATTAAGCTTGTTTTTGGTCTGACTTCCAACAGACATGTTCTTGTTGCATTAATTGAAGAAATGGAAATGTTTAGAGAAACATGTTAATGCCTAGTTTTAATCTTGGATTGAGAAACGCATAATTAATGGATCTCTAACAAACTGAAATGACATTTTTGATGAAAAACATATAAGACATCATCATAAAATTACAGCACTGTAATTGAATAAAACCCAATGTTCCTTTTATGGTTAAAATTTCATCTGTGAAATACATTTCAACAAATGGAGCTAAAATAAAAAAAATGCTAACGTGAAGTTTGTCTCTAGTGATTAATTTGCAAAGTCAACAGACAAGTGATCTGTTCTTAAATCTTCATGGAAACTTCCCTGCTTAAGAACGCATGCATCAAAACAAAAATTGCCTTCATTAGAGGGAAATTAATGCCGAAAAGTAGCAAAGAATTTACATCAAAGAAAAGAAAAATGAAAAGGTGGAGAGGACCACCACCAATATAAGGCCAACATCATGAAGAAATTGTACCTTATGTTTTCATTACCTTAAATTGCACCGTGACTCTAGGCCATCTAATTTTTCAACAGTTTAATGCTTAAATTGCTACAGTTAGTGCATTTTCAAACAGACAATTACATTTTAACCCCGGTACGGATAATAGGCTAATAGGTACTATCAGCCAGCTGCTTACCTTTGGTTTTGCCATTTCAAACCAATAGTCGGAGTCAAAGGTCAATGGAATATAAAATGCCATCCAGTGGAATGCCAGCTTGATCCAACTTTCCCTCTTTCAGGGGATCGGTTGTAATTGTAAAACAAGCAATAAAAGAGGGTTTGAATCTTCACCACTACAGGTGAGAATAAAAAAAGACCAAGAATTGGAAACAATTGCTGACAATTATTCAAGAAAGAAGAGACATAATCACATAATTTTGATTTTTTTTTATAATGGTATTTATATTTAGATAAAAGTGATTAGACACCAATGGGCACGGTTTCAGCCAGGTAAGCACTTCCAGTTTGGATTTTGGAAACGTAGCATTGCAATTTTTTTTTTCAGCAATAAGAGGTTTTTTAAACTCACTCTATTGAATCTAACAATTTTATAACTATGATTCAATATTCTTAATCATCTATTAGCTCGGCACTTTTGACTGAGAAAGATTTTTATAATTAGGAAAGACCACTTTACTGAATTGGTCCTAGACATCATGTGATCAATTTTAATATTTCCGACATTTGTTGTGGTAACCAATTCAGTTTTGACTTGAGAGCAGCGAGTCAACAGCATTCCCCTGCTCCTCCAGCTAGTACTAACGTTTTGATGTATTACATGCTTTTCACGCCCTTGGGCGGGCTTCTTATGGAAAGCTGATCTTCACCCGTGACTCAAGTTTAATTTGAGCATTATTTCCAACTCACCATCTTCCCATGCCCTGTCTCCTACGCAGAGTAAGTTCACAAGAGGATTTGACCACAATGACACAATCTTTCTCAGGAATGCTCAATATAGAGAGTGATGATCTAAACATTGAGATATGTCTGGTAGCATTAGAACATGAAAATGTATTAATCAATACTCGAGAGTACTCCACTTGGAATTCTGTAAGAAAGTGACATATTGAACACAATTGCAGGCTGATTCTATATGGGCCACAGGCATGAGTTGAAGGTCCAGTTATCATTAATGGCATGGCACAATTTTCTCCTGCCGCACTTCCCATAGAATAAGATAAGGATATTTACAATATTCTCATTTTATCTTATTTTCAATCACGAAAACTATAACTGAGATGCATTGTCAGAATGATGAATCTATTCAAGCTATGGTTTTTGTTTTGGTTGTGAAATCCAAGGGTGAATCCCAAGTGTAAACAGATATAAGTAATGCTCCCACAGATTAATCACGAGTGCTTTATTCATATGAAACTTGTATATGCATTTTGTTTCAGAACAAATAGTTAAAAAGAACAGTAAAACCTCGTAAGAAAAAGGTAAATGCTGATGCTTGACCAAAACCAGGATATTATCCAGCTGCAGATGTTGTTATGTAAATGCTGTGACAATCTTGATAATCAAGATAAAATTTATGTCTTAAAACTCTAGAAGTCTAAATCCTCTAGTCATAAATAGTGTCAGAGAAGGCTAACCGAGTCAATGAATTCGCTTAAATTCCTTATGTTCGTAGTAGATCAAGATATAAATCTAGCCAGAGCCAGTAGGCAGAGGATACATATTTATGGCCAAAAGTAAATTTGACGAGTAAAGGATGAAGAGAGTAAATGCCTGAAGATGCTGCAAAACTAATAGCAGTATGGCAGCAATGTCTAATAAATGCACAAATCTTTTTCTTCAAGAATGCAGATATATTTTCACCATATCCCATTGATTTCCATAAATATTTTGCTGTTCCATATCCATTTCTTTTTGAATCGGGTAGCAAAGAAATGTGAATTAGGAGAAAATTTATGAAGTTTCTAATCTTGGCCTTTTTGTCAGAATTACTAGAATAACATAACACCATATATTTACATTATGACCAATAGAATGGATGCAACATGAAGAGACACAAATTGGTTACTGACATAAATTCATATTAAATGAATCTTATAAAAGCAAAAGCAGATAGACACATTAAAGTAGAAGAAAAATATTAATGAATCAAAAAGGGAGCTGGAGGGGGGAAGAGAAGGATAAAGAGAGGACAAGGAAGCTCACAACTAATTTTAAGAGGGTGGGTTCAGCACAATGGCATGAGAGAAGCACTAACTTTACATAAATTTTAACTGAAGCCTGTTTATAATACCTATTGGGGTAAGTCCTTCTAACGAGCCAAAAAGAAGATAATAACTTGGAAAGAGTGCTAAAGTTCGGTAGGAGACTCAATAAGGTATTACAGAACAAGGACATTATTAGGGCAAATCAAAGACAGTAAAGGTAAAGTAAAGGATACATGGGGCATGCATTGGCTTTTTTCTGCATAAATAACAATGTCCGTGTTCACAGTCCATGGTGTCATTGTCATCTAATTCAGCCAATTAGTGACAAAATATAACATTCCATCAAAATTGAATCCTAATTTCTAAATCAAATTATAGTTGTTTAAAAAAAAATCTAAATAAAGCATCATGTAAAAGCTATTAAAAAGCAAAAAGGCTTTGGATTTCCCTTTTGCTTGCTGCCTTGCAGGACAGGGGAGTGGAGGGAATGAACGGTAATATACAATACTATCTCAAAATAACATCCCAAAGTAAACTTCAAGGAGAAGAAACTAACTAAATAAAGCAAACATCTGACTTTAAAAGTTATTTTTAGATTCAACAACCAAGTAAAGTGATCTGCTAATTAGAATGGGGAAGATAATTTGCAGAGTTGTCTCCCAATGAACCCAAGAAAAAGAAAAGGTAGGTCATTTTAACTTTTAATTATTACAGTATTAATCATATAGTCAACAATTCAATACTTCGATGCTAATTCTGACTTTATTTTTCCTTTTTACTGTTAAGTCTAATTGCACTTACAGATTGCAACAGATTGCAGGCTAACTTTTAAACCGTAAAATAACCATTAGAATTAAATGATTGGGTAGACCTTGAATAGTTGTACCTGTTAGAATTTGTTCCGCACACTTCTTGCTGTTTCCATACCATTCACATAGGGTCCTCTTGGCGCCAGAAGCATGCACAAGCTAAAGCTTTTCTTCACACACATTCCCCAACAATCTTCTGATTCTTGTAAGTATAGAGATTTATGCTTCCCACTTAGTAACTTTCCTAACAGTTGAAGATCTCAAAAGGCTCAAATATTAACTACTACATCCCTATCTCTATCTACTTTATGTCTTCTTTAACCGTACAAGTCGATACTTTCCAGTTCATATCTTCTAAAAAAGGTATAACTTGTTGATCTTCTTGTCAAATAGGTTATGTGTCTTCTCCTCCGCCTCTCCGTTCCCCTTTTTTTCTTTATTCTTTCTTTTCTTTTCTGTTTTTTTCATGTGTATGAATGTGCTTAAAGTTTAGGAATACTGTATAGAACAGATATGCATTTGAGAATTAAAAAGTCCACAAAATAGCATGAGTAACATTAGTTTAAATTTGTATATTGGTTATACATTGTCATACCTCCTTTGGATTGTAAATTTGAACTGAAATTTGAAAACCAGAACTACGCCACCAAGTTTCATGATTAAAAGAAGGAGGAATACTTCCATTCTGATTAAAAACACAAATATCCACTAAAAGCACTAATCTCCACAACATTTGGCAGCACTCTGTCAAAATCTTCTTCTGGAAACATCATCATTCCTCCCTGCACCAGTATCCACTCTTCCCACCAGTTTTACGCTCAAGCCGTACATCTGTGATCTGGATATCTTTTGAAGCAGCCTTGCACATGTCATAAACTGTTAATCCCGCAACACTCACAGCTGTCATCGCTTCCATCTCAACCCCAGTTTTACCTGTACTAGCTGCTTCTCCTTCTATCTCAACACTAAAATCCTCAGGATTGAGTCTTAGATCAACCCGAATGTGAGTCAAAGTGATGTTGTGGCATAGTGGGATGAGAGTGCTGGTGTGTTTTGCTCCATTTATGCCCGCAATTTTTGCCACACTAAGAACATCTCCCTTAGCCATCTGGTTCGCCAAGACCAAATCATACACCTTCTTCCCCAGAACTACCTTGCAACTAGCCGTAGCAGTTCTACTACTATTTTCTTTGGGTGAGACATCCACCATTTCGGCTTTCCCTGTGCTGCCAACATGGGTCAGACCAGGTGCATTTTCAATTAAATTTTGAGATATATAGCTAAGTTCTTGAGCCGCAAACTTATGCCTAGCAGAACCCAAAATCAAATGAGAATTATCTTGGGATTCTTGACCTATGAAACTTTTATTTCCAGAATTGGCAAACCCATCCGGAGGAGGTTCACCAAAGACTGATTCCATTTCCTGAAACCAAAATTAGGACATACACGCATGAATGGTTGTTTCTCTTGAGAGCAAAATGTGTGGTAGATTTAGATACAAAGCCAGTAATCAGCATATTACCAGCCATAATAACAAAAACAGAGACATTAAAGCAGGATTGAATCACATATATCAAACCAAAATAGAAAATTCCAATTATGGTTTCAGTTCAATAATGATCATATTTCCATAAATTGTAGTCCATTATCATTGTTTCCTATCAAACAAGCAAACAATAACAAAACAATGCATATCTGTTTAGTTTTTCAACCTTTTTTCCCGCATACGGTAAATGCAGAACATAGAAATTGGAAAAATTTATAACCAAAGGTTTATCAAGTACCTTTTCTTTAACTAATAAACGTATATTATTAGCAATACCTTGTTGAGTTCAGCTATGGTGCTTGCAAGGTCATGGCTATCTTTACTGCTGAAGAACCTTGTCGAGCGAGGAACTACCACAGCAAGTCGACGAAGAAGCATGACACCAAGGATCAAGACTGTTCAAAAATAAAAGAACACAGATTTAGGATCTTAATTCTTATAATATAAAATGAAAGCATGTTCTTGTTCAGGCATTTTCACAAACAAATTAAGGTTTAAAGAAAAAAAGTACAAAGTGATGAAAAGGGCAAAAGTGTCGAAATTTTATGTTTTCTATTTGAATAAATAAGCTGAAATATAAATTTTGAAGTCGGAAAAAGCCACCTCGAGTAATATAAATTTGTATGCCGTCGACGACGGAATGTAGAATGGATTTTTCGTAGATCGTAGTAAGAGTGTCAGTCAGTGTGATATTGTCACGGCAAGAAAAAAGAGAAAGCTGAACTGGCAAAAGTCAAAAGCCACACAACTCGCAAGCAGGTGTCAAAACGCACCGTTTCGTAACGCAAGACTGACTGGAAAAGAGAGTCAAAAGCCAAGCAAGCAAGCGTAAAAACGCACGATTCTCAGCAAGTGTACCTTAATTTAGAATTTTCTTTTGTTTGGAGAAACTTTAATCTAGATTTTAGACCAAGAAAACACTTGCTTACAACTTGTCAGACAATTTTTTTTTCTCAAGAATCCGTTTAAAATGGAATTAATTGCCTATCTGGGTATCAAAGATTGGTTATGTGGCCCGGAGCACAGTTCAGTCGCAGTCAACTGCTCCGACGTGCATTTTTCCTCTGGTTAGTTATCCGACGGCTGCCTTGCAAATATTTTTCCCGTTTCAAAAGCACACAAGTCACACCTCGTATTCACCAACTTTCTTCGTTCCAGAACCGCATCCAAGTATGATGGACCAACACCCAAGTATGATTGTATTCAATTTAAGTAAAAAAAAATATGGACCAAATCTAACAAATTACAAGCAACCAACAACCTGTGATCAACACCACATTGCAAAAAAGAACAAATAAGCTGGTGAAAACTTTTTCTTGTCATTATCTCTACAAACCATAAATATTGTTTTTCCGTATATGCTTGTCTGATACACAGTTCTGACTTCTGAGAACAGTTAGAAATTGAAATTTGCAACTTCAAGCTTGTGGAATTTGACTCAGATAAAAGGGGCAGTAAAAGAACGCACCCATTTTTGAACAGCCATCGGATATATACAAACTATTGATCGCAAATATGCTGTCAACAGAGATAACAACAGCATATTTAAAAGATTAAATTTAAATATATCTTACGCCAGATTAGGCATCAAGCTTCGGGCCTCTTTCACAGCTGAACTAACAGCATAGAGCACCATCTTTTTAACCTGTAGAGAAGAAAATCCGATGAAGCATGTAAAATACTTGTAACGTAATTATTCACTAACGAATACTCTATACAACAGCATTTCTACTTAGAAGTTTGTCAAGTCACAGTCAATAAAAGAATCAGATGAACCTAATAGGATATGTCTACCATTCTAACATTGACATATCACCACAAAGCCAGAAGGAAGATTATTTTTTATCTTTTTTAACTGGTAAACAATCTCCTTCAAAAACTCGTCAGAAATGCATGAAAACCTAACTTGAGAGGGAGATACCGTTGAGTACATGCATTCAGAAGGCTTTTCAAAAGTAGGCATAACATCATAATAAGCACATTACCTGGTGCTTACAACTTAAACCTATTTCAACCAAATAAATATATCAAATTCAAATTTCTTACCTCTAACTTGTCTTCCTTGGCTCTATGGTTCTTTGGGAGCATGCGGAACTCTTTGGTTAACCGAATACATTCTTCAATGTTGTCAGGAGAGACAAAATCCAGTGCCACCTTTATACAAGACTGGAAAAAGAGAAAAACATGTACAGTTAATGGAATTAATAGTGCAAGCCAAAATTTAAAACATACACTCACACAACATTGTCAGTGGCCAATGGATTACTTGTCTATTTCTCACTTGATGAGGACATCCAGCAGGAATGAAAACAGCCTCACCAAGGCATTGCTCAAATGTCCAAGGTTCCACATCTGTACATTTCACACCAAATATTAACGATATTGAAGCAGTATGAATGATGGAACATCAGAATGCTGACCATTCAACAAAGAGAATATTCTTACCAAATTCCTCTTTCAGTTGTTTCTTATGCCTCTCATTTAAGAAAAGAGTCTGATCATGGATGGGGTGAATGACCTGAGAAAGCACAATGTAAAGTAATTCAGCTCTCCAGTATAGAGAAAACATACTAAAAACTCACTAGTGGCAGCAAGGATACTCACAGAATTTACAGGAAGATTGTTAATGTGGCGAAATTCCTTCTTGTGCTTTTCCAAGTACTCAATGATTTTGGGAACATCCTGCTTGCGAAAGATATCCCAGACAGCACCACCATTGACCATTTTTGACTTATTATTATTTTCTATATCCTTGATAGGCTCTTGGTCTGATTCTTTTGACTCGGGACCATTACATCCATTGTCACCAGAGAAGGAAATCCCTAAAATGTCTTTATCATTAGTAAGCTTTGTTACATCCATGTCCTTGGAACATTTAATCTTTTCCAGGTAAGATGCACTCGAATCAGCCACACCTTCTCTCTCAGCTCCAACTGCATTGATATAAAAAGTGGCACAATCAGTAGGGCTTGTCAAATTTCCAACTGCAAAATTCCTTTCAGAAACATTTGCACCATAAGAAAAACAGTTTCCTTCCTCTTCAGATTGCTTTTCTCTTTTTTCATTTAACTTCACAATCTTGTTTTCTGCTGTGGATGCATTTAACTCTGGAGAGTAGACATTTTCATCAATTTGGTCATTTCCTGAAATATTTCTAACCCCTTCCTCAGCCTCTAAACTATGATCCATTGTTCTAGTTTCCAAATTATCCTTATCCATTCTGTTTCTTGATGAAGAGCTTTCCTTCGTTTCAAATTCTTCAATTTTTTGATCAGTTATCCCTTTGTCATTATTTTCAGGAAATGACTCTGCCTCTACCTTCACATTATGCTCCAACATGCTTGATTTCTTAGCCAAAATTCCAACCAACAGATTAGCTCTTTCATCCACTCTCCTTGACAAAGAGCATTTGTCTGGTTCAACTTTGCCAGGGTTATTATTACACCCTAATGATTGTGTCAAGTAACTTTCATTACAATCAAGAATATGAGGCTTTGAATCATTTACTTGAAGCAACTCTGTCCCGGTACTATTGTTTTTCCCATTTTCAGGAGAAACAGAATGTCCCATTCCAGGCTTTGATTCATCCAATCCAACAATCCTTAGATCCATGGAATTTGTAAATGGTGGATTAGTATCTGATTGCTCTTTATCCAGTTTCCTTACCTTTATGTGTTTCTCTTCCAACAACAAATGGTCATGCTCCATGCCTCCATTCTTTGTACAGTCAGTAACGTTGATCTTGTCCCCATAAGTTCTCTTCAGTGATCTTCTTTCCATTCCAACCTTAGCCTTTTCTACACCTCCATAGAGTTCCTGCAAGTCTTCAGCAGCTCGTTTGTTCTGCATTCTTTTTATGTTTTTGCATTGCCAGGGAGCAATTTTTACCTTAGTTGTGTGTGTCAATACATTTACCTATAGCCATATCTAAAACTATTAGTTAATGGAAGTCTATAAAACAAAATGCTAGATATCATTGTGTTGTCACATAAGATGAAAGCCTAATATGAATCATTACCGCATCAGACATATCACAATGCAGCTTTGTCACTGAATCACCTCGACCAAGTTCTTCAGAGAATCCATATGCAATATATGTTTTGGGTCCCATATCAGGCTTCAACGATCCCTTTGGAAGCCGTGTAGCAAGGTTTAAAAGGCCTGCTTTTGGATCAGTGTAGTCACTGTAAGGGAGGGCAGCAATAAATTCGGCGTTATGCCTGGGCAAACGTTCTTCAAATAAGGTTGATGAAGGCCAATCCTTCAATTTCAACATTTCTGGCCACCCATCTCTATGCATACGGCCCTCTAAGTAGCCCTTAAAAAATTGGTGAATATTAATTTCAACCTATATGACAACAAGAACCAACTTCTTAGATCCATGGAAATTAAAACATTCAGCAGAATTTAGATGGTTGCATAACTGACCTCACACCAATCTAAACAATCAATGGCCTTCACGCTTCGAGTCTCTTCTTTGAATTTTACATGGGCACCTGTTTCTCTAAAAGCCCTCCACATTACCATGGGTTCCCAACTAAGACCAGATGTTTTCTCAAGAACATTACGTACAATCACAGGTTCACCCCTCATCCAGTGCCTCTGAAAATGTTCAATTTCATCATCTGATATATCAACAGCATTTGGGCAGAATAAATAGTTATCATGACTTTCTTCCCTGTTAGCTGCGTGCCTCACATTATAACTGCTGTTGCGGTTCCGATCTGAACCATTTGGCTGGCATTCAAAACATTCTATAGAGAAATCAACATCAGGTGGTTTGTATTGACTGATATTGTCCTCCGCCTTACTTATCAGCTTAGTTACCCAATTAGCTTTAAAAACACGTCTCAACTCAAGTATTGAAGCACCACAACCTCCTCGGTCACTTGGAGGGCATGGAATACTACCATCAGCATTAGCTTGCCAATCAGGAAAGTGAGAAAACAAATCAGCTTTATCATTACTGGTTGAACCCACTTGGTTCTCCTGTCCATGTCTACTCCTTGGTGCAATACATTTTTCATCCTTTTGTGTTAGAAAATTAGCTCTTTCTACAAACTGGCTCTGGGATGTTTCTGCTTCATTACCGCCAGGTTGGCAGCCTTCTCTTAACTCTTGACAGCAAGTTAGGCATAGATCATAAGAACATCTGGGGCAGCTTCTGTGAAAATTAACGATTGATGTATTGCAGTTGTCACTGTCATACAAGAAAACATATTGTTCATTGTATGCAGTTTACATTTGACAACTAAGTAGCAACAGATTTTAGTTTTAAGTTTTAACAAGTATGAAAACATACCAGTACAAACGTTCACTTTTGTCCAATTTACACCTTGTCATACCAGTTGTTTCTGTCAATTGAGATCCTAAAATACAAAAGACATAACAATATCAAAGGCAGAGAACATAAAGAGAGTCAAATAATTTCATTTGCAAGCGCACCACGTCAATTTACCTTTTATGTCTGATTCAATCTCTATTTCAGAGTTCTGCTCCCTGTATATATGCCTGAGAACTGGGAGAGCTTTATATAGCAAGTATTTTAGCTGCTCTAATTTGACACTGATGTCCAAGTCCTTGTGGCTATCCTGCCAAAGAAGAGAAGATAAAGAAGAATAACAATCATGAAAACAGCAAAAAATGATTTTAGGCATCTGGCAGTTAGATCACATGGAGGGAGAAATTAAAGGCTTCTACCTTGACAACCAAAACTTCACGCAAGCAAGCTTTACAATTGCAATTGCCACAGCAATATGGACATGCTTCCTCAACTTCATCCCTTGTTTTCTCAGGATACCTGTTTCATCCCAAATTATTCAGCTACAGCGATCAAAAGCATCAATGGGAACTAGTGCCTAATATGAGAATCAGAATATTTTCAAGCATGGCCTTATCAGAATCTATATCACTAAATTTTCATCAATTGTTCTTACCACTTTTCAAGACACTCGTAACAATATCGCTTCCTCTGACAACTGGAACAAAAAACAACACCACTCTTATCATTCCTTTGACACTGATGACACATTAAACTTCCAAATTCTTTCCTTTTAATCGACTTATCCTGCAAAGCAAAAGTTATTCAACTGAGAAATAGTTCAATTTTGAACATAACGCACATACATCGAATATAAGGCCGTTACTACTTCACCAATACAATTCATTGATGCACAAAAGTACAATTAAACAACAAAACTCCAATGTACTCATTTTCTGCTGACGAAATTAAAATGAGCTAGTGAATTTCACCCTAGTCTTAAAAAAAAAAAAAACCGGTACACCGATTTGCAATTTCGTATGTAAAAAATAATTAAGGAGGAAAAAAAAATAAACGGATACGTTGAAATTACCTTCTTGGAGGATTTTACCTCTCCCGCGGTGCCATTCCTAACGGCCATACCAGAAGAGCCGTCCTTTTTGCTGGAATTAACTTTTCCTTCATATGAATCCACTATCTCCTTCACTGAATTTCCAGAACCAACGTTATTCCCCTTGACACCAAGCTTGGCTTTCTCTTCCTTCTTGCGCTCCCTGGACAACATCTCAGTCAACACAAGCCCGTCCTCGTCTTCCGATCCATCGCTCAACTCCTCCTCTTTCCACTCCTTCTTCTTATTCTTCTCCGATCCGCTGATTTCACCTCTCCTTCCGCTGACGTCACTCCTCCGACCAGCTCTGATCTCTAACTCGTGGGATTTACGGTCGCTGTCGTCATCTCTATCTCTACGAATAATGTTCTGCGCCTTCTTACTTCTTTGCAAATAGTGCTTCTCGCAGTACGAGTTTGAAGGCAACGCCGTTTCCCTGCACCGCCACTTACCAAGACCGGCGGTTCTTCTGCACCGTCGATCAGGCGGTGAGTCCATACCCGAGTCGGTTAAGAATTTAACAGCTTAGATTGTTATCGTATGGGAGCTTCGAACGTCCGATTACATTGAAATCCTTTTACAAATAGAGGGGCGTTGAATGGTAGAGAAGCGGCAAAAATAAGCTGAGAATTTATAGACACCGGTTCCAATTGGATGCCTTTGTGCGAAAAAGAGGTCAGTCCTAAAAGCGATGCGAAGTTCGAATGAGGTTTTTTTTTCTCTTTTTCTTTTTTTTTAATTTATTCTTACGTCACAAGTAAATAAATATCCGATTAGAGATTTTTTTTTTTTTGAAATATAGAGAATTTAGTTTTTTTTTTAACTAAATAAATTAATTAGTATAATTAGTATAAGATTAATGACTAAAAATACATTAATCCAAGACTTAGGGACATTATTATTCCTTGAACATTAATCAGAGGTACATGTGGTCCGCCAAGCGTGGCCTAGCAATAGCCATTAATGGCTCGGCCTTGGGCATGGTCATCCCATAAACTTCCATCGTATTTATATCTTCAGGTCTCAAACCTTCCGGCGGGGCCCAATCAAAGCAATGAAAGAGTCGAGCCAAAGCCATGAGCACCAAGGTCACCCCAAGTGGCGCGCCAGGACACTTTCTCTTCCCAGCACTGAATGGCAGTATTTTGAAATCGGCTCCGTGGCTTATCTCGACTCGGGTTCCATCAGCTAGCCAGTGTCTCTCGGGCCTAAACACTTCAACGTCGTCCCATAATTTGGTATTGCGGCCCAGCCCGTGGGTGTTGATGAAGACACGTGTCTTGGCGGGGATATAATAACCGTTGATGGTCGTGGCTCGAAGGGACTCGTGTGGGATTAGAAACGGTCCAGCTGGGTGCATGCGGAATGTTTCTCGTACTACGCAGCGTAGATAGTTAAGGTGAGGTAGATCGGATTCGGCGACCATTCGATTGGGACCAACGACAGAATCGAGTTCTTCTTGGATCTTACGGAGGACACGTGGATGCTTTATCGCTTCGGCCATTGCCCATTCGTTGGTCACAGCTGATGTATCTGTTGCCGCAGCTATCATATCCTACAAGCAAAAAATAAATAAATAACAAAACACTGCCAATTAATTGGCTCTTTTCTTATAAATACACAATTTAAATATTTAATTCTATATGTTATGCAGTGAATCATTATTCATAATCTTATCAAATTCTCATAAATATTTTAAATATTTAATAAGATGAAATTTTATAATTTATTGAACTATATACAGTGTTAGGGTATATCAAGTATTAAATTAATAAAATCCTTTCATTTGGGATTTAAGGAACTTCTTGTAGCATTTTGCAGTATAAAAAAAGATTGTGTATGCAACCTGAATTAGAGCTTTAATATCAGTATCATCCATTTGTGCTTTTCCATCTTCTCCGGGCAATGACAACAAAACATCAACAAAATCCATTTCTTCACCATCCTCCTCTTTTCCAAAGTCTTTTTTCTTCCCTTCCCTTGCCCTCCTATGCTCTTCAATAATCCTTTCGTGAAAATCATCTACTCTTCTCTCCACTTCCCTCATCTTCTTTTCACAACCATAAGGATCCACCCATCTCCAAATTGGCAAATAATCACCCAAATAGATGACACCCAATAGCCAAAACAGCTCATGGGTTATGTGCATGAACTCCACGGCTTCTTGTGGGCCAGCAGATTCAGCACCAAAATATTGCCTCCCTAGCAACATCCTAGTCACATTGTTCATTGAAAAGGCACCCAAAACTTCCCTCAAGTTCACAAGCTTACCATTTTCGGCTCGGGCCGAAACATCTTGTACTAAATGTTGGGCTTCATCAGCTCGGTGTTTTGCAAATGACTCTAGTCTTTTTGTTGTTAGTAAATGCTCCATACAAATTCTTCTCATCCGCTTCCAATGCGGGCCTAGAGGTGCCAAGGCCACATCTCCGCACCCATAGGCTAGATGTACAGCGGCTAGGGTCCGTGGCCTGGAGGCAAAGACATCGTCTTGGCGGAGAAGTATTTCCCGTATGATGTCTGGGTCATTGGTGGTGATGGCGTCTACGCTGCCAAGCCGGAGGTAGACTAATGGCCCATATTTGTCACAAAAAGAAGCTAAATCCCTATGTGGAAGTGGGCTCAACTGGAGCAGGTTACCAACTACTGGCCATCTTGGTGGGCCTGGAGGAAGCTTGCTGCTCTTATGCAATGGCTTCCGCTTGAGCCATTGACATAGGATGCTGACAAAGAGAGCTCCAAAGAGAAGGGCCAAAGCAAAGATGAATACACCCATGCCGCCAATTTAGCAGTACCTTATCAAGGAGAATATATGGTTTTCTCTTGTAATATATATAACAAAGAATGCACCAGAAATAAAGCGAGAGAAGTTTGCTTAAAAAAAAGTTTAATGTTAGATCTCCACGATCTTGACATGCCGAAGTTGTGATGGCAGGGCTGCTTTCACTAGTCGCTTGGTTGGTGAAGAGTTGTATGGGTTATGGTCCTATATGTTCTCCTACCTCCAAGAAATGGTATTTGCATGCAGCTGACCATGGTGATGGCCTCATGGTCTCAACGCGGGCTAACAAGTGCTCTGTGCCTATATCACGGGCCGAAAACACATTGGTTTTGACTCATGCATGAGTTGTGACACTAACATGTAAGTGCAACTAAAAGTAATAAATTATACATAATAATGGAGATGGTTTTTAATTTTACCGTATACTAATTTTTTTTCCTAAACAAAAAGGTGTTAATCAAATACAATTTAATTTAATTGACAATGATTAAGAGTTAAAATATTGGCTAGCAGATAAAATATGATGAATTTACTTTATAGTATTATCATATGGAAAATTATGTTTTTAAAATTTATTTTTAAATATAAGCATAGTAAAAGGCATAGTTTATAGGATCATAATTCAAATACGATATAGACATTGGCATAAATTTTATGATTTTTGTTTTATTTATGTATCTAATTAGGGTTAGTTTAACGGATGAAAACCCAAACACTAGATGCCTCACATAACTATAGAGACTTTATTTTGCTAAAAATTTTAGCATTATGAAAGATTTATACCTCTATATACATACAGATTAAAGGAAATGAAAGATTTCAACCGCTATATCTATCGATTAAAGAAATCCCATGGAGTTTTTTTTTTAAATAGTGTTACAATTAATATTAATGTGTATTAAATTTTATAAAAAAATTATTATATTAATTAGAAAAATAGACCCCGGAGCATTGCGAATCTATTTTTGATAAAAAAAAAATATTTTTTATTAAAAGATTTCAGGAGGCTTTCTCTCAAAAAGAAACAATGGCTGGAGCGGCTTTTTGGGATACGAAACAAATTAGTTAATATGGTTAAAGTTTGTTTTCCTAGCAATAAATGGTTCCATGGTCTAGTGGTCAGGACATTGGACTCTGAATCCAGTAACCCGAGTTCAAATCTCGGTGGAACCTTTTTTGTAGTCCCCTAAAATCATATTTCTAAAATCCTATTTCGTTTTCTAGCCCACGCGGGAGACGAGCAATTCCATCAAATCCTTAATCTCCATTCTCCTCACTATGCACCAAATTAAAACCCTAAAATCATTTTTCCTGGAAAACATCCAAGTACCTTCCTTTCTGAATTTATATCTCTCTCGCTTTATCTCTCCTTTCTATTTACAACATGGAACAAAAAACTCGGCAACAGATCGAGGAAACAGTGAACGATATACTGAGCAAAGCCGACATGGAAGAGATGACTGAGTTCAAAGTCCGAGTCACGGTCTCGGAGCGACTTGGGATCGACCTTTCTAATTTTACTTACAAGAAGTTTATTAGAGAAGTGGTCGAGTCTTTTCTTCTCTCTACCGTTGAAGAAAATGGCAATGGAAAGGAACTCAACTCGAAGCTTCAGGAAGAAGAGGCCAAAGAAGCGATTAAGGTTAAGAAAGAAATTGACGGGGACGGAGATCGCCTTATTTGCAAGGTTCAAACCATTCACTTTTCTTTGGGTCGATGAAATTGTAGAAAAATAAGTAAAGTTGCAATTTTTGCAAATAGTGGTAAAATTTAGATTTATTTTATTGTTTGAATGAATAAAGCAGGAATTTTTGTTGAAGTTTGATATCAGTGTGCTTTAACTGAAGTGATTAAGAAATTAGTTCTAGTTTGGTGTACCTTAAACTTTCGTTTTTGGAGTAACATACAATTTATAGGTAAGTGGAGATCTGGTTCCATGTTGGAACTTAGTTTTAGTTATGGTGTTGTTTTTTTTTATCTGAATCCTTGCTGTTATTGAAGATTTCTCATTTTTGATTCAGCTAGCAGACAAGAGGAATGTGGTGGTTCATGACTTTAGAGGAAAAACTTATGTATCGATTCGGGAGTTTTATGTAAAAGATGGAAAAGAGCTCCCATCTGCAAGAGGTAATGATATATATGTCACCCTTCCCCTCCCCTCTTACTTTTCTTTTTTTTTTTCCCACTAATATAGATTTATTTCTTTTTGACTAGCTCAAAAGATCCTCCACATTAAAGCTTTTATATATATTATAGATTATAGATTTTTTTTTCTTTTCTTATAATCAACTGCACATCATGAAAAAAAGGCTTTGCTTCCTGTTGTTGTTTTACAGTGACTTCTAAGTCCAGACTGATAAGAAATAATGATTCATACTTGTATATCATTTTACCGATTGAATCGTTGTTATAAATATCTGCTTTCTCATGATTGACTTGCTTATCTTAATGTCTCTTGGATTCCGTATTATTTCTTTTTTTCCTGTTGTCAGAGCTGTTTGGTTTATCATGCTATATTCTTTATTGGGACCAAAGGCTTTTCTCTCAACATCCATATCCTTTTCTTACTCCAGGAATTAGCTTGACAAGTGAAACCTGGTCAGCTTTAAAGAACAGTTTCCCTGCAATTGATGAAGCTGTCACAAAGATGCAATCAAAGCTAAGGTGGGACTCGATTTTGAGTTTTGAGGTCGGCAATAAAGTAGTTTATTTATTGTTATCTAGGTTGTCAATAATATACAGGAAGTTTTCCGAATGCCAAAAAAAATGGATAACTGCAGAGTTGCTTATATCTAGGTTTGCAGGGTTTTTCTTCTTGCCTGCAGACGTAAATTATCATTCAAAGATTGTTTGACTTGGCAACCTATTGTCTAATGATGGACTGACTTTGGACCCTTGAATAAATTTACTGCAGAAAGAAAATTGACTGTGAACAAAATG